CTGTTAAAAATTTACCGAAAGGAAAAGAATTTGAATTTCGTGTCATTCCAGTCAATGCAGCTGGTCAAGGTGAACCAAGTGAACCGACTAAATTTATTAAAGTACAGAAACCCATTAGTAAGTGAAAAAGTTACATCATAACATATTTTTATACTTTAATACGTAAATTACTGTGATTATTCGTTAATTGTAATTAAGGTGACCTCAGGAAAAACGATTGGTAGTAATTGGTTGACCGTGAGGACTACTAGGTGACAAGGTAATGATTGCTCACATTTAAATAATTAGTTTAACTGTGTCAGTATGCCGACTGCTTGTACCTAAATGATAATCTATCACTTCAAAGAGTTTCCGTACTTTGGAAAAACTACTTTATGGTAATGAAGAAAAATGTAGCACCAGTAAGAATGATGATCACATTAGTAACCAAATTTAATAATTATCAGTATAGGATTGTGTAGATTGTCGATTTCTTATTGAGATCATTAGTCGTAGATGTGCACTGCTTAGGAGTTCCATACTAGGACGAAACAGCCGTATAGTGCTTCAAAGTTTTCAATGGTGAACTGATAGTGGTCGATTTATAACCTCAAGAAAATTTATTGTTTAATTTGTTCAAAGGTGATAGCTAGTACATTATGACTGAACTCAGGGTTAAGTTCGAATTCGAATATGATACTCTGTGATTATTGTCGATATATATCTATCAACTAAGATGCTAAAAACGACATCTTATCAGTACTTATCCTGTTAGTATAAATAAAATGGATTCATTAATTTATATAGTTCATACCGCATGCCTAGTCCAAGCTTTTTCTCCCCAAATATGTATGGCTGGAATAATAAAAAGAGAAAAGTGATTACAAATATCTGGACCTCAAGGATAAATGGAACTAAAAGTTGTGGTGTTATATATGAGTTAATGCCGAAGATAAGTTAAGATTTCGGTTTTAAACATGATGTTAACAACCAGCGTTAGCATAGGTAATATTAGATGCATGGGTTTTTGCTTTTTTTTTGTTACTGACGTTCATGGATGCGCTTGAATATTCTTTATTGACTAATAGACTACCTAAAGGGATGTTTCGCGACTCATTTCATTCACAGTATGCCTATCTTTACAATGTAGATGGGTTTGAAATTCAGTATATTCACTAAAAATAAGATCCAGGTCCGTGAAGCTGATCACTCCTGAATAAGATAATAAGTGTATCCTGAATTCCGTTCCCAGACACTATCCAAACATAAGTCAAAGTGGCGAAATGTGAGTACTAGTTCGTTATTGGGAGACTTATACAGCGTTATAAATTAGTATGTCTAAGAAGAGAATCTGGTTATTCAGCTTTTCTTCATATGTCGAACAAATGTATCTTTGAAGAGTATTGAGTTCATTTCCAAGCGAATCGCATCCTCACTTTTGTCAATTATGACCATGATATCATAAAATCGTTTTTCGTATGATTTTTGTTTTTCTACTATCTTCCAATTTGTTTAGTTAACATTTTATTCTTCATATATAAACGCCTGGCGCGAGACTGATAAACCCTGTGTTCGAATCCCGCGAGGCACTGCTGAGGAGTCCCACAATAGGAAGAAACGGCCGTCTAGTGCTCCCAGGTTTTCCATGGTGGTCTAGCTTCAATTGACTGATGATTTCAACTGTTTAAATTACTACAATCTCCACGAAATCCCCTTCTGATATATAAATGTCTTAACATGTTTACGTGTGATCAGACCTGATTTATCACATAGTTTTTTTAAACTTTGTTTTCTCATGGTATTATCTGACTTTATCAAACGGACTTATTTATTCGATCCACATATATTTAGGGTTGTGCAGATTTAACATTAAAGTAGTTACAAAGAGATCTCACTACTGAATCAATTTTCTACTTTCTCAGACTTTTATTGGGTCAATAATTTTAATATTACTTAGGGATACGTAAAAGAATCTATATGAAAAGTGTCAAAAAATAATTACAAATGAAAAGCTTCCACAATAAATTGATGCCACAGTATCGTAAATAAGATATATATTGATATATATTATAATCCCATCTGTTTTCCCAAAGATCTTAGCGTAAACAATATACATACATTAAAAAAAGCTGAAATATAGATATACAATTTGATTCACTTATAAAAATTACTTCCAACCAATAACAAATAAGCCAACTGTTGTTTTAATAAATCATTGATATAATGGAGCGTATAACTCAATTTCAACAGAACCATGACAAAAAAATCTGTGATCCTTACTTTTCAATGATTTCTAAAATATTGTTAGTTCATGAAGAAATTTACCTTCGAATTGAAGAAATCACTAAACACCTTTTTACATTGTCTTATCATTATTTACTTTGAGATTGAAGTTGATTGTGAAATGATTGTTTCTACTAGCATTTTTATCATTTTCTATTGTTTACAGCTATTCCAAAGATAACTATTGATGCACCAAAAGAAATAAATGCTCGCTTAGGTGAACCATTTAAAATTCGAATTCCATTTACTGGTGGACCACCAGAAGAAGTCGAGTTGATAAAAGTAAGAGGGAAAGGTGGTTGAGTACTCATAACATTATTTCATCTTTTATTATTAAGTTGTATTTATTTGTCAGTTTTTCAAGTGAATTAGGTTATTATAGAAACATTCAAAAAAAGAATAAAACGGAACTGTTAGTTTTGGCTTCACAATGATCGGACAATTCATTTAACTTCAGTTATTTTGCTTATTTCTAAGAATTTTTGACTGAATTAATCAAAACATTATGTGAGATGATACGTATTTTGTCGGAAAGCTAATTCAAGTTTGTCATTAGATAGATGGATTATATTAGATATAAATAATATTAAATTAGAGTGAAGACAATATTGCTTTGAATACTCAATTCTAAACTGTGCACTTAGTAACACACACACATATATTCTTGGTATATCTCTTTTGGTTTTATAAATGTATTAGGATGTTTTTCGAATGGTTTGTTTTTACTATACGTCATTTTCGTCTTTAAATCTATCCAGAAATAGTTACTTAATTTTAAAGATATCAATGTTAAATGTGCATGAGCGCTAGTTTACGCCGACTTTTAGCACAGAAATATGGATTGGGTTAAATGACTACACTGGTCACTTCACTTATTTTAGCTGTTACAATAAGACGATTAATTTATGGACAACAGAATACCAAGAGTGAAGTGGAAGGTGCATTGAATATATTGTACTTTAGGCTTTGGTTATATGAATGTTTACCAAAAGATAGTTATGCATAACAGAAGTGCTATTCGACATATGAAAGTGGACGAAATGAAAATTTCTATTTAACTGTCCATTAAGATAAACATTTCTTTCATTTTAAGGTACTACACATTGAGAAACTTCAAGTTATATGCTTTAACCGAGGAGTTTAAGTCATTCAGTATAAATGTGAATCTAGTCTGACTGAATTATTTGAAAAATATTTAACACCCAGTGTAAGCATATATCTCGAAATGTAACGCTGGTTGTAGTCGAAATAAGTTGACAAAGATTGATTGGGTTCATACCAAAAGCTATTGCTATTCCGTGTTTCCACTGATTTAAGTTTAATCTGTCCACGATATTGATGGTTTCATGGATGAAATTTTCGGAATTTGAAGTAATAGTAGCTGAAGATACTCAATCTAGTGGAATATTGGTCATACTGATTCAAATGTAATTGTTTTTGATCTTTGTTCAAATCTCCATACTATCATCTTATATTTCTTATTCTTTCCGAGTTTACTTCAATGACCTTATACTTTTCGCAAGAGAATGTGATTAGACTAAATTTCATCACTGTTCACGGAAAACCAAATAGTTGGTCCTTTGTCTTTTAATTTGAACTATATATAATTGGGTTAAGACTCCTATAAGATATCCCTCATATAAAGTGTTATTAGTTAAATAACCTCTATGATAACCGTAAAACTATTTCAGCTCAACAGGAACTAATCATTCCTAAGTTTTATTGACTTTTTTTAAATAGCCAGTATCTTTTATGTTATAGTCAGTCACAACGTATAGCCTGTACGTATGTACATCACTTTTATGCTATTGAAATACAAAAGTTTATACTAAATGCTCAAGTTTTCCAAACTACTGAAAACTTGTATGACTATTATATTATTATTATATTATTATTATTATTATTATTATTATTATTATTATTATTTCCTTTTTCTTTTCTTAAAATAACAGGATGGCAAGCCTGTCCCATTAGATACAAATCGTTTTAAACTTGAAGTGACACCAAATGAAGTTATTATCACAGATACAAAAGCGGAAAAAGAAGATGCTGGACAGTATAAAGTTGCTTTGAAAAATGAAAAAGGTGAAGCCAGTCATCCACTCACCGTGAAAGTACTAAGTCCACCTGATACTCCTGAAGGTCCTTTGGAAGTTAGTGATATCAAAGGTGATTCGTGCAAATTAACATGGAATCCTCCAAAGGTCAGTTATAAGTAATATGTAATTCGATACAACTGAAACGAATTAAATCCTTATAGAAAATAAATGCGATTAGACAAAAAAACTAGTTTGGTTTGTATCTAAAGCAAAATTTGAATAGCGTGATAAAAATTCACTTTATAAAAATCCTGAGCATTGTACTACTCGATAAAAACCCCCTTCCCAAACGTTTTTGGACACAACGTGGGACACATACGGTAAACTTAACAGTTATCCGACAAACGTCTATTTAAATGTAATTTTTCACTAATATATTACTATACGTCATGGATTGTAATATCTACCTAATAGTTACCAAGTACTTTGACAATAAGAAAGATGATTGATCCTAGGATATTTAAATTCATAAAGGGAACCAATTGCATGAAAGCTTTTGGATTTAATGGATTTTAAATGTCATTGACAACATTCTTTACATTTTCTGCATACTTCTATATGGTTTGTAATTTTTTTTACTTGGTCTACTTATATTTTGTAAATGAAATGTTAAATTCCACTATTAATGAACACACTTACCAATTACTTCTACTTGACAAGAAGTAGTTGCTTGACCTTGTTCATTGACAATTGTCAACTGATATTGTCCTTTATCTGCACGACGGACTTTTCCAACTGACAAAACTACTGTACCTCCTGGAGACATTTCAAGAACTCCTCCAGGTCCAGGATTTGCAGGTGGTGGTAGGGCTTCATTTATTTCAATTATTCGTTTACCATCAATTTGTATAGGTTTATCGTTTTGACTCCAATTAAATCTTGGCTTTGGATGACCAAACCAAGCAACAGGAAGCTTTAAGTCTTGACCAGCCTGTATAGGTACATCAAAAATTTAAATTATTTATAAGTAAGGATTTTGAATAATAACAAATGTAGATAACAGTGAATGAGTAACTTTTACAACCAATCGATTTCAAAAGTAACAGAATATACAATGTAACGTAGGTGATTAAAATGTGTAAATTCATAAATTGAAAAATTTCTTGAAGGTTCCTTTACTTAAATTTCAGTAATCCGTTAATCATGTTAAAGTACATCAAATTATGGTTGAAGTATTTTATACAACACAACCTAAAATATGATAGAGATGGAGATGATGGAGATCAAATATTCATATATGATTTGCTTCAGTGATGAAACTTTGGATTCTTAATAGTTTATAGTAAATGAGGAATAGAAATGACATATTATCAATTGAGGATTATAGATAATATTCTACCACTTTAGGCAAATGATTGTTTGATCACAGATAACATAATTCTAAGTTGTGAACTTTATTTTATTAACTTGTGAAGTAGACTGATTATATTTTGAGTTTTGATAGCTCTGAAATTAGTGACAGCAATTATTTGTGTTTTTGGTGGAGTTTTGTTCTCTAAGCTGGATGCTTTGGTCGTGGAGCTTTCATTGTTCTTCTGAACAACATCATCAGCACAAACTTCAGATAGAGAACAAAACTCCACCAAAATCATCCACCTGAGCTACAAATCTTCTCCACCATCTCAAATTATTTGTGTTCTAGTAATGATTATGTTAGAAATCTTACTTAAAGTAATTGAGTTTGTTTGATAACATTTTTATCGGAAGGGGAAAATTAAGAACCGTTATCTGAATATTTAAAGTGAGCTGTTCTACAACCGAATTCAAACCAGTGAATCTAATAAAAAAATATTTCATATAATTTATTCATGAAATTAACAAACACTTATATTTAAACTTCTTGAAATAATGTATAGTGAGTATAATATAAGATCTAAACAACTTATAAGATAAATGAATATAATAGTGTTGGCTGTGATGAACAGATAAGAGTAACTAACCTTCAGTTTAACATCCTTGAGGCCTCCAACTCCACTGCCTAAACCACCAACACAATCATCAGGGGTACATATTCTCGGTGCTTCTGGTTGATCAACAGCTGTCACGGGTGCAGTAGGTCGAGTCGGTTCACCTGGACCCTCATCGTTCACTGCACATACACGAAATTGTGCAGTCTCACCCTCCTTCATTGGGATAAATGCACATGGTTCTGTAGTCTGTTTCACAGGTACCCAATTACCATTTTCATCTTTCTTTTCCACTTGATATCCAGTGATTTTACTTCCACCATCTTTACGTGGTTTTTGCCATGATAATTTTACACCATTTTTATTAACTTTATCCACATTAATTGAATCTGGTGCACTAGGTGGGTCTAAAATCAAGCGAAAATGAGAATTTGTATATTTATGCACAACAGAAATGATTAAAAGGCAAATTCTTAATAAATGAAAAAAACTTACATGTTGGATCTTTTATAACTTGAGGCAATGTCGCTTTAGATGGACGTCCAGCTCCAGCGTCATTTACTGCACTAACACGAAATTCATAAGTTTGTCCTTTTTCTAAACCTGTTAATTCGGCCTCCTTTCCATGCACTAATCCTGTTGTAGCTGGTTTCCATTCTCCGTTTGGTGTGCGTTTTTCAATCAAATAACCTAAATTAATCATGAAAACAAGTACAAGAAAAGTATAAAGATTTGAGTAATAAATATTTGTATGATATTTATCGTTTATGAATAAATTTTTCAAAATATATTGATTTTACCATGAATTGGATTGCCTCCATCATTTTCTGGTGGTTTCCATGCTAATGTAACTCCATGACTGTCGAATGATTCAACTTTTACATTTTCTGGTGCATCCGGTGCATCTGAAATCAAATAAAATATGAAGTTATAGCTTGTATTTTATATTACATTTTATTAAGAATATTGATGAATAATATTCTTAACCAAAGAAGTATAAATATCAAACTAATGGTAGATATTTAAAGCAATTAGTCCCTTCAATAAATTTCGATAATGTAATAAGAAGACGAAGACTATCAGAACTATGTGATATATTAGCGCAATACATTTCGGACAATCTGACCACACATATACTTGTTAAAAACATTTATATATAAAAATAAAAGGTCAACGAGACTAGAAACGGAAGGTAAGAGAAGACAAAGATAATGAAATAATGTGAAAACAATTTGAAACCTAATCACTCTGGATGATAAGCTAATACCAGGGTAGGTTTAAGGTAAGAACAAATTGTTTTGAATACACGAAAGGGGTTTGAATTTTTGTATGACTAAGGCCTATTAAACTTTAGTATACGCCCTTTTACACTTTTATACAATACCACAAAAGCCGAGTTAACATTAATCTTATGACCTGTTTTAATTATGTGTTCGGCAATAGGTGATGATGGATGTTTATTATCTACTCTTATTGGATCATTCGGTTATATTTGTTTCTGTAACCACTTAGGTACATTTTCACACACTCTAATTTTGAGATCACGATTGCTCTTCCCTATGTATGTGTGACCACACACACATTTAAATTATTAAACACAGTGGGATGTGATGTTCTTAACAAACATGTGTGATCAGATTGTTCAAAATGTATTGCGCTAATATATCACATAGTTCTGATTATCTTCGTCTTATTACACTATCGAAATGGTAGATAGTCCATGTGAAGTAGTATATAGCCATGTCTTTAAAAATAATAAATGACATTTCTGATTTATCAGTATAGGGTTGTGGAATTATTACGTCTTTGATTGCGATCATGAACTGATTGGTGTTAGACCACCATTGAAAACCTGGAAGCACTGGGCGGCCGTTTCGTCCTATTGTGAGACTCCTCAGCAGTGCGCATGCACGATCCCGCTCGTGTGATTCGAACCCAGAGCCTTCATTCTCGTGCGTGAACGCCTAATCTCTAGACCATTGAGTCGGCATCCAACGGTGTTAATGTCTGACCTCAACCGATCCACCATCTTCGATTGTACTGAGGTAGATATTATTTCTACCCGACAGGGATTAATTCCACTGGTTTGATTTCTGATTTAATCAATTACAAAATAATAGAGGGTAAACGTTACTTTATCATATTTCTCTTAACAATGGTGTCCTGAAAAAATCTAATTCATTTTAACTAAATCTGTGACCTTTGCTCATCGAGTTAATTACATTTTAATTTTATCATTCAGTTACCTAATTTGTTTATTTAATAACCTCTCTTGTTATATAAGGCTACATTTTCAACATGAATAGTTAGAAACTTAAAACTACATGTTGGTAATATCATTCTTTTCTGCTTCATTTTTTAAAACAATTTTGTTGCATTTCGAGATACTTTCTGCTGTAACGGGTGTGGGTGCAGGTTATTGATAAGCACCGTTTATATCGATCGACCGGTTACAGTGACACGTAAATACGTACGAACGACCTAGTGCCCTGATTGGCCCTGCTTCCCTGTCTATCCCAGCCAGTTGAGTCCAGAACAAAGCCACAGCCTCTGAGATATGAATCATTATATTTCAGGCATACTCTATTTATATACTAACCAAGCATACCACATCGTACCATAAAATAGGAAACAACATTTACACAATATTAGACAACTGAAGCAAATATCGACCAATAGGAAATGTACATTTAATGTCCAAGGACACCATTCGACTTGACACGATAATTATTGGCGTATTCCTCTGCATACCTAACACTTTCTTATGTTCAACTAAATTATATCGGTCCTTTTATTATCTCTACGTTTAGACTGTTTTTAGTTAATTAAAAGTTGCTAGACAGGATGAATTCTATTTTCTATGAACACTTTTTGTTCTTAATCTCTTTATAATTACCAAGTAAATAAAATGTAACGGACTAAAACTTTTGAATATATAGATATATTTTTCTCCGGTGACGTCAATCATTACCCGGTGCAAATTACTTATGTAATTTACTTTTCTAAAGAAATGAAAATCCTATGAATTGAAATTTCATCAATAAATCAAAATGTCAGACAGTAAGCTGACTTGATTGTTAGTCTAGTGTAACAGAGTTATACACGTAAATATGATACTTGGAAATGTGATTAAGATCTAGTTTAGGCAAAATATACAATTATTACTCTGGTGCGTTAGAAATGTCGATAATAAAGAAAAATTATTCAGAACTCCTTATATCTGACATTATTAACATAACTCTCATGGTTTAAGCGTTATTAAATAAATTATTCTTCTCATTTATCAACTTGGTTAATATCTGCTGATAATTCACTACATGTACCATTAATATTGTACTTACCAAATGGATTTTTGGCTGTAATTGCTGTATTTGTTTCTGCTGGTTCACTTGGTCCCATAGTATTTACAGCAGATACACGGAAACGATAACGTTTACCTTCAATTAAACCTTTGATTGGACAGGTTGTATTAGTGACTACAGTTGGAACACGTTCCCATACTTCAGTGGTTGCATCACATTTTTCAACAATATAATCTGAAAAAACCAAATTTTATCAAGAAAATGTAGTTTATATTCAAAATATCAGTTATTTTACAGTTAAATTATTCAATTGTGTAATGGACATGATTGTATTTTCTTAATCGTTGTGCGTGGTGATCTGGTTAGTCATCTATTTATTCATGTACTCTTTTACACTGATCTGAAATCGGGAACCAGATCGGAATTGAGAATAAATCGAATAGTATTCCAGTCGACTTGTCTTCTCTCACTCACGTGCTTGTCGGTCAATTAAGTGATAGGATAGTTTTCTTCTCTCTACTTCACTTCAAACTCACGCGTACTAGACGCAAGGTTAGGTCGGTCAGCCTACCGCGTCAAGGTCTTAATCTAGATTAAACAAGTTATCTCAGCATCAAAAGTGGGTAGACAGATCAAGGACGTAACGCTTATATTCTCAGTTGATTTAAGGGTATTTCAGTATTCTTTCGTGTGTTTTTTCTTTTCATCTTTACACATATTTTTGCCATAATGTTATGATAGGTGAACAATTAATTTATTCAACTATTCCAAGTTCCATTACATGAAACTTCCGACTTACATTAAATTTAGAGTTAATCCTTTCCTACGCATTTGGTAAAATACATATTTCCATTCAAGTTTTATAAAATTAAATATTTAAATGCAAAATGTTACTGAGATGGTGGAGATTTGTAGCTCAGGTGGATGATTTTGGTGGAGCTTTGTTCTCTGAGCTGGATGGTTTGGTCGTGGAGCTTTCATCGTTCTTCGGAACGACTGATGTCGTTCAGAACAAAAAACCAACAAAATGTTACATCAGGTAATCTTTATGATTACAGAAACGTAGTTGGTGACTGATGAAATTTAATTAACAATCCATCTAAAACTCTTTGGATTAGTAATGGTCCATTGGTCTGCAATTAGCCTAGTCAAAAAAATACCATTTAATATACTGACCCAAATGAATTCTCTCATTTTATATTATGTGTAATAACTAATCGAATCTACTAGAATGTATATGGTTTCATCTTTTGATGATGTAGATGTACTCAATCTATAGTCAGATTGTGAATACAGAAACAGTTTGTTGAATCAATTTTTTATTCATGCCTCGAGTTTCTTTCATATTCTTTGGCTGACATAAAGTGACTGTGTTTATTTTTCCCTACCTTAACAATAAATTTCGAGGATACGAGCATAAACGTAGTGACTAGTTTGAATGTTATCAAAACATATACTCAGTAAGTCCAGATACATATTTTTTGCGCTTATATATATGTAAAAGTGAAACAAACTGAGAAACAAAGTATTTCTGACTATAACCACGTTTGAACTCGGGTCTCAACTAGTGATATGGTAATTAATAAGACCTATCGTTATTAAAAAGGTGATAACTGCACAACATGTTGGCTTTTATTAATATCCGGAACTAATAATAGCCGATTATACCATTTTTAAAATCTCAAACATTACTGGTTAAAAGCTGTGGGAAAGGAAAGGGGGGAATGTTTGAAAAACTATTCATTAATGCATAGGATGCTAAATTACGAATTTCAACCATCGTTCTTTTAGTGTTGTTCGTTTTCTCTAAAGACTTTGTTAACGTTTTTCTCATTGGTAAATCACACGAAGTCTCATTCGTTTAAACTTTTTGTGCCCTAATATTTTCAGTCACAGTTTCCATTTCTCATAAGTATTTTTAAAATGCGGTCAGTAATATCATTGAACAATCATTTTCTATACTTCGTATAACTCTCTAATTGATAAATTCAATTTACTTAATTAATCCATTAGTATATACTGCACTCTATGAGATTTATTGATAAACTCGTGTACTGATAAAAAAAACAAAAAACCACGGCATAAATTGTTCCATATAAAGATTGACGTAGTGCTTTGAAAATGACATTGTTACAAAAGGGATTTTCATCGTAGATGAGTGTCGTCATCAAATAATATCAAAAGTAGACTATTGTTACTCAGGAAGCCCCGGACAACTATTTAATCTGCCTACAACCCTATTAAAAATCGAACTCAGTGCCTACAAGTCTAGACTGTAAGTAAGAAACATTCAGATTAATGTATTACAATCCAACAGCCTATATTTACATTACTGAAATGTTCAATTTGTTTTATCTTATTTGACTAAAGTTCGTAATTTTTCAATAATTTAACATACATTTTTCTAATGTATTTCAGAGTTATCATGATTTACGATTTTCAAAACTTTTTTCCAGTATTCTAACTTCATTTTTCTTGAAATGATTAATAATGATCTTTAAAATTGTTACTCATTGCAACTTACTTGAAATAAGTTAATTATAGAAATATCATTTCTGCTTACCGATTAACATACCATATATACATACAGTTATATTAACTTATTTTAAATGAATATATATTCTGATAAGCTTAGTTTATTGCCACCTTTACTATGATGATTAATATGGTCCTGATAGTAACCGAAAACTACCTTTAGTCTGTTTATTTATCTTCCATAATTTTTTACTGCTGCCATAGAGAAGTTCGAATTAGTTTTTCTAATGAGTCGTTAGTGTTATGAAGTAACAATCACTGACATTTTTACAAGTGTATTATTATGTTATTATTAGTTTCATGACAGATATTATAATCGAACAGGCAGTTTCCAGCAGTACTGGCAGTAGCTGTTTTAGTAAAGTTTGTAATAAGTCGGGAGATTTAGATTTGTAAACAAATTAATTCTTGATGTTTTTATTAATGAATATAGACAGTTAATGTTTCAACAATTGATTTCATTTTGAATTATTTCCTGACTTATAATTTATGCTGGTGAATATCTCGATATCTAGGAAGGTAGAATCATCATGATAGATTTATGGGCTCACTACTTTTGCATTTGATATGCATTTTGCATACATTAGATAAATTATTCATTAATTATCGTTTAACAGTTCACTCTAAATAATAGAGAGTGATATTTTCTAACTAGAACAACCAGCTTTCATTCAATATGGTGTAGGTTCATGTCAAGTTGCCTTCAACCGAAATTAATCTTCTGAGAGATTATTCCTAAAAATCCCTAAATTGTTTTCTATCCTGAAGTTCGTTGCTCTCGCCGAGTTTTAATAGAACTTAAATGCTGGCGAGTTGTTTTAATGAAACATGTGACTTTATGATATCTTCAACGTGAAGTCATCACTTCAAAGTAATGGAAGGTATAAAGGTTCATAAATTCTATCTGGTCAACTACTTATTATTGAAGATTAGTGAATAAGTTGACTGTAACAAATTATATATGAGTTCAAATTATTACAACGAATGAATGATATGTTATTTTAGAAAAAAAATCTAATAAAGGTCATTTTTATTTTACCGATGATTGGACATCCGCCGTCTGATCCAGGTGGGTTCCAGGTTAATACACAACTATCAGCATATATATCTTTGGCTTCAACGTCTGATGGTGGTTGTGGCTTATCTAAAGGGAGATATAAAGAAGACAAACATGGTATATCTATCTGACTAAGATTCAATGAAAGTTGTACATTTTAAAGTAATTATCGAGAGAAACAACAAGATTAAAGTTTTTGTCACGTTGCCTTAATGATTGCTGTTTTCCTCGTCACATTATTAAAGCTGTCCGCGCCTGTAAAATACCTCCTTCGTTAAAAAATCTTCGACGAGTCACCAAATCCCAAATTGAATGCACTAAGGATCTTATCTCTAAACTTAAAATAGAATCTTTTGGTTATGACAAAATTGTTATGGATTTAAATATTGTATGTCGTATTAAACTTACTAACTTCATTCATGATGTTCAATCGAAAACCAGTCACAAATTCATGAAGACTTTAACCAAAACACTTGTTAAAGAACAAAACCACTTGACATTTCCTACCAATCCACGAAAATACATACAGAACTTATCTAATAAAAAACTAAGTCGAATTGAAACTGAAGCACTCTGTCTTGGATTCAAATTTCATATCCCAAGAAAATGCAACAGAATAGACACTGAGACACAGTTTGAATATTTATATCAACAATTGTCAGACCTTAAACCCATGAACGACGAAAAGCATAGTTGGTTTAAATCTAAATTAGTGGATATCACAAACCAGTATGTTACGACACCAATCCCACACTCAAAGGTTTTCATTTGATGTCTCTTCGCTTTTCACAAATATCCCCTTGGAAGAAACGGCAGCGATCATATGTGAATATCCAGAACTCCTGCCTTTACCACCCCAGGAATTTAAACAGCTCCTGTTTTTGTGTACGAAAAACATACAATTTAAATTCAACAATGTTCTGTACCGACAGATTGATGGAATAGCAATGGGCAGCCCTCTAGGCCCAATTCTTGCCGACATATTTATGGGACATCTGGAACATAAGAAACTGAAGCACGCAATTGACAGTACCACTCTCTACTGCAGATATATGGATGACACGTTCCTTGTCTGCAAAAATCACCAACACTCCATGCACCTACTTAGTCTGTTCAATAAAATACATAAAGATATAGAATTTACCATGGAACATGAAGCTGATGATAAATTCCATTTCCTAGATATTGGAATTAGGCGAACATCAGACGGCACACTACAAAGACACATTCACCGCAAAAATACTTGGAGCGGAGTTTATCTCAATTTTAACAGCTTCTGTCCAATGAGTTATAAAAAGGGTATTGTGCGAAACCTTTTTGACCGCGCACGAAAAATCTGCTCAAAAGAATGCTTCGAAGAAGAAATTACTATAATCACCAAATGCCTACGTGAAAATGCATATCCGGATAAATTCATCCACAAATATGCTAATACAAACCCTCCGATTAAGCATGATACAGTTGAAAAGAAAACCTGCTTCCTATCCTTGTGCTTCAAAGGAGATGAAGTCGCCGGAATTATCAATCACAGAATTAATTCCGCTTTAAAAGTGACCTACCCGGCAGCCAAACTGACTACGTTATGGAAAACATACTGCTCACTGAAACAAACGAAGATCGACAAGTCCTCTCCCCTCAGTTGCTCCAACTGCATTTACCAATTCACATGTACGTGCCGTAGCACATACATTGGAAGAACTGAGAGAAGAGTGCAGGTTCGCATTTCTGAGCATATCCCTAAGAACTTGACGCTGCGAGGGACCAAAGCTTTTAACAGTGCAATAGCTCGGCATCTACTTGACACCGGGCATACCGTCGATATTCTGCACGCGTTCAAAATTATCAATAGACAAAAAAGTATTACCACTCTCCGCTTTGCTGAAGCAATTGCGATTAAGAAACTGAAACCGGATTTATGCATTCAAAAAGAGACTTTAATAAACTTATCACTACCCTGGTAATCTTTTTGTTTCTGTTTGTTTTGTGTTTTGGTTATTTTTTCATTTACTTATTCTAAGATATTTTATACTCCCCCCTATTACCTAATTTTTTTTAAAATAAATTTTATTCACACATTTCCACCACCTGATCCTCTTAAATTATCTTAACTTTCCAAATTCTATTTAATTATTATTACGTAATCTACCTTATTATTACTTAATTTCATTAATCTCTACAATTATTACAATTTATGAACTTCACTAAATTATTACACCACCCACCCTGGATTAACCCCCCCTCTTTTGACCTCTGACCTGTTTCTAGCATATATATATATATATAGTTATTATTGTAATCCAGTTATTTACACTCATTTATGTCAATTGTTTTCACACTATCTCCATGTAAAAAAAATTCTATCACAATTTTGGTTTGTAAGCAGCTGACGAGAAACCTCGAAATAATATGAATTCATACTATTCTGCATCAATGTTTGTTCTTGCTCTATTCAATTATATTTATAATGATTTATTAATTTCTGTCTGATTTTTAATACATAACACTATCAAATTAGAGTTTAATAACCGGTCGGATTTTGTATTTCAATGACTAGCGTATAAAGATGATAACATAATGACCACTGAATTGGATTCTTATTGACTAGCATTTACTTGTCTTTTTTATTCTTTTTGCTTATTTACAGGCTTGGAATATCACTAAACGCACTGTGGTTTTTGTACAGCTTGGCTACCCGAGTAAAATATTCATTCAATTATTTCCATTGGTCATATCAGCCATTTGTCTGTCATTAGGGTGAAATAACTCTCATCCTATTTTACTATTTCCGTAATTGATATCATTACTGCCATTCTATAGATGACATAATCGTCAACATTTTATTTGATTTGTAATTGGATTATTAGTTTTCTTCCCCTTTGTTATCTAGATTATCTAGATCACTGATCACACGATTTTAATTAGCACAGGGACTCATTATGTAAATAATTTTACTTTACCCGAAGCCTATGAATTTGTCATATGAAACCAGTTTACAATTAAAAATATCATCACTAATCAACCGTGACAAATAATATCGTATCTCTTTTCTACACTAATAATTTACCTCTTTTTGGACATATTTTGGTTAATTCTGTAGGTTGACTCGGTTCACCAATTCCTGCGGCGTTTACAGCACTCACACGGAATTCATACTCAGCATTGTCATCAAGGCCATCAATATGAGCATTATTATTCATAACAGGCTTTCCATCTGGTGTAGCAGGTTCCCAGTCAGTAGCAAACTTTTTCCGTTTCTCTACTAAATAGCCAGTGATACGAGCACCTCCATCTTTCATTGGTTTAGACCAGGTTAAATCGATAAAGTTCTTCCCAACATCTTCAATAGTCGGTGTACCAGGACTATCAGCTGTGGCTAAAATAAAGAAATATTGCTTTCAGTGACACTATTTTCACATTTATAGGTAATGAAAATCTTTATAAAAATAAGATACAACAGGCTGACAAATTATCGTTCGTAACACTTGTGCCATTACTATAATGTTATAATATTGTTTAATGTAAATAGTTGGGAATTATACTGATGATAGACTTCGCAAGCCATATAAAGCACTTTGAATGTCACATTTTCAGTTTTTGCTAAATCAGTTGTTATTTTAAATCGATTTCATTCTGGCAAGGATTTCGATATCACAAAAGACATCGCTAGTTATATTTTTTATAAAATTGTATTTAGATCATAAAACCAAATCAATCTGTCTAGTTAGTTAGTGAATATTCTATTCCGCGTGAAATTATTAGTTATGAATGAATAGTGTGCAACATGTCAGTGATAAAATCGATTATATATTAATAAATCCTTGAATATATACTTTGCTTTAATTGTGTATGCCGTTATGATGTTAGAAGTGTTAGAACTGGTTTTAAATACCAATGGGATGAGCAACACAAATATATCAAGTTTATGAATTACGAAAATGAGAAAATATGATATCTATATTTCATAGATAGTCGGTATCCATAGTAATAATAAAATTTTGGATTCGGTAATTTGTCGAAAGAGTGTATACGTCAACAGAGACTAACCAATCCAGTTATCAATACCAAAACAGGAGAGTGCATGCTGGTTTATAAATGTACCTTAGAGATTCTATCAAAATTAATTAAGTTTTATGATAGAACAGTCAAAATATCGCATCAGGAATTTATTAAAAGAAAACTTAAGTGATTTTATAGTTGATCATGCATAGAGTTTCTGGTTTTGATAACGTCAAATAAACAGTTGAAATCATGAGTCAATTGAAACTAGATCACCATGTAAAACCTAGAAGCACTGGGCGGCCGTTTCTGATAATAATCATCTGCTCACTAGTAACTGACTTCAAGAGATACTCGTGGAGTTCTATTGAGAAGCCGTTACCAGTGGAGTTCATCCAGGTCTGTTGTGAGATATCAACTCACTGAAGACAATGGTGTACGGTGGCACAACTTCGTGGATTGGTTAAATTAGATATTAACACCTTTGGATGCCAGCTCAGTGGTCTAATAGTTAGGCGCTCGCACGCGCGACCGATAGGTCCTGGGTTCGAATCGCGCAGCGTGTGGGATCGTGGATGTGCACCACTGAGGAGTCCAATACCAGAACGAAATGGCCGTTCAGTGCTTCCATGTTTTCCATAGTGTTCTAGCTTTAATTGACTCATGATTTCAACCATTGAAATTTCTAAAAATCTCTGAAAAACCCGTCCTGTTTAATAAACAGTTTTCTTGATTTTTGACTAAACAAAGTCAAGTTTGCTGTAAAATATTTTAGTAACACACTACTTATTCCTTATGTGTTACATCGTGCAACATAATTTCGAAATTAGCAAATAATATTTACACGTTAATATTGTTTACTGAAAGGTATTTAATTTGCTGTCATCGAAATATTTGTCCTTAAAACACTTTAATTAACTTTAAAATTGTGAACCCAATTCTTGAATATGAGTTAAACATTGATAGATCTAACAAATAAAGGAGTTTTCTATCATTTCTGCTCAACCATATAAAAAATTATCAAGGATCCATATAAATATTAAGTTTACAAAAGTTTATATATATTCTCTATATTGTTTTCTTAAGTTGTTAGAAGTATGGAAATGAAGTTAAAATTAGATTTATAAACTTATTTCATATAATGTAACACAAATAGATACTGTTAACTCAGTATAATCTGAGAACATAAGTTCAGTATCATACTACCCTAACTGACTTATCTCTACTCCCTATTGATCTATTCAACAGATCTTTATATTACCATGAAAATGTGCATTATTATTATTCATAGTATTCCAACTCTGACAAAAATGGTTTGACAATTATCGATTAATAGACACATAATAAAATTCACTTTTAATTAAAAACATTTTCTATTATTAGAAAAAAAATTTCATTTTGTAAATATATACTACTTACTGAATTTAGGTTTGCATTCAACTGGTCGATTAGCTGTACATGGTTCACTAAGTCCAATCTCATTTTTAGCACAAACTCGAAATAGATATTTTTCTCCTTTCTTAAGTCCATCGACTAAACACAAATAACAATAGTAACAAATATAGAGATAACTAACAGAAATGTCAATTTGTAGGAATTAGTGGAGAAGATTTGTAGCTCAGGTGGATGATTTTGGTGGAGTTTTGTTCTCTGAGCTGGATGGTTTGGTCGTGGAGCTTTCTATCTGAAGTTTGTGCTGATGATGTCGTTCAGAAGAACGATGAAAGCTCCACGACCAAACCTTCCAGCTCAGAGAACAAAACTCCACCAAAATGTAGGAATTAGTTTTTGTCTAGGAAAAAAGAGAACTAGTTTATCATTAATTTCCAATTTGTAATACACTTATGATTTACTAAAATTATTTTGATTCAAATGTACTGAATTGGATTAGAGGATTTATTAATCCGTTTTTAAAGCGTCTTGATAACCTTGGCATTTACAGTGTCCTTGGAATTCATATAGAGGTCCATGTTGTACATATTTGTATTAGCGAAGCTTGTTCTGCTTAGATGATGTCGAACTTTTCTAAGGGTTTTAAAATACTAAAAAAGAAGGCCCAGAGCAGAGTGCGTTGGAGAATGCTAGTCGGTGGCCTATGCTGCATTAGGAGTAACAGGAGTAAGTAAGTAAATGAGTAATGAAAATGCTTACGTTAATCGCAAAAGTAACCATAGAATATTGTACCATCAATGATCCACTAAAGTAGGTAAATGAAGTTTTCAAGACTCGATGTTTTATGTGTCGTCTAATCAATATTCTGGGAAGTTAAAATGGGATAAACTGAATATATATAAATAATTTTCTTATGTATTACTCACATTTATTTTACATAGATAACTTCTCTAATCACTGTCATCATCTGTTAGCATAACTTTATTCGTCATGAAATAACTATTCAACGACTAAGAATAAATTAGTTACACTGGTTAGGTATATTAACTAGTTCCAATCCAAATAACTAGTAGTAATAAACAATGTAACTGGTATCCGTTTCTCTAGGAGTTGATTCATTTATTTCTGTCAACAATTTTACCTTTGGAATTAGCTAGAGTAATAATATTTTGTTTCTAATGAATAAACAGAATTATTAAGACGTCAAATATTCTGAGGGAATTCTTGGAGTTCTAGTGAGAAGCCATCACCAGTGGAGTTCAACCGTATTGGGTGTGAGACAGTTACAGAAAACGTCGTGCAATATCGTGGATTGGTTGGCTTTAGACATTAACACTGTTGGATTACGACTCAGTGGTTAGAGGTTAAGAGTTCTCGTGCGAGACCGAAGGTCCTTTGTTGGAGTCCCGTGTGTGCGATCGTGGATGCTCACTACTGAGGATTCTTATACTAGAACAAGACTGTCGTATAGTGTTTCCAGGTTTTTATTAGTGGTTTAAAATTGATTAGTTCATGGTTTCAATGAGCTTCAATTCATTTAAATAGTTTTAAGATTGATTTGTTTAATTATAATAAACATTTAAACATGAACTCTCATAAGCTGAAGGGTCATATCGAGTAATTGTTTTTATTCCTATTTTGAAAGTGTCAGCAGCCCACATTCATGGCAAAACACTGGATTGGATCAAACTGTTTGTTAGATATTCACTAAAGGAATAATCATTTTTTGCTATACTGATGAGTAGTAAGTTAATTTGACAGCTCTTTCACTCCATGTTTATTCATTTAAACATATTGTTATCATATTATGTAGTTAGAATAATAGTCTGTTTGAATTTTGGTCAAGATTTGATAGATTTGATTGATAAGTCAAGATTCATATGAAAATGACTTACTACTTATTTCTATCTACAGTTATGTATTTGGTTTATTTTCTACGTGAAAATAGAGATTAACGATAATAGTAGTAATTTTTTTAAAATACACTAATGAACACTTTCCACCTAAGGTATTTAACTAGGAATTTCCATTCATCCTGACTATTTATCTGTCATGCATAATTATATATGTACAGTTACATTTTAATTATTCTTCACAGGATAAATACTTACCAGTTGTGGAATTACCCTTGACTAATCCTTCTGGAGCTGAACGCCATTCATCTGAATTTACAGGTTTATATTCAACTACATAGCCTATAATACGACGTCCTCCATCTGATTTAGGTTTAGTCCATTCCAATGTCACTTTATTAGCATCCACATCTGATGGTGTAAGATTTCCAGGAGCTCCAGGTACAGCTAAAAGTATATATTGAAATTTACATTATTAGGTAGAATATATATATATATTTTAAAATTATTAACAATACTTATGATAAGTAGAAATTTATTACGTCTACTTTCTCTATAGCTGACATCATGTTTCATAAATCAATTATATTTATTACGTAATTTTAAAAGGATTAAGTATCAAGGATAATATTTATCTGAAATAAATATATCTATGAAATTTGTAGTTAGTTAAACTATCATTTCTCATCAACGTTATTTTACTTAGTAAACTATGGTATGGAATAGTATTAAAGGTATCTTGACGAATGAATTTTTCTTTGAAGTTATCGTGATGTCTTTGAATAGAATAACCAGATATATAGTCCAGATTCTAAGTTATTTTTCGAACTATCTGTTACGTTGAAGGCCTTCAGTGAAATATTCTAATACGATTTAAGTGATGTCATCTTGAAGTTAGATTGTTGGGATGGGATAAATATTCAGTAAGTTGTGAACAGTATTTGTATTCCAATGGAGGATTGTTGGTTAATATGTTGGGAGGAAATATTAAAGCGGAAGCATTTTATTTGAGAAGCCGTTACCAGTGGAGTTCAACCGGTCTGTTGTGAGATAACAACTCACTGAAGACAATGGTGTTCGGTGGCGCAACTTCGTGGATTGGTTGAAGTTAGACATTAACACCGTTGGATGCCGGCTCAGTGGTCTTGTGGTTAAATGCTCGCGCGCGAAGCCAGTAGGTCCTAGGTTCGAGCCCCGCGTGGTGCTGGATCGTGGATGTGCACTGCTGAGGAGTCCAATACCAGGATGAAACGGCCGTCCAGTGCTTCCAGGTTTTCAATGGTGATCTAGCTTCAACTGACTCATGATTTCAACCTGTGACATTTTATTTGAGTTTATTTTTACATCATAAAGCTTATACATTAATGGATGTGGATAACTGAATGATAATATGATTAACTAACATGTAAACTTTAAATCTTTGTCTAGAAATCTCACTTTACACAGGTAATAAGAAAATGAAATCAATCAGGAAATATATTAAGATTGATTTAATCTTAACAGTTTAATTTATAGAAAACATTATAATCCTGTGACGTTCGAGATAAAAAAAAGTGCTAAACAGGAAGATTTTGCGTGATCAAAAGGAATGTAGTCATTTTTTAAAAGAAATTTCCGGATGGTTTCAACAAAAGATTAAAAAATGAATGTTTGAAGTAAACAATAGAACTTAAGGGACTTCTGGATAGTTATTCTGAGTTTAATGGTAAATGACACTCATGAATTCAATGACAAGAGAACTTAGTATTCATGAATTACTTTATGATTTCCTTGGACGTTGAATGATTGACAATTTGTGGTAATAATAATTTGGTGGTATATCATGAGTTAAAAGCTTAGTATATATGTAAATGAACTTACTTGAGGGATTTTCTGCAACTATTGCTCTGTCCGCATCTAAAGGTTCACTTACACCGACTTCATTAGCTGCACGTACACGAAATCGGTACATATTACCTTCATCCAAGCCAGTTACATCGCAGTTCGGTGTGCGAACAAATGAGTTGACGACACTCCAATCACCGGTCTTAGTATTTTGTTTTTCAACAATATAATTTGTTATTGGACTCCCACCATTATCCTGTTGAATAATAAATTAAATAATAACGAATTAGGTAGTGTAAATAAAAGTAATGAGTCTAGTTCTAAAATGGTTATTTCAAATATGTTGAAGTCGATAATTCATGCCACAGAAAGGCTTTGGAAAGTTTAATGCACCTAGACGACCATGGAGCGCTATTGTGGTGGCTTTTTGACTCTAATGAAGATGACGGTGAAGTATTGGTCCTAATTAACATATTCTTTAAACTTAGCATGTTTATAATAAATTTATATCAAAAAGTAGAAGTATAAGTTCTTCGGATTTATGTAACTTGTGTATTTTTATAGACAGATAAGTTAACCGAATGAATAGATGGGTATAATGTGAACTATGAATATTGGTAGCTGAAAGACGCTTAGTTAAGTGTGATAACGTTTTTGATCAAATAATGTCTAAGATATGTAGGGACATATACAATGACATACATGCATAAATCTGGGAAAGGTATATTATTTACGAGTCGATAATTACACTCACATAAATAAATACAATATGATTAACATTTTTGGGAGAGAAAATATCTGAAAACGTATTTGATTAAAGGTTATTAGCTAATATTACCGATGGATTCTGAATGTTTAGTAAGATTAAAATGCTTCGTCTCTCATATGTTTTGTCAAGCTGTTTTTATAACGCTGTTTAAATAAATAAGTATAGAATTTAAATGAGTAACATGCGACACCACATTCTACGGTCCTTTGATGATCGGACACATTAATGACCTGTTAGACATAAGTTTATGATGTGAGATTGACGATTACAAGATGTTGTTAGTCAATCCATTTGTACAGGTAACTTGGTTGCAGATTACATACACAGGTGAATTTTTCACTGATTGACATCAGACATTCTTTGTCATAATTTATAGGGTCACACTGTTTGACCTTTGATAATTGATATTTGTAAAAATAAAGGGCAGTTATAAATCAAACAGATGGTTGAATTTCTATTATCCATATGCTAAGATGAAAATAACACTGTGAAATTATGTACTTTCTTTCAATTCTCTTTAGTACGATTGATCGATGCATATAATACGTTCCTATTAGTTAATTTAGACTCTTAACCGATAAATTCATTATAATATTTCGTTAATCTCTTTACAGTTAGAAACAAGTTAGTACAAATCAATGAATAAGTGAATTCAAAACCAATTTAATTTTCTTCGTACGATCGACTTTTAACTTCCATTAGAAATGATTATCATATTAATAAACATTAGGAATTATGATTAATTAGTAATGTTTGCAATTTAGAAATAAGTAAATATTGATAAAGATTTATCCATTTACTTACTGTTGGCGGATTCCAACTTAATGAACATGAATTATTTTTGATGTGACTAATTTCCAATGGTCCTTGAGGTGGTTCAGGTGGTCCTACAACTTTTACATTGACAGGAGCTGAATCACGACCTTTCTCATTTTCCAAATCAATTTTATACAAGCCTCCATCATTTTTCTCTGCTTCTTTATCCGTAATGATAACTTCGTCAGGAGTGATTTCCACTTTGAAACGACCACCTTCAAGTGGTACAGGGATTCCATTCTTAACGATAAGGTGAAATAATTAGAATTAGAAAAAAATAATGTGTGTTGTTTTTGATTAAAATCGATAATGGAAACATTAGTGCAGAACTATGAGGAAAACATTCGAAAACAAATTTTCTAGCTGAAACTGGTTTCATAAGTAAACACTGTCCTTTCAAAAAAAATTTTATGACATAACTTTATACACGGTGTTTTTCTTAAAACTATACATGTTATTATCAGAATGGGTTTTTGTGGAGAGTTTAACAAATTTCACAAGTTGAAATCATGAGTCAGTTGAAGCACTGGACGGCCGTCCAGTGCTTCCAGGTTTTCAATGGTGGTCTAGCTTCAACTGACTCATGATTTCAACATGTTATTATAATGATAATTCTGTAAATGTCTGATTTAACCAGTATGCTACTTAAATATCCCATAATCGCTGATTACAGTCGTTAGTTTTTTCCATGATACGTATAAACATTGATATTATGTTCTAAGTTCCTATCCTCTAATAGGCACATTTCACCGATATATATTTGATTTACTCAAGTTTTTATTAATTCCACGGAGATGTTATGTTGGGAAGTAGTCGGCTTAAAGAAAAGAACACAACCTACATTTCAAGTGCATATCTCCTTTGAGTGGATGGACTAGGTAATTACCAGTTAAAAATGTCATATGGTGTTTACTAGTGGCATAATTTAATTGACTGAAGATTTCTTTAAGAGATCGCAACTACTGTCAGTTCAGAGAAAATATTTTCATTTGTTCAACTCTTCATGCGTAGGCAAATAAGATGGTGGTTACTGTAGGTTTTACAAAAATTTTCTATATGAAATCTGTTGCATACTGACATACTCAGACAGTTACAGTAACATTAATATCTCACAGAGGTTCAGAAGCTGTATATCCTTCAGAACTATGTTTTTATTCTCTGAATGATTATGAAAAATTATTTATGTTTATAACTAATAACCTAATTTTCAGTAAATGACTATCGACTTAATTCATTGTAATCATGTTTTTTACAAGTAATTTCTAAGATGATTAGATTTTCTACATTTTATTGAGGACTATTATTATCATTTCAGATAAGTTATACTGATAATGCTGATAATGCAAATAATTATTATCAGAATGGGGGTTTATGGAGATTGTAGTAATGCTTGAATTCATGAATTAATTTAAGTTAGACAAGGTTTCCAATGGTGATTTAGCATAAATTGACTCATGAATTCAGCCAAATAATTATTGATACCCAGATTTCTTTCCATTCTTAATTAGCTCAATTTAATGCATGGCTTGTGGTAAGTGAAAGCGAATATTTCTACATTCGAAGTTTTTGGGAAATAAATTTCCACACTAGAAAATACTGATATTATATACTCCTCATCAAGATATTTTCCTATTCTGTTTCCATTAAGAAAATATTATTAATAGTTGAAATCATGAGTCAATTGAAGCTTGACCACAATGGAAAACCTGGAAGCATTGGATCAACGTTTCGTCCTACTATGGGACTCCTCAGCAATGCGATTCCACGATTCCGTCTCCTGAGAGATTTGGGGTTTTCCATGGTGGTCTAGCTTCGATTGACTCATGATTTCAACCATTGAAATTTCTAAAAATCTCCACAAAACCCCTCCCGATAAAATATTAGTTAAAAATTGCCTTATACATAAGACATAATATTCCGACACTTTCTGAAGTGGATCAGATTGATGATAACGTTAATACCTATGGTACGAAATCTTATGCAAATAGATCACGCAATTTTTGCTTGTCGTGTGAATTATTTGACTGCCTAAAAGTGTGCGTTTCCAGAAGAGCTGAAAGTTATTGGGTTGATTCTTAAATAAGTTATACATCTAAATCATTGTTTAAATTTCACAATTGGCACATATCTGCAAAAAAACATTGAAAATCAATGGTCACTGGATGGGTTCTTCAACAGTATTCCCTAACGTCCCTACCCAGAATTAGGCACAATATATTAAGATTACTATGTTTAATACGTTTTATATCTCGGTAGTTATCTGAGTGGATTCATTTACGACACCATTGGGTAGTCATTTAGTACCAGTGTAAGATTCTTCAACAGTGCCTAATCATGACTCTGACAGGGATTGAAGCCATGACATTCAGATCATCCAGCTAATACTTGACAATTCGACCAATGGGTTATAATCAAATCAGAAATATACTAGTTAACTGAAGTTGGAAATCTGGACCATTTAATGAACAAATATATTTGTTCCAAAAAAGAGATAGCATAGGATTTATTGAAATTAATTTACCTTAGTCACTTCCACTTTATCTGGCGGACTTCCAGTAAAAGGTACATGAATTTTAAATGGTTCTCCAACACGTCCAGTTACTTCACGTGGTACATTACGTCCTATTTTTGGTGGAGCTGATAATCGAAGAGTAAAATAAACGTTATTAGAACGTGTCAAAACCCATAATATACAGGTTATCAATATTGACCAATTAAACGATACCATAAATGTTGATGAATTTCTTTGGGGTACTGAATACTTTTGTGAGTGATTTAAATAAAGTTTAATATTAAACCAAGGGATATACTACAAAAAACTGCTCAATGATTTTGTATCTCGAACCCAACAGTTATAAATCTTTGATTATTGCTGTACATTAGCCAGTATATTAGAGGAGATATAAAACTTTGATCTGATTTTGTCATGGTTTTTTAACTTGGAAATAGCTGATTTCATGTCGATTAGATCTCAAATATTTAGAAAATGTCATTTACAAAGTTGAAAGGGGTAAGAAAAATAAACACTTTAAGATCCTGGATTTTAATCAATAGCTTTAACACAAACTATGACAACACGATGTAGCGGTTTTGGTAATAATAATGTTTATGAATTAAGGAAAATGAATCCTCAATTAAGAATATTTCATGGTAAGGGGGAAGGATAGAAATCTACACTGAAGGAAGTGGTAGCAAAGACTTATGTATGTCTAATCTAGATAATTAAGTTATAGATGAACTGACCATAGTGAGTTAGGGTGAACTGAAAGACTGAATATTTTCCTTTTAAACACTAAGGTTTGGGTTCTTTGGATTAATGAAGTGGATGCCCATTCTTAATATCCACTAGTAAATTATTCAGATTCTAGTAGTAAACTAGAGAAGATTCTGTCCTCTTGATATAGTATTCACTGTCTTATTCATATACTGAATGACTATTTTTCATATACAAGCCGACAAATTTCTGTAACCAAGCTAGGATAAACCCCTCTGAGCACTGTTTTTGATTTATGTGCTAGGACAAAATTAAATATTTAGTGGTTGAAGAATTAATAACAGAGGTAGTGTCGATTGCTTACAAGGAACTTGAAGAGGGAAAATTAAAACTGGGTATAATTTGAGAATTGTTTCATTCACTGACCCAAAATGATAATAATATTCACTTTAATAAAAATAAGGTACTGTAGTAAACTATCTACCAATAAATTGTATGAACCAACGTAAAGAGGTCGAATGATGATTACTGGAGAAACTTGTCTGTAGGCACAATCTGTCAAAATGAACTAATTTCAAAATTGACACAAGTGGCCAGCAAACAAGGTTATTTTTGTTTGGTAAAATAGCACAAAAATACAAAATATAATTAAAAAAAAACAAAACATAGAGGTTTCCTGGATCAATACATCATAGTTTTCATAATTCAGTCATCTGTCCAACGGGATTACAAGTTGGATATAACGCTTAATTCTAGCTCATGGTATATATTTGTAGTGTCGGTTATTATGTCAAGTCCACATAGCTTATTCTATCTTCCAAATAGTCCAATTTATTCATTCTTCTTGAGTCATATTTTGACCTTGTTGATTATTCGCATATCAAACTGGATTGTTTTTATGTGCGTTCATTCCTTAACCTACTCAATACATGCCTGTAACTTATTTTTGCGTGACTATAAATATCGATTCACGCTCTGTTAAATAGAGCTGGCTTATATGCCTTCTCCACTGTGCATCATCTAGTTTCGCTTCTCACTTTCTTCGTCTCCCTGGCTGTCTATTAAGATCAACGATTGTATGAAATATACGCATTCGAACTTTATTCTCGTATTTCACTTATTTAATTCCGTTACTTACTAACTCAAGTTAAAGCGATAATTATATATGAGGATTAGCAACATATATATTTCTATGACAATCATCATACAATCCAACTGTAGTCAGATATCGGGTCATTGACATATTCAAGTAAACAGGTTATAAAATTTAAAAATTTGGGCATTCAGTAGAATTTCGCATGGAAACAACAAATACACTTGAAAATCAATAAAATCTAAAAATAGAACCAATAAGCCTTTTCTATGTTATTTAACATAATCAAAAATAAAACTGTCATCTTATCATATTTGATATAGAAATTTCAGAATATATTTTATGTATGAACCTATTCGTTCTCCTCTCTACTATGTAGTATATGTATGTTTGTGTCTCGAAGATATAGTTGCGAACACGTTTATTACATTTTTGTTAGTTCAATGAAGAAAAAAAATGACTAATGATAAAGATAATTTTATTTGATCTTAGACATTTATCTTTCGGACATTCTACTATGCATAATAGTGATGTAGGTGAGGGGGGGGGAGGAGAGCAGAGGGAAGAAAAAATGACATAGTTAATGTGATTTTCTTCAATTGTTCAATTTTTCATAGTTTCAAGTTAGATAATAATTTACATACTAGATCATGGACATGGAATTGGATGTTATATGTTCTATTTTTATATAATAATTAGTTAGTGATGTTATTACTGGGATAATAACCATGACTAGTATTGAAGTTTTCATTATATATTATATACATTGTTGTGATTTTGTGACCTGTTGGACATCTATGGGTAAATGAAGTATCTTAAGAATTGTTGAAATAATAATTCAACGCTTTCAATTAAGGATTAAATTTACCTATCATTATTGTTATTATTTATTTACTCACAAAATGACCTCTGTCTAATGAGTGACAAAATGATAGTTAGTTAACCTTAGGATAGAAACGATATCTTCAATGCTTCTTGTAGAGCAGACCTTTTTTGAAACTAGCTGAGAAAGATTTTAATTAGGTCGATGTTTCCAAATAAGACAATTTATAGACTTTTAGTAATGAACTAGTGAATAGAAAAAAAATCAATACAGTTTTTGAGAAATTTTTTATGGCTTGCGTGATTCAATTAAGATGACAAATATCTTTAAGTTTATTAAAAGTCAGTATTATGTTATCACAAAAGCGTTAATTTAGTTGAATTCATAATTGAAACATTATCACTGCTTACTTATTGGGAATTGAACTTTGATTAGTTCTGTGGGTTCACTTGGTTCACCATTACCAGCCAAATTGTATGGTACAATACGAAATTCAAATTCTTTTCCTTTCGGTAAACCTTTCACAGTGTACTCAGTACCTGTTACATTGCCTGTATTCGCTCTACAATTAAAATTATGATGTTAATTATGATAAATAAATATACCAAATACATTTATTTCAATTCTGAAAAATACTAGATTTTGTTAATTACCTACTAAATAAACTTTAGTAGTATGGCGAGTTTCGATAACATATCAGCTCGATATAGTTGAAACTTAATAGAATTTTCACTTAATCAGTTTTGCATGCTAAAAGCATAAATTATATCCACTAAGTGTAAGTTACAACCTCAAATCTGTATATTTTCAAGCTAAATAATAGAGTTGAAACGAATTTTCCCAACAGTAGCAATAAGTCGTGTGATTACTTTCAGTGAACATCAGTTACAGTAATATGATTTTGAATAATTTATGTTTAGAGTATGTTCATTTCTGCAACATTTAGTGCATCACTTATAAAGTATTTCTGCTGTAAATAATCAGTATGTAATAAGAAAAATCTCCGTTATCGAACGTATTTCCGTGAAGGTTGATTAACTGAGTCATTTAGACACGTTAATAAATTACTTCTGTAACTGAAGAATCTATAAACTCATTATCCTGATTGGAATATTCTTTCTGCTCATGCTTGTCTGCATCAACAGAAGTTTGTTAGTAATAGTGCCACCGTATACAGATTTTATGAAAGTAGTCTTCACCAAATTCCATTTAATAAATTGGTCAGCTGGACGTGTATGTTATTCATCAATCAGTTGGAACTTGATATTCGATCAGAAAACACTGTTCGTTTTAGAGTTGTTCAGGTTACCATCAAATTGTTTAATTTGATCCATAATCAAGTGAATTGTAGGAAGATTAATGGTTTTAGTTGTTTGCACTTGAAACATTTTCCAAAGAAAATGAGGTTACATGGGTTGTATATGATGCATGAACTAGTAATTAAATCACAAATTATTATTAATATTTTTATAGTTAGGCTTGTAGCAAACTGATAATAATCCCTTATCAAACTTGATGCTGGCCTATCAAGATTAATTTTGTTTCCTTATATTACATTACAATTGATCTTTCTAAGTAGTGGTCTTTCAAAGCTCGTGCTATCGTCTTTGTCTGCAGATTCTTTTTCATGCATAGTAACAGCATTTGTTGACCCAGCTTATTCAGGATTGTAGAACATTGATTGTCGAATTGTGATCTCACATTTTCAACATTCGGATCTGTGTACAAATCTGTCAAAAGCTATCACTAAAATGTTTGACTGAGATTTCGGTATGATGAACTATTATGTTTATGTAATAACTGGATTGAATAATTTGAGATTAGGGTGAAGTCGAAGAATTTTTTGGAAGTTGTCATGACTTATCGAATGAAAAATGTTTCTAAGGTTGATAGAGTGTGGGCTATTGATTCAGTGGGATTATTATATTCTCGATCTGATGTTAACACGATTTTTCAACTGGAACAAATAAAACATTCCTAAATCTTCAGAGAGTTAGAGAAATGGCAAAGTAATCACAGTGCGCACTAATCAAATACACACTGTAATGGATTAAAAAACGAGTAATTATTAGGTGATTACTTACTTTGTCCATTCTCTGGAACCTTTTGGTCTTTTTTCTACAATATAACCTGTGGTTGGACCTTTCATTGGTGGTTCCCAAGATAAAGTTACCGAGTCATCAGTTGTAGTTTCGATGATAGGTTTCTTCATACCTGAAGGTGGATCTGTATTGGATAAAACGCATTACAAAGATTAGTTTGTTTTTTGAAAATTTAGCGCATTGGCTAAAAAACTGAAAATAGTTTCTCGATTTTCTGTCACTTATTAGGTACATACTGAAAAGCCCTCAACACTGCCAGATGTTTTCATTGTTTGTTTCACATTCCTTTGATGGATCAATAGCCAGTATCAAAGAGGACAATCTTTGAGAATAACAACTAACTATTTCTTTTTGAACAATTGTGTGTAAATGGTAATGTTTCACCAAGTAGCCTTATTTCTTCATTAGTTCTAATTTGATAATATATTTTTAATGAAATTTCATAAACATGTTTAATCATTCTGGTTGATCATAATCATCTATTAATATTGATGGAAATAAAATATTAATAATGATAAATCATTGAAGAAGAAAAAATCAATAATCCATCATTCAGATTAAAGTTTATTACTTACCATAAGGATGTCTTGCTTTAATAGCTTTAGTTGTTAAAAGTGGTTCACTAACACCCATAGGATTTTCAGCCATCACTCTAAATTCATACTCTTGTCCAACTTCTAAATTTTTAACAGTTGCATTTGGTGAATTTAAGAAAGCACTAACTTTTTGCCAACTAGAATTTGATAAAAAAAAATTTAAAAATATTTTATAGGAAAGTAAATTATGTTTAGAAAAACATTTTTAAAACTAAATATTTATGACTAGTATAGGGGTTGTGGAGATTATTAAGTTTTTGATTGAGATCATGAACCAATTAATGTTAGACCATCACAATTGAAAACCTGGAAGCACTGGACGGCCGTTTCGTCCTATTGTGGGATTCCTCAGCAGTGCGCATCCACGATCCCGCGAGAGGGATTCGAACCCAATATTTATGATAAATATTTAGTGAAAGTTGAAATTCTGTACAATCTACATATTTAGTTTATAGTTGAATTCATAAGTCGATTTAAGCTAGATCACCATTGAAAATCTGAAAGCACTAGATGGCCGTTTCGTCCTAGTATGAATACACTGTTGAGGAGTCTTATACTATGATGAAAAAGTTTTCCAGTACTTCCTGGTTTCCAATGATGATCTAGCTTAAAACGACTCATGAATTCAACTATTTAATTACTACAATCTTCAAAAATCTCCATTCAGATTTATTTTTAATTGAAATATAATAAATTAACTTCATCAGTACCATATTTATACATTCTCTTAATAATAAAGGTTTTGTACTAAGCTTGAACATAACAGTATTTCTATTTCAAAGTTGATGACTTCTATCTTCACAGAAAAGATGCACTCTATGAAGGAGCAAGGGAGTTTACAGAAATTATACTAAAGCTTTATGTTATGAGATCGATAAAGATTATTTTAATGTTGAAATCTGACTGATAATGTTTGAGCGATTTGACTGAAAGTGAAAACCCATCCCGGTAATATTGAAATTTTTATTAGTACATGTGATGACCTTAAATGATCTTTTGTATTTTTGACTCGGTCACATTTTATTTATGTGACTGATTGTTAAATATCAGATGTTTCATGGTAATTACGAGTCGGTACCGAGCTTAGATTTTATGTTCACTAGTGTTGATTAATAAAGTTAATATCCTAACATGAAGATAATCATATTAACTTTAATACCTGAAACAGTTTTAGCTTGTCTGGATTTTTCTGGTTGAGGTTAATATCACTAACATAAGCATAATTTCTATATAATTCAATTAACAATACATTTTTATATACTTTGTTTAGAACTGGGTTTTCTACATGAGGTCTAATAGTACCAGATGGTTATTTAAAGCGAAGTGAAGAACAAAATTGCAGCCGTGTGGCTAAAATCAAGTAGCTTAACTACAAAACCACCATTATGGATAGTATCATCATTCGTACAGTCATTCAGTAATTGTGCTGTTCTCATTTTTTAAATACTCATATAGATTTTGTAAGAGTGTACTTACTTATCACTTCCCTTAACTCGTTTTTCAAGAATATAATTTGAAATTGGTTGTCCTCCATCATCTAATGGAGGTTTCCATTTAAGTGTCATTTCTTCAGCATTCACATCAGTTGCTTCTAAAGGCCCTTCTGGAGGTCCAGGGACGTCTGAAAATTATTATTTTTAAGAAGTAAAAAAGAATGATGAATAAGAATAACATCAACAAAATTTGACCGATAATTTATGCAGAAATTTCAAATTTTATTAAATGTAACGTGTAAATTGGATAAGACAGTCAGTATGAATTCAATTGCCTCTCTCTTTCCCTATATAGATTGATAGACTGGGTTTTTTACATTAGGTATACTAGTTTACGAAATATTTCACTGATAGATGCTTTGTGTTACGTCATGAAATAATTGCACATGAAAAACTAACAATCCTTTTATTCGTAAATATATTATCATGCAGTGTAATGGACTTGTGTACTTTTACATTTTGGGTATTTTTATTGTATCACACATTGATTTAGTTCACTGTCATTGTAAAGTGAATACATATGGAATCTCTATGTTAAATAACAATGTTCAGTAAACTGAGACACTGTATACTCTGAATTCGGTAGAAAACTGATATAGTAAAGTGGGAGTTAATTTGTTTGTGAAGAATAACGACAGGATGTGTGAATAACAACAGAAGTATTGCAGATTACTAAAAGTTTTACTGTTCTATTTCATCGCTTTATATTCGCATCACATTAGTTTGAAATCGAAACACTTTATAGAAATGTAACTCAATAAGGGAACAATATAGCTGTATTATTCATGCAGATGAGGTTCTATTGTTTTTGAGAAATTTCAATGAGCGTATAACTTTCAAGTACATAAAAAACGATGGTAGGCTAGAAGTTGTTAATATAATAATCATGATTATCATTTTTCACATTTACAAAATGCATACCTAGAACTTCAACATGACAAGATGTTTTGACTTGTCCAAGATCATTCGCTAGGGTCAACTCATAGTTACCGCCATCACTTCGACGTGCCTTTGGAATTCGAAGAATAGCTGTTCCACCGGAAGATTGTTCTAATGCTCCGCCAGGACCAGGGTTGGCAGGTGGTGGTGGAGGTTCATCTGAGATTTGGATAAGTTTGCCGTCTGGTTTGACAACTTTCTCATTTAGTGTCCACGTAGGATTTGGTTTAGGACTTCCAAACCAAGCCGCAGCTAATAACAACTCTTGACCAGCCTGAAAATGCAAATGATTATCAGTTAATCATTTGAGGTTTTTACTGAGTTGAATCTTTAAGAAAAATGCGAAATACAATAGCTTCACAACACTGTCCCTTATTAGAATTATGTTTTTACGAGGATACTTACCTTGAGCGTAATATCTTTCAGCCCACCTACTCCAGAGCCAGGACCTCCAACTCCCTCTTCAGGTGTACATATTCTTGGAGGTTCAGGTGGATCTACAGCAGTGATTACAGCTGTCGGTTTTGTTGGCTCTCCTGGTCCTTCTGAATTGACTGCTCGAACTCTAAATTGTCCTGTTTCTCCTTCTTTCATGGGGACAAATGCGCATGGATTAGTTGTTTTTTGAACAGGTATCCACTGATCATCATCCCCTTTCTTTTCTACTACATAACCAGTGACTGGTGCGTTACCATCACGTCGTGGTTTGTTCCAAGAAAGTTTGACACCATTTTTATTAGCCTTTTCCACATTCAACCCTTCAGGTGGTCCAGGTGGATCTAGATTTAAACATCAAATTTTAAACAAACACTGATTAAGATTTCAGTATTGAGTCAAAAGAAATTCTCAAGATGTGTCAGATGAGACAGCTATGGATTTATTGAACAATTTAATCAGTTAAAATTTTATTTTTACATCTTTTGAACAGTTCAGTTGAAAATGTATACCGCTTGCTCTAACTAAAAGCTTTCATAACATATTTTGTAGAGAATAATGAATGTTTATCACGAATAGACTGATATTGTAAAACTTCTTAATTAAATTACTAATTTTTATTTCATACTTTCATATGTTCAACCATTATACAGTCATTATACAAATGAAAAAGTTGATCAATTAGGCTTCGATTCATAGAATACTTAGGTGTCTTATAAAATATGCAATATAGATATTTAAAATAGGAAGTTATATTGGGAATGTTGAAGTTGATTTTTGAAGGTTTTCAGTGATTTACCACAAATTGATAAGTGAGTATGATAGACATCTCTTATTGTATGGTCGAAAGTACTTATTAAATCTCTTTTCCTCTTTCTCTCCCCCTCTCTTTATCTATCTATCTATCTATCTATCTATCTATCTATCTATCTATCTATCTATCTATCTATCTATCTATCTATCTATCTATCTATCTATCTATCTATCTATCTATCTATCTTTGCTTTCAGGTTCTAAATTTATAAATCCAAAATTATTATGTTTGTGGTACAAAAGACAAAATACTAAAGTTGAAACAATCCATGTTGTAAATTGGAAATAGTCAACTCTACACCGATTGAATCTTAAATGCCACAGATTACTAACAAAAAGAATAAAATCATTGATAATATTAGGAAAAGGTCATTCGAAATATTTCTTATTCGTTCATGCTTGTTATTACCAAAATTGTTATTACTGTACTTGTTATGCCTAATTTATTTTTTTACGTCAATCTATTGTGTAACTGTTTGTTGGATGTTGTTCGACTAATCTATTCTTTCAATACAAATGTTCACCTTAATGTGTGCATAGAATATTACATCATAAACATTTCACATAATACGTTGATAGTAAGTCAATGAATATCCTCATTTGCAGAAGTGATATGGATAAATCTGTAGCACCTGTTCTTATGGTTAAAAATCAATATGAGTCAATGTCACATAGAACGAAGCATGAAGCCAGGATTCCACGATCAGCAGTCATTAAATATAAATGTTACAATTTCAGCTACTGTATGAAATATTTTTATCAATCATAATAACATAATGAGAGGTGGTTGGTCTTTAAAGATGATAATATCATATTAATTGATGTTCTCTGTATCATTGCATGCACTGATGAAGTGAACGAAAACTCAGACGGGAAAAACAAATTTGTTGTTTAATGTAATATCAAACGGTGACTTAGTAAAATCTGAAAATCATACATTAAATACATAATTTGCACATCTTCGCATTGTTCTTTACATACTCCATTATTTCTTTAATTCTGTTATTTTGAATGCTTTCCAATTTCCATCCTATTCTCTTCATTGCAATATTCCGCTATCAGGCATTCCACTTCCGATTTGTGCTACATAATACTAATATCTCTCAACATAAGTAGTATACGCCACACTGATAGCTTCATTCAATATTTCGTGAACACAGTGTTCTTAATTCACTACTGCTAAAAGAATTCGACCAAACTAAGTAACTAGTTGTTCAATGATCATGATACCTATACCTATTATTTGCTTATCTCATTAATCACTATCTGGTATTCGATCGTTTAAAAGATTTATCGATCTAAGGATTGTCGAATATAAACTCCCAATAAGAGCCAGCCAAGTTGATTTAATACCAGTTTAGAATTCGGCATCAAATGAAGATATTTTTGCTTATAATTACCAAAAACAGCTTAACGTCATTCATGCAATCATTAATGACTAACTCCGACGTGTATTCTTCAATTTCTAGTGAGGATTCATAACTGATAAGGCTTAACCATATCTAAATTGAGGTAGTCATCATTGATGATATATATCAAAATTTAACTGGAACTAGAAGCACATAGCATTAAATTCTATCACAGTAGTCAGTAGATTTCTTGTTTACTACGAGACTGAGGTCATGATACCAGTACAAGTAAATCGTAATAAAATGGATAGAAAAATGAAAAAAATTTTTTCTAAATAATAAATAGATAGTAAGTATATTAAATTATAGGTTCAATTATTAATTTAACTTACAAACTGGATCCCTGACCAGATGTGGTTCAGTCGCTTTAGAAGGTTTACCAGGTCCAGCATCGTTAACAGCACTGACACGAAACTCGTAGGTTTGACCCTCTTCTATTCCAGTAATTGTTGCTTCTGTGCCAGGGACAAGTGATCCTGTCGCCTTACGCCATTCACCTCGAGGTAATCGTTTTTCAATTAAGTAACCTTTAAAAAATATATTAGAAAGTATGTACAGTTGATCATTTTGAGGTTACTTCATGAGATTTAGCTAGCAATTTTAAGATAACTTTCAAGTGATTTCCTGCCAGTTTTACTTTTATAAGGATGAAACATAATTATTTTAGTCATTTTTGTAAACAGAGGATTACAGTTATAGAGAGAGGCAATAAGGATTACAATAAAATTTGGTTGAGATTAGTTAAAAACGATCTTAGTTTCCTACTTACATTCTTTTGTAAAGATAATCTGCAAACGATAAACTGTACTTATTTTTTAATTAATGGATTCTTACCATGTATCATTGTAATCAGTCACGTTATCAGTTGAATAGAAAGCCGATTGTACAACTGATATATGACGAGAGAAAAAGATAACATTATTCAGGTCAATATTTTTTGCATCAATTCATTACGAATTTCGGTCAGGGTGACAAATGTGAACTTTCGTAAAAGTTAGTTTACAAATGATTGCATTATGGTCTAATGACGATGTGATTTTTGGGACTCGTTAATTGAATCATTCTTTTGTACTCTTACTTCGCATCGTGAGAACTGTGATGATTCCCGATTGTGAGCACAAACAGTAGAACGGTGGACCCAATAGAGTTGATGCGTAAACAACAGCTGCGATACGTTGAAGATATAATCAGAATCAAACTGATTAGTGTTATTGTACTATTGATTGATGATAGATCACGAAGTTCGGTATTATGATCCTACTGTGGTATAGAACAATTTTAATAATGGTGAATATTGCACTGATAGAGAGTGAGTTACCCATCAGCCAACATAAAGAAAATTGTTAAGTGAATTACAAGTTTTTTAACCTGATAATTTGGTTTATACAAACGTATAGTCTCTACTATTAGGTATTTGGGCAATGAAGGAAAATATTTGAATGATGTCATCAGGTTATTAAATAATGAACACCTTTTCGCTCAAAAATGCTTATTATTATTATTGTCGGGCTGAAGCGACAGTTTTTGCCAAACCTTACTAGCTTCTCCTATTCATAACCACTTTTCTCAGTTACTCAGTACCGTAAAAGTACCGTAAAATCTACTAATTACTTAAGTTTCTGAGTGAGAATATTCTAATTTGTCAACAGATAAGTATTGACTTTATGTTGATGGAATAAAGTGAAAATATGAAACAATCAAGGACATTTAAAAGTAAACGGCTAAATTTCAAATGTAACGTACAAATGTTACTCTACTATAAAGTGAAACTTCAGTAATATTATTAATGTTAAAAGATAAATAGCCACTCATTAGTTATGTATCTTTTTAATCTTTCAGGTATTTACTATAGAAATGAAGAAGATATGACAATAATATAAACCTAGAATTATTTACACAAAGTTGTTGCAGACACATTGTTGTAACACTAATCTGTGAACTTGCATAATAAGCAATCTAAAATTACTCCGAAAACATTACTATAGAATAAATATTTTTGCTAAAAAAAAGTATATATCTACAAATTACTTACCCTTGATTGGGTTACCTCCATCGTCTGCTGGGGGTTTCCAAGATAATTTCACTGAACGTTTATCATATTCATCAATATTCAATTTTTCTGGTGCACCAGGAGGATCTACATAGAAAAGTCATGCTTAATGAGTTAGTTTAGTAAAAAAAAAACTTGCGGCGAAACGTTGTTTAAATTCACATTATTGCAAGCAGTTTAATTACGGAGGGTCCATGCATCAATACCTTGGCTAACATTTAAGCAATTTAAAGTAGGATTGATTTAAGAACTACCGCAGTTACAAAAACATTTTATTTTTTTTTGTAAAGCAAAATCAGGAAAAAGTGTTTCAATGGAATGTGAGTATTAAAAGGTGATTAATCAATTACAGTTAGCAAAGAGTGATTAGCTATTTTTGTATCTATCGCTTTTTGAGTTTTATTTTCCATATATACTTTAAGAGTTAATAAATGGAACAAATCAATTCACATCGTAGTAAACTTTCTAAAGGTGAATATGAAAAGTATTCAATGTATTATTAATTTTATCAAGTTGACTTTAGGTTGAAAATGTAGTAACCTCCAACTCATAAACTCTTAACGAAATGTAGACAAACTTAAAAGAGTTAGTGCTGTATAATACTAAATTTTATAAAATAAAGTTTAATTTTATTCATATTGATCCTTAGTTATCAGTTTTACTTCAATTTTGTTAGTATTCAAAATGAAAATAATTTCAGGTAATTTATTGTGTCCCATTAGAATCAAGAACTGATTTAAGTTAGACCACCATTACAAATCTGGATGCAATGGAATACTGCTTTGTCCTAGCATGGGATTCCTATGTACTAGGAAATCAAACAGGATCTTCAAACTCATGAGTGAACGCTTAACTTTTAGACCACTGAGCCGGCATCAAGTAGTATACAAGTTTATCTTTAATCGATCTACCATATTATTCATCTATCTCTCATTGTCTTTGATAGGTAATTTCCTGACACCTTACATAGTTTAACTTCACTGGTCACTGTTTTCTAGTCGTCATCTAACTTAGATCAGTTCATGATTCCAATTAAATTTAAGTTTTCATGACTCCATATCGATCGTTATCATGTAGTCGCAAACAAAAACTAATAAAAGGATGAATAGTAGGAAATATTCCAATTAGAATACATTATTTTTGATCAATGAAAATTATGTGATGAACACAGATGAACTCATGATTCTTTTTCGACAAACTATTCGTTTCTAGAGTTTCATTCGGGATTCTGGTATTTAATTTAAGTCGCTAAGACGTTTACGCTGAAAATATTTGTTTTAGGATCAATACTTTATTATCAACCATAGGTGAAATTCATTTCTTTACACCTTATCTTTTCAGTAAAACATAAAATAGGACAAAAATTTCTGTCTTCAATTTAGACCACTTACGTATGTTATAAAGCGAATTAAATATAACATACACTCATTGAAAATACTAAACATACCATAAGGATTTTTGGCAAGTATCGCAGTTTTTGTCTCCCCTGGTTCACTATTTCCTATCATATTGACAGCAAATACACGAAAACGATAAGATTTCCCTTTAATCAAATTCTTGACATTTATTGAATTATCTGTAACCAGTCCGGATACACGTTCCCAAATGCCAGTTTCATCACATCGTTCAACTAGATAATCTGGATTTTGTAAAATAGAAACAAAGATTAATTGGTAAGACTGATAACGTCATAAAACCTAATAGGGGTATTATTTAAAGTTTTACTTTATAAGGTAACTTCATCTAACAAACCATAGGAAGCCAATGACGGCTTAATAACTGTTTCTTTATTAGTTTGGATGGCTTCTCCACGACAGCAGATTGAATATAACTCAACGACCTGTAGCCATCACGATACTCTTAATCCACTGAGTTCGAGTCAGTTAGTTCATATTTCTAAATTCAGTCAATTTACGATATAGTGCGACGATTATTCAATATCTATTTTACAATTCCTTTTTTATCGGGCCCATGGACATTTCAAAGGCTGATCTGTCAGTTAACACTTTTGATAATACAGATATAAATTATATCTATCAATTCAGTATGTTAACTGATTCACATTTTTTGCTAGTGTATTGGAAACCGTCAAATTCTATCTTGTAACCTTAACAAACAAAGTTTCTAGATTCATCGTTAAATGGTTTAACAAACAAAATGGGTTCCCAAATGACAATGCTTTATTCACTGTTTAAGGTAAATAATTGCCATTACAGTAAATAGTTGGGTTACAGACGTTTATGGTTATGTTCACATGAACATTAAAAAGCAAAGTATTTTGACTTAGATGATTGGAGATAGACGAAAAAGTCATGGTGGACCTAGATTTTGTGGTATTTAGCACTCATCACTAAGACGTGCCTCAAATCTTGAAGGAACTGATGCCTCTTGACGGTATCAAACTCAGCTCAACCACATTTACAGTCTGAGATATCCCCACCGAATTCCTTTTTTTTATTAGCCTTGCTGACAAGTGTTAAATAACTTCAAAACTAGGTTTAAAATTCCTCGTCGAATACTTCTAATCACCTCAAATCCTAGCGTAGCGCTCGCGATGTCAATTCATTAAACTAGTTTCCATTTTTATCACCTGATCAATAGAATTTGATCAAGACTATGTGACTCGACACACATTAAAATAATCACTTCACAGGGATGAATGAATTGTAAAGAAGTTTGTTGAATTCACTAAAAAAAGTAAGATGGAAGATTATATACCAACCACTATTAATGTATAAAAATCAATAAATTAATGATTAACACATTTGCCTGAATTCCGAAATTCATTTGGAGATTTTTTTTATTTTTAAAAAAAAAATTAATCAATAAGGTAAAGAATTTCATTTGTTTGTGCAAGAAAATCAATAAAATGAATTTATGATTTAATTCCTCTTTTTCCATAATCAGAACATTTATTAACCCAATTAAAATCATCCCAATTTATATTGATTTTTTTATTATTGTATTTTAATGGGTTAATCATAGGGAAATAAAATTGTTTCAAAAGTCAGCTATGAAAATGTAAACATTAATAATTTGTATATATTAATGAATTGGCTGGACTCTAATTTATGGACGAGTCAATCAGAGGCATTTGAGAAATTTCAGGGTTAAGGAACCAACTTTAATGCTTAATGCTAACGTACGATAGGTTTACAGGGGATTTTGTACAAAACATGATAATTGAGCCGCTATAACAAATAAAACGACGGGACTATAATTTGTGGACAAACCAATAAGGTATAAGATAACAGATCTCGGATTGTGGTGCGAACGTCTTTCATCCATTTGGCTAAATAAATTTCTGGCATTATAGCTGATGTCAGTTTGTGATGAAAACCCCATATATAAATCCCAACTGAGGCAAATTACGACAATTATTGCGAACTGGATAATAAAAGCACCAGTAACACTGGCTTCAGCCAGGTACTACAATATTTACGGATGATTGAAGAGCGTACAGACTCCTACATAGGCTTGGTTATGTGCATCATGTCGTTATCCAGAAGTAGCATTTTGTGCACTCAATAACCGGAGTGCACACAAACAATATTGTAGCTATGTGGTTGAGGCTGAAAGAGATTTTGAGACTTTATCATGGCTCCAGAGGCCGACTATTCTGTAGCCGTACAGATGATTTCCTGTACTGCATGCATTATAATTTTAAAATCTCTGAACATCATTCTAACATTGAAGAGTTTTTGAACCATGTATAAGAAGTGTATCCACTTTATTTTCTTGGTTTTATATAACATATTTTTACTCTATACTGACTGTTTACTGACTGGTTAATATTTCTCAAAGTCACTTAAGATTCATTCAAAGGTCGTTCATAAATTAGAGTAACTATAAAAATGCATACCTGTTATCGGTGTACCTCCATCATCCATTGGTGGTTTCCAAATAAGTTTACATGATTCAGCATATACATCGATTGCTTCTACATTGATTGGTGGTGAAGGTTTATCTGAATAATTTAAAAAAATATATTCGAATAAATAAAAAAAATAATAATTAAACCAGTAATCATGATTGTGATGTACAAACAAAAAAAGAATTGCAATGGTTTACTTACATACAAATATAGAAAGTATATTTATTTCTTAAACTGATAAGTCGATAAGGTTTTGATTAATTTTCATTATCTAATAATAACAGCTGAAGAAGTCAGATGACATGAAACAGTTATTTCCTTATAACAATTGAGAAGTACCAATGCTTTCTGATTCCTATTGGTTATTTAAGTGATATCGTCTGATAGTGAAATATACTAAAATCAATGTTAAACTTTCATTAAATTTTACTTTAATAAAAATGGAAACTTATTAAAGAAAATAAAATTTAGATAAGATAACAAAAGAGGAAATTTGAGATTGTCATTATATGGTCAACAATGTTTGTAAAGGACAACTTCAGTGAAACAATTGTGTATGCTCATAAATAATTCCCTTTTGTATAAAACTGATGAATCAGTTAAGAAAATGTGTTTAGTTCAACTTTCAGAAATAGTTCCTTCATTCTGACATCCTACCTCTACCGGTACCAGAATTCAAACGACTATTACTCATTTGTACAAAAGATGTTCAGTTCCAGTTCAACGATATCAAATACAAACAAACCGACGGTGTAGCCATGGGAAGTCCATTAGGTCCTGTCCTAGCAGATGTTTTCATGGCTAACCTCGAAAAAACCAAACTCAAACGAGCGATTGATGAAATGACGTATTATTCGAGGTATGTTGATGATACCTTTATCGTATGTAATAATAAACAACATGCAATAAATCTGCTAGAGTTTTTCAACAAAGCACATCCGAATATCCATTTCACTACGGAACATGAAAAATAAAACAAGTTCCATTTTCTGGATATCGCGATGAAAAGAAGAAAAGATGGTACGGTTCAACGTTCAGTTTATAAGAAAGACACATGGAATGGTAGTTATCTTAATTTCAATAGCTTTTGTCCAATCAGTTACAAAAAGGCACTGGTCATAACATTGTTTCACAGAACAGAAAGAATTTGTACTTCCGACACACTAGAAGAGGAAGTTTGAATGTTAAAAAATGTTTAAAGAATAACGGATACCCACTGAAATTTATTGAAAAATACGGCAAATGTGAAGATAAAAAACCGAAAGAAACTACAGCAAATAAAAAGCGTATTTCTATTCAACTTCAATTCAAAGGTGACGACATCACAGGATCAATCAATATGAGACTAAAAACTGCACTGACAAGAACTTATCCTGCAGCGAAATTGATTGTCCTGTCCAAAACACCATGTTCTTTGACACAATCAAAGGTCGACATGTATCCCTTTCATGTTACCACCAACTGTGTATACAAATTTACATGTACCTGCCAAAGCAGTTACATTGGTAGAACAGAAAGGAGAGCCTACGTCCGATTCAAAGAACATGTTCCGAAAAGTTTACGGTTAAATGGATTGAACGCATTCAACAGTGCTATCGCAAGACATCTCCTTGATACAGGACATGAAGTTGATATACTGAAGTCCTTCAAGGTGATTATCAAACAATCAAAAACTCCAACCTTTTGAAATTCGCTGAAGCATTAGCAATCAAACGTTTAAAACCAGATCTATGTATACAAAAAGAGACAGTAATAAATCTTTCTTTACCCTGGTAACAATAACTCCCACCCTTTCCATTCATTTGCTCCTATTTATTTATTTATTGCGTCATTATTACAACTCTTTCTGAAGTTTAAATTATATCATACATAAATGATTGATTTTAATTCATATTTTCTTTATTACTATTAATCTATTTTCATGAGTTCTGATCACTATCTCAATGTTCCAGAACTTTCCCTTTCTAACTTTATTTATTTATCCGAACCAAACATTTTTATGAGCTCATTAACTGTATATGAATATTTTCTACATCATACACATGTATTGATCCTTATTCACACTCTTATGTATAAATATGTCAATATCTGTAATAATGTTGAATTTCAAATAATTTAGGATGTAAGCAGCTGATGAGAACCTAACGAAATAAAATGAATTCATAGATTATTCTGCACCAATCTTTGTTCTTGCTCTATTTAAGATAATAAAGGGAACTATGTGTATGAAAGAAATTTTATTCTTAGTTCTCTAATTTATTTACAAACAATTTTGGTGTGCTCCTAAGCAACTTTATGATTTAAAAACAATATGCCTATATGCTAATTTAAATTAGAAATTAAGGATGATGAAAAGGGAAAAAAGCAATAATACCGGTGGGAGAAATGAAATAGTCGACTGACAAAAATATTTAAACTAAACTTGTTATCTCTTACATACCTGTAAAAGATTAATAAAGTAGATATTAGTTTGATAAAGAATGTTATAGTTTTTAAACATTCATAAAGAGGTAAACACTTTTCTGAAGAAAAAAAATGTCTACACACACTAGTATTTCTTGATGCAACATGGTATGTGTAGATCTACACGATAACAACTTGAAGATATAAAATATAGATGAAGAAGTTGAGTGATAACTAAAGTTTTCTAGCCTGTCTGGATTAATTTTAGTAAAGTATCTACGTATTTATTTAAGTAAAACTAATTTTTAAATATAACATCTAGAAATACATGATGATCACCAATGGGTATTAGTGGAGGATGTTTTTTTGTTGTTGACAGATACTATGTAATATTTATTGTTGGACAAGTTGAATTCATACTTATATGTTCAATGATAGTTTTAAAAAAATTGTTCAGTAGATCATTTAAATGACATATTTCATAATTCCATTTTATTCTCTTAAATCTATACTACTTAAATTATTGACAAGTTATACATATATCAAGCAATAAACCAATGATAAAAAAAACAGAGAAATCATACTATCTATTGCATAATAAAGATTTAATTGTTACATCTATCTGTATTTGTTTAATCTCTTCTAGCTATGCTTAAATACTACATCAATCTATGTAAGACCTCTTTAGTTTCGAAATAATCCATTTATGTAAAAGAATAAATATACATAAATTACAGTTAATGAGTAATTTATATGAAAAGAGGATGACATATTACAGAAGTATTTTTACTGAATATTAAAGGTCAAATGAAGTTTATTCTTGTCAGCTACATTTTTTTTTCCTTACAAAAGATTGTTAGTAACTTTATTTGAATGGGAATACATAACATGATTAAGCTTTTCTATACTAAGAAGATTTTTTTTCAATTTTGTTGCTTTCCATAGTGTAATTAATCGTCAATTATTTGTGAAGCAAAGTTTTTTTTTTTAAATTCATAAGAACGATGGAAAAATATCCCATGTACAGGGAGTTTTCATTATTTAATAACAATCTTAATAGTATTTTGTTCCTATGGTGATATTTCTGAAACTCATTGAGGTTGATTGTCAGGTCTTAATTTTATAACATGGTAAATATCTTTTTAAAAAAAGTGAATGTTATAGGTATTCATGTTGTGAGTTTTATAACATGTAATGGTCTCTCTTAAGATGATTTATTTTTGCTGATTAGCCGTTCTGTCTTTCAATGCCTTTTTCTTCAGGAATTTCAGAATATAAGTCTATTTTATAAGTAATTATCACACTATCACACCAAAAATATCAAACCAGATGATTGACTGCATATTTACGCAATTCATTGAATCAAATAAACTATTTCTCTTGTATTAATAGATCTAATGCAAAGAGATTATCACTGACTTATCGTATAACACCATAATAATACATGAATAGTACTTTTAAATTCATTAATTAACCGATTCATTTAAAATGAAAAATAACAGTCTGTAGTGACCTACTTTTATGAAGAGAATGCGATTGGTATAATGGAAATGATTGTTATTATAACCAATTGTACCAGTGATTGTTTTACAATACCTGATTGTTTAAGTGTACTAAAAAAAACATCCTTCCGTTGTCTGTGACCTTGCACGAACTCCGTACGCTCAATAGTCCCGCTTGTAAACTTTGGCACGATCTCGGTATTATTTCGATCGTCAACAAATACATTTTAATACAACCTCCAATTACCTCCTGATATTTGGTCTACAGAGGGATCTAACCTGGTAACTGGCACGTAGTCTTCCTGTAGTGGTGATCATAGTGAACCGCGACTCGACGCCCACTACAGGTCTATCACTTACGATATTGAAATTAAATTTTGAGGGTAATGTTATTCTAAGAAGAGAAATCAACCAGTTTTTCTTTCATAATTAGTTGTCACTAGATCTGTTTTGACGAAATTATCGTAAGCATTGTTAAACATAGATATTAATGCCTTATTGCTATTCGTCTCTTAAATATTGGCTACCTTTTTTTAAAATAACGTACAAAATGGCCGATCAATAAAAAATATGATAAACATACCCATTACAATAACTTTAACAACTGCTTCATCTTGACCATATTCATTCGCTAAATGAATTTTATAGAGACCCGAATCATCACGTATTGATTTGGGTACATCTAAACAAGTATGTTCTTCAGAATTTTGCAGTTGACAACGAGTTGGCAATGGTTTATTGTCTTTGGACCATGTTATTGTAGGTGTAGGAGCACCAGTTATTGGGATAGGCATATGTAATGGTTCACCGGCTCTTAATCGGATCTCTTGTTTTATTCCCAATGGCAATTCAGTTAGTTTTAATTTAGGAGGTTCTGGAAGAAAAAAAAATTCAAGAGGCCACATCTCAACCAGCTGATTTTTGAATTTAATTAGCTAGACAAAAATTTCCAGCACTAGGCAGAATAACGAAAGGTGTTATAAATGGTTTGCTGTAAAAATTATCTATAGTTTAAGTATTGTAAACAGCAGCTCGTCTAATTACAACTACAAGTGAAAGATCTATGTTAATGGTTCTATAAATTTTCCGTAGTGTTCTTATCACTTCGGTAAGAGAAATGACTGATCAAAAGAATTAGATTACAGATAATTTCTTCATGCATAGTAACAAATATCATACTCTAGATTTTAGTATGATTCAGCTTTATTGAGCGAACATTTACTGACGTTGATAATATGTAGTTTACAATTTCAAGAAATCCAGTCTTCGAATTGAGCACTCATCACAATCTACTGCATTGTGAATATTTAGTGGTTTGGAAATCTTAGTAACTAATTCATTTAATGGTGATAAATATTCCCAGTACTAATGAAGACCTCTTGAGTCTACTTGGAAGGATAAATCTATAGGGTCGTTTAATGTGTTAAACTTCGATGAATTGGAACAAACAAATCAGTAATCAATATTGCAAAGAGTAAATTCAAAATGACACAGTATCTGTGAAATTTAGTCTTTAGCACAATGCAGGGGAACTTTTGATGCAAAGAATGAACTGGAACGAGTTATCTATAGCCTCTGAATACAAGCTCTGTGGTTTGTGTGGTGTTTGATCAGGTTTTTGTACTTGGCTTGATACATTATTTTCGTCAGGATAATATAGAGTCAAAGTCTAATGGATAAAACTTACCTCGACTAGCTTTTGCAAATTGTAAATCAGTTGGAGGACTTGGATCACTTAAGCCACCTTCATTCACTGCTATCACACGATATTCGTATTCTTTTCCTTCACGAACTCCGGAATCAGAATATGTAAGATCCTGTTGAGGAACACGTGTCAAACGCATCCAGCGTTGCGACCTTGGCTCTCTGCGCTCAACATGATAGCCTTTTATAGGTGCACCTCCATCATCTTCAGGTGGTTCCCATTTTATATCTATGTGAGTGCGATCATAGTCAGCAATCTTTGGTTTCTCTGGTGGACCAGGTCTTTCTACAACATCAAATTACAAACAAGAAATATTGTATTCTAAGGATTATCAGTATTTATTTTAATTAGACCGTTTTGCGATCTTAAAATTAAAGTGCGTTTAATGCAGAAACTCATTCCAGTAGCTGAAGATCATTCTTACTCCTAATCATTTTAACGCTGATGATTGTATATAACTTCCACGTTGCTTTCATATCTACCAATGAAGTAATAGAGTTGATGAGAGATAATTTAGCGATCATGTTTAAATCTATTTAGATTTCTACACACCATTATTAGGATAATACTTATAGGAGTTGATTTCTGATAAAAAGAAATAAAACCAGCCCAATTTTATTTAAACTGTGTTGCACAAATTGAAACATGATGACTGTTTGTATTGCCTCTATCTCTATGTATACCAAACTGCATAAATCGAGATCGATTGTGGTAATCCATTGACTAATGTATCACTTATTTTCCTTATCTAACTTCAAATCATTTGGTGAACTTGCTACAACTATCTGAGAGTCTATATATTCTTAGCTTAGAGAATATCCAGGAGATATTAATTGAAGATTGATTAGATTATGATATTTATCACTTATCTCATTAGTCAGGTTGTAGTAACCGAGAACACGGGTGGGGACAAACGGATGTGCTTAGCACAACAATTACAGTCTATCTCAACAAAATCTGAATACCATATAGTCAATCGTCAATTTGCAAAATATTCAGGCATCAAACCAAGCTGGACTGTTTCTGTTGCAAACACCAATCCATTGTCTCCCATTCCATTGTTCGTGCATTTTCTTACAAATTCCATTGTGTTCTCGCTCTACCTTTCTTGATCTTCGCCATCTTCCGCTGCCAGACATTACGTCCTTTTAACGCACGTTATATACTACTTATATCAACACAAGTAGCTCACACCACACTCGTCCCCCCCTTTAAAGCAGTCGTTCTTGTGGTGGTTCATGCTCGTCGAGCAACATTCTCCGTCTCTGCAGTCTGTGCCACGCTCTCCGTCAAGATGTTGAGTCTGCGCCGCGCTGACTTCCATAGCTCCGTCGACCTGCCGGGGAAACAACAACCGACATCCACCCGGCACCTGGGACGCTTGACACCCGTACTCCACCGGCCTGCCGAGCCATCTACATCCAATGCCCGCCCAACAGCCGCGCGTCCCACCGCTCCTCTCCGTCGACAGCAAAGTTATTAGATGATTAAAAGTGTGTTTCAAAGATCACTGACCACTGTTCGTCAAATACTAGTAATTTTCTGTTGTGATATTTAATTTGACCACTATGATTTATACAATTTATTTATTGAGTCATTTGTTATTCTGTTATAAAATGAGTTAATTTATCTTTATACTAATATAAAGAAAACTGATTAAACTAGCCCGTGCAAAGAATAAAACCTCTTACAACTGAACTGAACTTGAAAGTCCTCCAGATCAGAAACGCTTCCTTATACTTTTGATCATAACTATCTTACATTACATATTTTTCTGATAGTTTACAAACGTTTTAACATTTTATAAAATATATTCTAAAATACTTCGTCTAAACTAATAACAATCAATGGAATAAATAATTATATTCTTATTTGAAACATACCAAATGGATTTTTAGCAATTATTTCAGTATCACATTCAAGTGGTTCACTTTCTCCTTGACTTGAAACAGCAATTATACGGAATTTATATGGTTGACCTTCTTCTAATTTATTTACAGTCGCTGTTAATCCTTTAGTAATTTCAGCTACAGGTTCCCATCGGCCTTTATTCAGGTTCATTTTTTCAACTTTATAGTGCCTTGTTAATAAAAAATATATGTATATACATGTAAGAGGTTAATTACTATCCTCATAGGTATAATAGTTTAACCAAAGATGTGTTCAATACGTAATAATCAGTTTAGGTAGTTTTGCTAATCTACAGGGAAACAACAGTTACATAAAAAAAAACACTTTTAGAACAATTCAGTTGTTGATTATAAAACTTCTTACAGTTTTTTAACAATGTCTGGTCAATAGTGAAACACAATGCTAATATTTTAAGTTTATTTAAGTCAGTCAGTAAATAACAAAATACAATATTATTGTTTTAATATATTAAGTGGTATCAAGTGGCTTTAGATTATCTATTCCGTCAGAAAAAAATATTGATCAATTAACAACTACTATATGTTGTTTTTTGATTAGATACATAACATTTGACTTAGTTACATTTTCATTCAAAGGAACAACGGTGTTTAATTACATTACTATGCATGAATGAATCAATTTTAATCTACTGGCTTTCGTAAAACTCGGTTAGGTAGAACTAATTTATCATATTTTGTAATCAACATATTTTATTGGCTATCCTAATATTCCATTACGACCAATTTTGTCTATGCGTGATTCTCCCACACATGAGCTAGCTAAATGGTTAGTAAAATTGTTAAACCCAATTCGTACTAATCTATGTAAGTTCTCTTTAAAAGATACATTTGAACTAATTGACCTTCTTGGTGACATTAATATTAAAGATAAATCTTTGCATTCATTTGATGTAAACTCTCTCCTCATGAATGTACCGTTAACAAAGACGGTGGATTTCCTTTGTGACTATATTTCTAAAGACTTTCCCCATTTTCCTATTCCGTTACCATTTTTGAAAGAATTACTTTTATTATGTACAGCTAATGTTCAATTTACGTTTGATGGTGAATATTTTGGACAAGCTGATGGTGTAACTATGGGTAGCCCTTTGAGGCCTCTCTTAGCTGACGCATTCATGTCATATGTGGAATATATGACGAGTGACCTCATTAGTGAGACAAATCTATATAGAAGGTATATGGACGATATCCTAATTATATGTGACAAGGATTTTGATCTTTACCGACTACTGGAAAACCTCAATGGTGTTCAAAACGATATTGTGATGACACATGAATCAGAAAGTAATGGCCAATTAGCCTTTCTAGACATACTCTTAAGTCGAAGGGATGATGGCACTATTAGACGGTCAGTGTATAGGAAACCAAATTGGACGGGTCAATACTTAAATTTCCATAGTTTCTGTCCATTGCAATACAAGAGAGGTCTGGTTAAGTGCCTCTTTAAGAGGACTCGAAGAATATGTACCTCTGACATGGTGGAAAAAGATGAAAAGTTACCGACTGACACATTAATAGCAAATGGTTATCCGCTCAAGTTTATTAATAGGTGCAAAAGTCAGTTAATGCCAAGACCTCTAATTTATTCAGTGCCAAAGAAAAAAGTTTATATCAATCTTCCATATAGAAGCGAATCTAAAAGTATAGTCTTAAGGCAGAGATTGAAAGCAGCCATCGAGAATACGTATTTTGCTGCTCAGTTGGTAGTAATTGAAAAGTCTAAGGTCATGATTCCTAATAGACCCAAACAATGCACTAATGATTTCGTCACATCCCATTGTATTTACCAATTTAAATGTTTGTGTGGATACACATACATAGGGAGGAGTAATCGAACAATGCAACAAGGGTCAATGAACATATGCCTAGATGGCTTTAAAGTCAATGTATGTCAAATGATCCGATCAATGTAGGAGGTAGAAAACCAAGCTCATCGATAGCAAAACATATAACCGAGATGGGGCACAAAATTGACATTAATACAGCATTTATAATGTTGTACAGAAATTGTTAAAGACGAATTCTTAAGTTTATTGAAGCCTTGGCTATTCGTAAATTTAAACCCCCCTTATGTGTACAAAAACAATTTGTCGTAACCTTGAATTTACCTTGGTAATCCTTAAGTCATTCTATGGCTTAGGATAACGTGACAATTTCTTATTCTTTCTCTCCCCTTAGTTATTTTAATTGTACTTTTATTTGTTTGACCTTTATTAATTTCCATATAAAAATGCCCTGACAAGTATATGTGTGACCAGAGAGTTCGAAATGTATAGCGCTAATACATCACATTTTTCAGATCGACTCCGTCTTCTCATTGTTCTATCGAAATTTATAAAAGAGACTAATTGCTTTATATCCATAATAGTTAAACCATCATTCATAACAGAAATCGGCATATAAGCTTTTATAAAGTACTTGTCCAACAAATTTACTATAAAAATTAAAACCTCTTCAATGAACTGCAACAATAATTCCCGAACAAATTAATACATATTAAACTCAACATCTGAAACTGCATTTTAAACTTCAATCAGTCAGTCACAACGTAGGACCAGGCAAATATATGCATAGGTCCAAGTTACCATATTTCATTAGCACAACAAGATAAACACCAAATTCATAAAAATAGTTAATGCGATGGTATTGATATATAAAAGAAAGATTGTGTACAAGGACATATTACAGGAAGAAAGAGTTAGAAAGAAAGGTATAACGTAATTTTAATCTAACGGTTTAAGGGAAGACAAAGACTGTATATACCTACGCCATTGTGATGGAGTCTGAGCCATGTCACATAGAGTCTCCAACCATTGGTTACGATAGCCACGCGGACCCCAACCAAGTAGTCTGCATGTACCAACATGCCTGAGACTAGAAGTTCGTGATTTCAATGACTGATGCCAAGTTTTGATTTAGCCACTCCTAACTTTCTTCCAGTCGTCTCCAACACTAGTCAGCATTGCTCGTCGTGGTAAACGGTGTTCAGGCATATATGTAACACGTGTCCCAACCATCTTACTCGATGAATATTTACAACCTTATCGACTGGTTTACCAGTCATTCTTAAATGTTATTTTTCGCTAACAGATGGTATCTCTTTATCAACCAAATGATGGAATCAATAAAAACACTCAACATAATTCTGAGTTATGAGATTGATAATTGTGTTAGAATTGTGAGCAAATCCCAGTATAAAATTGTCGTGGGGATATGATAACTAATCTAGATATTGACATCTGTTTTTTTTTATAGGTATCTATTATTTTTAATGACGATTGATATCACACATCAACAGAATTATTGATAAACAATTTCGACTTAATTATCATTTTTAAATGTATTAATCCCTAAATATATTGTAACAAATAATTACACGTGGATAACTACGGACACTCATTCGATTGGGAAAATGTAGAAATCTTAGACAGAGGAAACTCCAAAAACACCAGAGAATTTTTAGAAGCCTGGTACTCAGATCAATCAGCAATCAACAAACATATTGAAATCAATCCAATTTATCAACCAATCAGGAAAACCATGCATAAATATAGGAACAAAAATCATACCAATGGGAGACACAACCAAAATAAAGAAGTAAACAATGATAAATTTAAGGTCAACAAGAATTAGTCAACATCGAGGTGCACAGAACAAGCTGTGAAACACATATGGAGAAATTCGAACACTTCACTTCTATCTGAAGTTTGTACTGATGATGTCGTTCAGAAAAACGATGAAAGCTCCACGACCGAACCATCCAGCTCAGAGAACAAAACTCCACCAAGATAATTAGATTCAAAATAAATCAATTGGTTTAGCATGACAATTAATATTAGGCAAACATTAATTAAATTCTTTTATCTTTTGCAAAAACAAACGAATAATCCCTTAGCAATTTTGTTTTTTCCAAATCATATTGAATTATCGAAAAGTGATTGTAACCATCACCGATAATATGGGTACACTAAACAAACAAAAACGAACAACCAACTAATGTTAATTTTATACAAAAATTATTATTATTATTTCAATCAATCAATCAACCAGTCAATCAAACAATGAAACAATTAATTGGTTTTACATTTCTGTAAATTGAACAATATTTGTTTTGAAATCTATGAAACAACTGACTAAATATTGTCAACATATATATATATATATATATATATATATATATATATATATATATATATATATATATATATAACAGTTTGATTTTTTGGTTTCATAACTAATAATATCAGCAAGAAATTCTCTGATTAACCTTCTGTTATATATAGAGCTTAGATTCTTCATTTACCGCGTGTAACTTAAGCATTCGAACGCTAGAACCTTTCAAGTTGTAAGTGAGGAAACAGGAGACAAGTGAAAGGTATGCTATTCCAAACAATGTCAAGTATGGTACAAAACTATCAGGTATTTATAGTTTTTTTTAATAGTAAAAACGAAATCATCTTTATAGTCATCCAATTCGAATACAAGGGGTCTTATCATTTGTCGAGGATTGGATGGAATATCTTCAACTCTTTTCGAGCTTCTCTATTATACAGTCTATAAATATATAATCTTTTTGTTTCTGTTTGTTTTGTGTTTTGGTTATTTTTCATTTACTTATTCTAAGATATTTTATACTCGCCCCTATTACCTAATTTTTTAAAATAAATTTTATTCACACATTTCCACCACCTGATCCTCTTAAATTATCTTAACTTTCCAAATTCTATTTAATTATTATTACGTAATCTACCTTATCATTATTTAATTTCATTAATCTCTACAATTATTACAATTTATGAACTTCACTAAATTATTACACCACCCACCCTGGATTAACCCCCCCCCTCTTTTGACCTCTGACCTGTTTCTAGAATATATATATATATCACAAGTTGAAATCATGAGTCAGTTGAAGCTAGACCACCATTGTTATTATTGTAATCCAGTTATTTACACTCATTTATGTCAATTGTTTTCACACTATCTCCATGTAAAAAATTCTATCACAATTTTGGTTTGTAAGCAGCTGATGAGAAACCTCGAAATAATATGAATTCATACTATTCTGCATCAATGTTTGTTCTTGCTCTATTCATATAAAAATTGTATTTATTTCGAGAAATGTTAGTAATTTTATAAATTTTTGTTTCTTACGTGATCGGTGTACCACCATCATCCTCCGGTTTCTTCCAACTTAACTGAGCAGAATTTTTGGTAACTTCTGTAATTTCCATTGGTGGAACTGGACGAGATGGTTTACCAAGTGCAACAACTTCAATGCTTGCCTGATCCTCGCCAACTTCGTTACTTACTCGCAAAGTATACAAAGCGGTATCTTTACGCTGAGCTGATAAAATTTTAAGAGACGCTGATCGTAGTTCAAAAGTTAATTCAATTTCTGGTGTTGACTCAAGGGGCTATAAAAGTAAGAAACAGTTTGAGTGACTATTAATTTACTTGTGAGTTTACGAATAACAGTACACCAGATTTTAAAATGGTAACGTTTGTGCTGATGATGTCGCTCACAAGAACGATGAAAGCTCCACGACCAAAGCATCTGGCTCAGAGAACAAAACCTCATCAAAAACACCACTTTTCTTACGACTCAACCCAATGAATTTAGTACACGCACGATAATTTAGGAGAACTACTGAACACTGTGACGTTTCAGTCGTACTGTAGTGAACAAGAACACAGGTGGGGACAACCGAATGTATTTAGCACGAAAATTACAGACTATCTCAACAAAATCTGAATACCACAAAGTCAATCGTCAATTTGCAAATTATCAATGTATCATATCAAACTGTACTGTTTCCGTTGCAAACACTAATCCATTGCCTCCCATTCCATTGTTCATAGGTTTTCTTACAAATTGCATTATGTTCTCGCTCCACCTTTCTTGGTCTTCGCCATCTTTTGCTGCCGGACATTACGTTCTTTTAACGCACGTTATATACTACTTATATCAATATAAGTAGCTCTCACCACACTCGTCCCCCCCTTTAAAACAGTCGTCCTTGTGGTGGTTCGTGCTCGCCGTGCAACATTCTCCGTCTCTGCAGCCTGTGCCACGCTCTCCGTCCAAAATGTCGAGTCTGCGGCGCGCTGACTTCCATAGCTCCGTCGACCTGCCGGGGCAACAACGACCGACATCCACCCGGCACCTGGGACGCTTAACACCCGCACTCCACCGGCCTGCCGAGCCATCTACATCCGATGTCCGCCCAGCAGCCGCGCGTCCCACCGCTTCTCTCCGTCGACAGCACCCGCTACAGCCAACGCCGCCCCGCCAGAACACTCCACCAGACGACACCTCTCCGCACCAGACTGCTCCAACTGGCACCTCAACTCCAGGCCCGCAACGGCGTCCGCAGAACAGCACCCTCCTCCTCTCCCGGTTGGCAGCGACACCAAATGTAGTGAACAAGAACACGGGTGGGGACAAACGGATGTATTTGGCACGAAAATTACAGACTATCTCAACAAAATCTGAATACCACAAAGTCAATCGTCAATTTGCAAATTATCAATGTATCATATCAAACTGTACTGTTTCCGTTGCAAACACTAATCCATTGCCTCCCATTCCATTGTTCATAGGTTTTCTTACAAATTGCATTATGTTCTCGCTCCACCTTTCTTGGTCTTCGCCATCTTTTGCTGCCGGACATTACGTTCTTTTAACGCACGTTATATACTACTTATATCAATATAAGTAGCTCTCACCACAGTACTACACTTAAAACTTACTGTACACAAATAGATAGATAACTTTGAGTATTGCTCGTGTAGTGATGGTCTGTGTACCTCAGTTACTGATCTTCAAAACTAAACTTGATCAGTTTCTGTAAAAATATTTGCTCCTTGAGCGGATGTTTCTATAATGACTGAAGTTACGTTATCATGTTTGTTAACAATAAATAGCTATAGAATCTGGGCATGTGGTTTTTGTTTTGTTCTGTTCAGCTCAGTGAGGCTGTACTCCAGTATTGTTCCTAAAACCGAGATTTAAATTTAGTACGTATCTCCTCAAACGCTCTCCGATGCTTAACACAGTAGTTTTTCTAAAGGTAGCTTAACTTGCATTCTGTTATTAGGATTGATAATCCAATATGGAATGTTAGTTATTACATTGCATCAATCGTCTATAAACGGGTGATATTGTGATTGCAGATAAGATAATTGTTAATAGCATGGATGAATGAGGTAAACACTACACATTCCCTAGGAGATACTCAACCTTCTGTTTATCATGTCATATGTTTAGAGCTAATAACATGAATAATGATAATAATTAGTGTTTAAAAGTCGGTCAGTGATATAGTTTATCAACTTTCGTTTCTAATAAGGAATTATATGAATAAAATTAACCAGTGTGTTTCCGCAGATCAGAGTTCCGTTTGAGTTAAATTAGCTTTAACCTACTAAGTATATATTTGTACAATAAAGTTAAAATAATTCAAGCAGGCAAAAATAGTATTGAGGAGAAGCTTAGCTTCAATATTCTAAGATGGAGAGTATTTCTTGAATAGCTTTTGGGATTACTCGGAATATGGTAATAATAATGTGGTAATAATAATAATGCAAGAGAATGTTTCCTGTTTGTCGATTTAAATAATACCTGTAGTTAATCTAAAACAATATTTTTCTGTAATAACATTAAACCTTTCGGAATCGTCCACTTGTGACTTGTTAACTTAGAAAAAATAAAATTATTCTTGCTTGAATTTGTAAAATAAATGCAAATAAATTTTGAAAATAGACTTTTAGATTGATGTTTATAGGGACTTACAGTTGATTCTTTTGACCAGACTGCTACAGGATCTGGTTCACCGCGAAAATCAAGCTTTAATTGAACAACTTCACCGACTTTTACTTTTATTGGTTTTAAACCAGTTTTAATGATGAATGGTTTCACTAAAATGTAAAAGAAAGAAATAATTACTTGCTTGTTACAGAATATTTAAGGTTAAAATTAAGAAAAAAACTACACTTTGATTTGAAGGTTGTTTCTATCACAAAGTAACTTTAGCAAAAGAATCTGATAAATGAGTTAGCATCAAATAACTATTTTCGTTCTAAATTAGGACTTCTTTTTTGTATCTGCGGAATCACAGGTGGTCAGAACCAATCAGTTTATATTTCCGATTTTAACCAATTTGTAACCTGCGTATACATATCCTCATCTGACGTCATCGATGAATATCTATTTCGCTCATTGATTGGTTGGTCATATAAATTCTGGCATCCCATTGAATAGTTGGAAACTGTTGAAGTATCTCAAATTTCGATCAACCAGATGTTTAGTACTCAGTAGTTTTGGCGGTTCTTCAACTGACGTCATTTTGTAATAAAATGACATCCAAAATTTATAACAATCTCTAAACCATTTACATAAATTTTCATATGAATTGAAAAGTATGATTTCTAGTAATATGAATGACTGTAAGAAGAGTTAAAATAATATATTACTGGTGGTTGTCCATCTATTTAAAAAAAAGACTTACTTTCAACTAAGTGTGCTATGACTTCTGATCAAGATCTACTAATTTTATTGAACACAATGACAATATATTACTAAGCTTTCAAAGTTTTATTAGATAATGAACATAGAACAAAGGGATTAAAGTAAAATCCGCGATGTTCAAACTGATTTTTTCATGACTGCATAATACTCATGGTTTTATCGAAATAGTGCATTTAGTTTGGAACTGAAGTTACATTAGAACTGAATTCAAATCGATATCAATTAGATACCATTACAAGAGTTTCTATCAGTTGACATAGTGATAAATCGTTCATTTTGGCGAAATTTAGGTTATCACATATCAAAAGGTGATAATAACGGAAATATCACTAAAATCAACTGATTAGTCTAAAGGCCACATTACTTACACTTATGGCTTCGCTGAATGTCAAATGCATTGTCATTTAAACTGTGATCAATGGTTTTATCACTGGGAAATATCGTAATAAACTAAATAAAACAAATTGACTGGGCTAGTTTTGCGACTGTAGTGTTAAATATATTACACATATTAATCAAATTTTAGTGGTTAATTATATTTATTCATCTTTAAATTCACTCAATTTTCTTGACCGAAGTAGTGGAATGCATTTAATTAATCGATTGGCTATTGTCGAATATAAGGGGGAATTTCATAGTAATTACAGCTTCACCTAGAGTTAAAGTTCATTTTAACTAACGGATTCCATAAACTACAAAATCAAGGTTCAAAATGTTATACTAGATTTTTTCAGACATAACGGGAGACAAAAGTTTTCTTATTTTAATCGATGGCTAATTCAATCATGAAAACACTATTAAGAATAATGTTAAATGTGATAGATTATAATCTTGTTGATGGGATACTGCGATACATTTCCTTAGACAACTGGTAGCAAAAATATGCTTAAATAAAGTATAAAATATATATTCGTTTGAGTTTTCTTAAATTGTATATTTGAGGACAGTCTATTGAAGAACCACAAGCACAATGTCATATAATCTATGATAGATTGGTGGCTTTATTTCTAAGTAAACATATTTGTATGTAATGTCAAAGCTACCACTAAGTTTGACGAATAAGTTTAAATATACTAAAATCCCTAAACTGATTGGATTATACAATAAATTAGGACGAATTAGAATGTTAAAAAGTGTTAATGAATAATGATTTGTGGTTACTTTTAAATGATATACTTTTATATAGATAAGTAGTTTTAATAAGAATTACTTACAGAAACGTGGTTTGGCTATAAGTGGTTTGCTAACTTCACTTGGTTCTGATTTACCGGCTTTATTAACTGCAGTTACACGGAATTCATATTCTTCACCTTCTTTTAGATCAACTTTAGCTGCTGGATCAGAAACCTCTTTTACCGTTTCCCATTTATTTTTACTTTTTGCTTTAGCTTCAAGGATATATTTTAATACAGGTGCGCCATTGTCACGTCTTGGTGGAAGCCACTTTAATTTCGCATGATCACGATCATAATCTTCAATCTGTTGTTCGAAATGCAAAGTATAGACAATTTAGAAAACACATTAAAAAGACCTCTATAAAATGTAATGGTAAAATGAAAGCTACACTAGAAAAATTCTAAATAGATCTAGTGGTAAGTTTCCAGCCAGATGTTTGGAAGGATGTATCATATAGTTACGTTTTCACGTGTCATCAGATAGCTATCTACTGAATTTACCAAATAAACCTTTTTGACAAGCAGTAAATCATTTTAAAATCCCTTGATACGGTGTCATCACTCAAGGTAACAAATTAAATAATATGGAATCTAAATATTTATCCACATGTAATAGACACTGATAATTATGTTAAGTAAAATAAGGGTTGAATAGTAATTATCGTTCCTAAAATGACCTTGTTAAGTTGTTTATCATCTCATAGGTATCTAAATCAAGAATTTAGTGAACGCATATAGAATAAATCATAGGGTTTGGTCTAAGACGAAATCATTCAGTTGTGGTCATTTAAAAATATCCAGGCATTATGAGCAAAACTAGAATTTCGATAGATCAATCATAGTTAATGATCTTGTGTACTAATTATTTAATTCCTTACGTTCTTCAGCGTTATATGAGACTGAAACACTCTACAAGAAGTGAAATTTATATAAAAGTAATTGACATAATAATATATATATACCTCTAGTCCAGTCGGTGCATCCGGTGGATCACAAACATCACGGGCTAGGATCTCCTTATCAACTTCTAAATTTTCACTTTCACCTTCGTTATTAACAGCACGTACACGAAATTTATATTTGTGGCCCTCTTCCAAGTCGACTTCACATTGAGGTGCTTTAGCATTTTTAACCAGTTTCCAATTACCATCAGAAACATCCATTTTTTCAACAACGTAATGTTTGATTGGTGAGCCGCCATCATCTTCAGGTGGATCCCACTCAAGTACACATTTTTTAGCTGATAAGCTAGTTAACAATAACGGACCACGTGGTTTGCCAGGGCGATCTTTAAAAAAATAGAATTAAATTAGATATAGTTTGGTAAACATATTAAAATGTGCTTCCACGTTCTCATTGAATGTCTAAGACCAATCCGTGTTAAAACATGCTACAGTTGGCGGTCGCCACAAACTCCAATAGCAGTACAAATCATACGACCACTTGTAACTAGCTATAGGAGGTGATTTCGGGGGTTCTAGTATGGAACTACGATAAGTAGAGTCCAACTTTGTTGGGAGTAAGACATATTCTACCAATGGAGATGAAATGTCGTCACATTTTAAAGTTAGGTGGATAATCTAGTAACTGCTAACTCAGTAATCCAAATGTTAAACGCTCGCATCGACAGCTGATAGTCTTCGGTTAGGTCTTCTTTAGATTATGGGGGCCCTCTGATGGAGATTACCATAGTAGGACAAAACAGTTATCCAATATTCCATGGTTTTCAGTGATTGTCTTAGATCAAACGGAGATATAGACCATGAAATATCATTAAGCTATTAATTTAGGGAAAAGAACTATGTATTTATTTTATAAAAAGGGAGTTAGTATTAACGTCTTTGTCACATAATCTTTTCAATCACAAATAACTAATGATCATTCTTCAAAAAATGTGTTAGGTACATCTTTGTTTATATCACTTAATGATATCAACCTCTTCCGAACGTCCTCAAGCCCGCAATTCAACCTACCTGTAACCAGTAAAGGGTGATTTTTTTCATAAAATAATACTCATTAAAGAATCAATACATGGTTGTTCTTTGTCAGCTTCTGACGAGTTATAAACCAATGGTTGTCTAGTCTATTATCGATTTATACTAAAATCGATCTTGGAATTATATCGTATGGGAATAGAAGGCAGCAAATAAATTAATTAAATAAATAAAATAGTAAAATAAAATTTTAATACATACCAAGAATATTAAGTTCAAGTGGTACTGAAGCTTCACCAAGTTCATTTTTCAATTTCAATTCATATTTTCCACTGTCAGCTCTAGCAGCATCCTCTAACTGTAATTCGACAATATTTCCCTTAACAACAGGTTTCAACTTAATTGCTTCATTCACAGGTTCTCCATTACACATAAGAACAACTTGTGGTACAGGGAAACCTGAATTTAAAAAAGAACGAAAGAAGGAGAATGAATAGTTGTTAAATTAAAAATAGTTTGTACTCTGTAAATAAAAAAAATATTTGCTGTTTATGCGCACAAAACAAAATGTACAATTTTCTATAAAAAAATGTACAAATTACATTTGAACCATGACTTTAAAACTTTTTAATTTACCGTCAGTAACAAATCAAAATTTTTTCCATTTTATATTTGGATACGAATGGCATAATTAGTTTTGAAAAACGTTAATTCAACAGTAGTAATAGAGAATAATTATCCTTTGTTTAGAAAATTTGACATAAATTACGGTATTGGGTTGCTTTAAAACTGTTTGTTAAAGTTATTTAATCAGTGTCATAGAATATTTAAACTCGTCAGATACCCCCCCCCCCCAAAAAAAAAGGATTTTTATAAAAGTTTGAGTCTGACATATACATATACATATAGAATTCAACAACAAATTTCAACCAATATCAAAGTGAGAATCTTCAATACCAACGTCAAGGCAGTTCTACTGTACGGAGCTGAAACTTGGAGAACTACAACAACCATCATCAAGAAGGTACAAGTATTTATAAATAGCTCTCTTCGCAAGATACTCAACATCCATTGGCCAGATACCATCAGCAACAGCCACAAATCGTCAAACTGCATCACGAAACAAGCACTAACTTGGAATCCTGAAGGGAAGCGGAAAAGAGGAAGGTCAAATAACACATTACGTCGGGAAATAAAAGCAGGTATGAAAAGGATGAATAACAACTGGAAGGAGTTGGAAAGAATTGCCCAGGACAGGGTTGGATGGAGAGTGCAGGTGAGCGGCCTATGTTCCTTCACGAGGAGTAACAGGCGTAAGTTAGTAAGTAAGTTGAGTCTGACAAACTTTAAAAGTTGAATGTCTTACTTTAGAGTGATTGCATTATTAAATAATCAAGTTCCATAGCTCAGCTGGTATGGATTTAGACTAGGCAACATGGGAGATATTATTATTATTATTTTGTAACAGTTTGGACTATCATATCATTCAGTATCACATTTCGAAACATCATCACTTGAATATTCAATCCAAAAGTATTCTTTTTACAAACCTGAAATATTTTCAATAACTGATCACTAACTAGTGTCCATCGTCATGTTATTCGGCCTTTATTATATACGGTTATCATGTAAATTAATGCATCTTTATATCTAACCGATAATCACTTATATTTCGTGAACTGGACTCAAGATTCAAAGTAGACAATTTGTAACAATACATTTAAGTTATCAAACAAATTAAATGAAGATGATCTGGCTCTTCTATGGTACACGCAACAACAAATGCAGGAGAAGACGAAAAGTGTAGCAGCAGCCTCAGCAGCGGCAGGTCTAAACATACACAAAGGGAAAAGCAAGATTCTCCAATACAACATAACATGCACCAATCAAATCATACTTGAAAGAGAAGCTTTGGAAGATGTAAAAACCCTTACATATCTGGGCAGCATCAATAATGAACACGGTAGATCTGATGTAGATGTGAAGGCGCGGATCGGCAAATCAAGAGCAGCATATCTACAACCGAATAACATCTGAAACTCAAAACAACTTTCAACCAACGCCAAGGTCAGAATTTTCAGTACGAATGTCAGGACAGTTCTATTGTATGGGGCGGAAACTACGAAAGCCGTCATTCAGAAGTTAAAAGTGTTTATTAACAGTTGTCTACGCAAAACACTTAGGATCCTTTGGTCAGACACTACACTATCAGCAACAACCTACTATGGGAGAGAACAAGCCAGATCCCAGTGGAGGAAGAAATCAGGAAGAAGCGCTAGAAATAGATAAGACAGACGTTGACAAAAGCGTCACAACGCAAGCTCTCAGTTGGAATCCTCAAGGTTAAATGAGAAGAAAAAGATCAAAGAACTGATTATACCGAGGAATCGAAACAGACATGAAATGAATAAACAACAATTGGATAGGACTACAAAGGAAGACTCACAATAGAGTCGGTTGAAGAATACTGGTAGGTGGCCTATGCTCCATTGGGAATAACAGGGGTAAGTAAATATATAGAATAAAATTTCAAAAGATATTTATTCATTTGAACTGTAAATATTCAATATGTAATTAAGTCAATTGTTTCCCTAGAACAATTACATACAATTCTATTGAATGAATTATTGTACTATTCAGTTTTATTAACTTTATATTATTATTTCATTTAAAGAAAAAGTAAATAAACAAATAGTAGTATCTTTTTAAATAAAAAAGAAACACGATGAATTTTGGGACATTCGGAACATATTTTCTAAGGAAATATATAATCTAAATAATGAATTGAAAATCTAAAATGTTGAAATCCTGGTTGGTACAGAAGAGAAAAACAATAGTGTACAAACACAATTATGTATATATATACATGATACACATACCATATGAATAACACACACCTAGATTTCTGTGTATATATATCATAAAACGATTGAATAGTTTCTTATATTCAGTTTTATGAATACACTTCAAGAACAAATATAGATAGGAACAACAACGAATAAAAACAGCAAACAGCAAACAACAACAACAACCATACCATAAAAGGCAGTAAAATACCAATTACTGTGTTAAGGAACTTGAAAACGATGACCTAAATTTAGTACATTTTATTAAGTAGCTTCTTAAAAAAAATGATAAAAGGGAGACAATTTTTAAGTTTTCAGTTGTAAAAAAAGGGAACAAAAATTAAGCATATTAGAACTTTTTAATTGTTTTATAACTTGCTTAGATCATATCTATGCATTAAGTTGACAAAAGTATGATGTGTGCAATCATTTTTTTGTTAATGTATATACACTACAATTGTTCTATTCATATTATCCTAATACATTAAGATAATAGGCGGACAATATCACAAAAGTTCAATACGGCCTTTCTTCAGGATACTGACAAACTCAACAAATTCAAGATAGTTCTGAGCAATAAGTTCCAGTTCATGATCTACTCAGTGGAGAAGGAACTACTATGGAGAGCAACTGGAAAAGGATCAAAGAGGCAATCACTTCAGCATGTCATGAGGTCCTGGGTCACAAGAAGCGCCATCACAAGGAATGGATCACTGTTGATACACTGGATAAGATTCAAGAAAGGAGGAACAAGAAAGCAGCAATCAATACCAGCCGAACAAGAGCAGAAAAAGCCAAGGCAAAAGCTGAATACACAAGAGTAAACAAGCAAGTGAAGAGGATCATCAGAACCGACAAACGTAAATATGTGGAAGATTTAGCAACGACAGCGGAAAAGGCTGCAAGTGAAGGAAACATGAGACAACTGTATGACATAACAAAGAAACTCTCTGAAAATCGCAGCAAACCAGAACGACCAGTGAAAAGCAAGGAAGGCGAGGTAATCACTAACATTGAAGAGCAACGAAACAGGTGGGTAGAACACTTCAAAGAACTCTTGAATCGACCAGCCCCACTGAACCCACCCAACATCAAAGCAACAACAAATGCAGGAGAAGACGAGCAGTGTAGCAGCAACCACAGCAGCAACAGGTCTCAATATACACAAAGGGAAAAGCAGGATTCTCCGATGAAACACAGCATGCACCAATCCAATCACAATTGATGGAGAGGCTTTGGAAGATGTAAAAACTTTTGCATATCTGGGCAGTATCATTGATGAACATGGTGGATCTGATGCAGATGTGAAGGCGCGGATCGGTAAAGCAAGAGCAGAATATTTACAACTGAGAAACGTCTGGAACTCAAAGCAACTGTCAACCAACACCAAGGTCAGGATTTTCAATACAAATGTCAAGACAGTTCTATTGTAGGGGGCGGAAACTACGAAAGCAACCATTCAGAAAATACAAGTGTTTATTAACAGTTGTCTACGCAAAATACTTCAGATCCATTGGCCGGACACTATTAGCAACAACGTACTGTGGGAAAGAACAAATCAGATCCCAGCGGAGGAAGAAATCAGGAAGAAGTGCTGGAAGTGGATAGGACGCACATTGAGGAAAGCACCCAACTGTGTCACAAGACAAGCCCTCACATGGAATCCTCAAGGCCAGAGGAGGAGAGGAAGACCAAAGAACGCATTACGCCGGGAAATGGAAATAGACATGAAAAAGATGAACAAGAATTGGATGGAATTAGAAATGGAGGCCCAGGATAGAGTGGGTTGGAGAATGCTGGTCGGCGGCCTATGCTCCATTGGGAGTAACAGGCGTAAGTAAGTAATTAAGATAACAACATACATTAATAAATCGTCAGTGTTGTTCATAGGATAAGCTGAAACAAATCTAGAAAAACTTAATCTTTCTTTAATATTTAATAGTGCAAAATGATCAGGTTACAAAATAGTACTGTTTTCTGAAGATTTTCAAAATGAGTAATTAAAGTGAACATACTAAATCTGATCTCTGATCATTAATGTGCAATGTTGAGATGTTCTTTACTAGGATGAAACGACTGCTGAGAACCCACACTGGCTCTCACTAGTTTTGATGTTGAGATCAATCTGTACAAAAGTCAGTTGTTAAGTTAAACTAATTTCCACGAAACTCTCAAATAAAAAAAAGTGTTTGTGTTTGCTTCTTCGATGCGTAACATGATTTAACGATTGATGGGATTACGTAGAATAAAGATGAATGATTGCTAGTAGGTTAGTTAGGAAGTAAGGGATTTCTAAGTAAATCATTTGCTTGAAAATGTGATAATGTAATGATACATACTTTGTTTTGTAATAATTAAAATCTTCTATCATCTCATTGTAAACAATCTATAGGTTTGATGTGAATCGCGAACTTCACAATAAGCGAAAAATCCCATACATTCATATTGGTTTTTCGTATTCAAGGAACAGATCAAGTGAGTTACACTTTTATCGTAATACATTTAAACCAATGAAGTGAAAAATATGCTTGATCATGTACTATTATGTGTTTTAACTGAATTGACTGTACTTCACTTATTCTATATTTTTGGGGATACTTTTAAAGGAGAGAATGTTTAATTTGACTCAATGGCAACCAAGAGCGTTTTTATACTTTGATTATTTTTAAGCATTTTCGTTTGCAAAATGAAGACAAATGAAATATTGAATGAGTATAGAACTAACTGATTAATAACTATTTCTAAAATTCCTCAAAGTAAGTTTTATACAAAAAAATTTCATTACTGAAATTAGTTGGTAGGGTGCTGTTCAGTAATAATCAGTATACGAATTGTATTGACACGTCATAATATTGTATCAAGTTACAAAGGTTATATTTTAAGAAATGAAACTTACCCTTAAATGGAACTGCTGTCATGAAGTTAGCCCCTTTCTTTAAAGTGGCTTGAGTCTTGAAATTTGTAAGATCAACTGATGGAGGTTTTTCACATTCTTGTACCTTACAAAATTAAAGAAAAATAAATCACAAGATATTTCATAATAATTTAAATTTATTTGAATATATGTAAAACTTCTGTCAATTATAGGCAATTATTACTGTATTTAATACTAACCAAAAAGTGGCAATGAAAAGTTTGATTGACAGATCAAAAAATATTATATCTTTTGATTGATAATCAGTAGTAGTATAGTTTACTGTACGAAAAATTGTAAATATCTAAGAGAAATCCTAATGATTGGAGTTGAAATGAAAAACAGAAACTTTGCTGTCATTTGTATAGTTTGCTTGAAGCGTACACTAAAAGCATAACAAAGTAGCTCTTCTTCGTTATAAATGAACGAATGAACAGAGATTGAAACTATGTTACTAGGTTTATGTTAGTAAACTGAATGAAATACTAGTTTAAAATTATTTCATAGAATTGAATCTGTGTTTCAAAGCTACATTCAATTGTACAAAATATTTATTTCATAGAAGTTATCCGTTAACATATCAGTTAATGGATACATATTTAGTGTTAGGTGAAATCATGTTTTCTAAGCTTATCAACTATATCATGATGAATAATTCCAAATTTCATTTTAAATAAACTCTAACAGTTTCTCGATAACTATGCAACAATGTGGACTATTCAAATCTTATAATTCTGTTCTCATATGGAAAACCTGGAAGCACTGGACGACCGTTTCGTTCTAGTATGGAACTCCTCAGCAGTGCGCATCCACGAAACCGCCCCCCCCGCGGGATTCGATCATGAGGTATGTCCTGACATTCTACTGAGAAGTAGTGACCAGTGGAGTTCACTCAGGTCTGTTATGAGATAGTAACTCACTGAAGACAATGGTGTTCGGTGGTGCAACTTCGTGGATTGGCTGTAGTTAGACATTAACACCGTTGGATGCCGGCTCAGTGATCTAATGGTTAAGTGATCGCGCGCGGAGCCAGTAAGTCCTGGGTTCGAATCCCGAGGGGTGCGGGATCGTGGATGCGCACTTCTGAGGAGCCCCATACAAGGACGAAACGGCTGTCCAGTGCTTCCAGGTTTTCCATGGTGGTCTAGCTTCAATTGACTCATGATTTCAACCTGTGAAATTTCTTAAATTCCCCACAAAACTCATTCTGATAATTATAGATCCTCTAGTGGTATATTAGTAATTTTACTTATATAGAGAGAGTGCATATAGGTTAAATTGAAACATAAAACTAAATTTCTAAACAAATAAGACATAAACGAATATAAAGCGATTTCATTTATGTTTATTATGCAAATTCTAATTGTAAACATTTTTTGTTTATTATTATATAGTATGAAATTTTCAGTGGTTAAGATCATGAGTCAGTTGAAGCTAGACCACCATGGAAAACCTGGAAGTACTGTTTAGTGTGGATACCGATTATTCGAGAGCCATTTTTATTAATTCAATTATATCGTTGTAACACTAAACAATGATTATGTGAAGTTAAATAAACAATAACGTCATTTCACATTACGTAACATTTTAGCTTGACTGAAATGCAAAAAACGTTTCCGTAGCCTAAGAATAGCTTAAATCTCAATAGGTTTGAAAGTTTTATAGTTAAATATTAAAATAATGTCCTTTTCGACGAAATCGTTTACTTAAGCTGTACATTCATATATATATATGTATATATATATATATATATATATATATATATATATATATATATATATATATATATATATATATATATATAGTTATATGGAAAATGTATGTCTATCGGAGGATATAAACGATTGCATCATAATCAATCTATGATGCAATCTTTTCTTCGCTGGATTCTCTTTTTCTTATTCAATGACACTATGGGTTATTTTAATCATTCAAAAATGTCTTTGATATAGAGCATTTCAAATGAAACTATTAATATCAGAATGGGTTTTGTGGAGATTTTTAGAAATTTCATTGGTTGAAATCATGAGTCAATTGAAGTTAGACATTAACACCGTTGGATGCCGGCTCAATGGTCTAGTTGGTTAAGCGCCTGGCGTGAGACTGATAGGTCCTGGGTTCGAATCTCGTGGATGTGCACTGCTGAGGAGTCCCATACTAGGGCGAAACGCCCATCCAATGCTTCCAGGTTTTCCATGGTGGTCTAGCTTCAATTAACTCATGATTTCAACCAGTGAAACTATTAATGTTTTTTTCTTATCAGTAAAGAAAACTATAAACACATTCTCACCTCTAAAAGTCCTTTGGTTTCATGATTACCAATTTTACAACTATAATATCCTGTATCATCCATTTCCAAATATTGAAATATTAAGTATAAAGAACCTTCAATTTCTGTTGTTGAAATACGATCATTTAGTTCTATAGGTAAACCATCTTTAAACCAATAAACTGGATATTTTTTAGGATTAAATGCACGACATTCTAATTCTTTATGTTTAGTTTCAATACCTTTTGTATCGATAAGATTTTGTCTGAATTCAACATCAGCTAAAATTGATATGAAAAAAAAGTAATGTGTATTTAGCAGTCAGATTGTTTGAATAATAAATCACTTTCTTTTTCATAATAACTCACTTAATGCTAGTAGTTAACCATTAATTTATTTTTGAAGCTTAAATCAAAGTGATTTTTGAATGTATTTGGGTCTTAGTCAGTTAGTTACTCAACTATAAACTGATATACTTGACCTGTATGTTTAAGATACATGATCCTCATTTTGTGTTGCTTGTTTAAATCTGCCCATTGTTTAGAACTGTAGTTGATCAATCTTTTATTGGCATATGTGCATCTTCGATTTCAATGTTAGTCACCATTCATCTCTGCTTATGATATATGATCTTCGTTCTGGATTTTAACTGAAACCTTCATGTTTAATCATCTGTTGAAGTCAACGAATAAAGTATAATCATTTCGAAAATTCATTTACAAATTATACTTTCATTCCATAATATCACTAATATTATATATGAGATGTTTACATGTGAATAGAATTCTATTCTGACCAGAAATATTAGAAATAGAATGAACGACGAATAGTACATTTGAAAGATAAGTTTTTTTAACATGATAATGAAAACAGTCAACATTCAATAGAAAACATTCATTAAGAATTATCTATAATTAATTATGTTAATGATATGTCTTATTTTTGAACGCCAGATCTGACTTTTAAGCTCTGCTAGTAACCCTTAAGTACGACGATGACAACTGTAGTCAAAACTAAACTCATTTATATATTGATTCGTACATCCATTTTGATTAATAATTAGAATGAAATCACATCAATGAAAAAACCTTAGTTATAATAAATCACATACTGAGCATAGTTCATGTCAATGGAATACAAGAATATCGAATATAGTGTCATATGGGAAAACAAATACTACACTGAGTAATCATCACATTGAATTAAAACGGAATTATTGCTGAACCAAAAATCATAATGAGTAAATTAATCGAATTTTGGTTTGTTTTTTCCCATCATATCAGTTCACTCGATTAGTCTTATTTTATTCGAGAATAGCTTATTTCATACAGTCAAATTAACAGGAAGATGTTTAAAACAATTAGTCCCTTTGATAAATTTCGATAATGCAATGAGAAGACGTGGTTTATCAGGAAGATGATATGACCTAGTCAGATAAGTCATTTACAAAGGTATATCAAAATGATACTAAACTAGTTTCATATTACTCTTCAGATATTTGAATATTACACTTTATATTTTACCTACTTACTTAATTACACCTGTTACTCCTCGTGAAGGAGCATAGGCCACCCACCAGCACTCTCCATCCAACCCTGTACTGGGCAATCCTTTCCAGTTCTTTCCAGTTGTTATTCATCCTTTTCATATCTGCTTCCATTCCCCATTATAGTGTGTTCTTTGGCCTTCCACTTTTCTGCTTCTCTGAAAGATTCCAAGTAAGCGCTTGATTCGTGATGAATGTTGACGATTTGCGTAATGTATGTCCTATCCATTTCCATTGTCTTTTCCTAATTTCCTCTTCAGCTGGAAGCTGGTTTGTTCCCTTCCACAGAAGGTTGTTGCTGATGGTATCTGGCTAATGGATGTTGAGTATCTTGCGTAGACAGCTATTTACAAATACTTGTACCTTCTTGATGGTGGTTGTTGTAGTTCTCCAAGTTTCAGCTCCGTACAGTAGAACTGTCTTAACATTTTTATTGAAAATTCTGACTTTGATATTGATCGACAGTTGTTTTGATTTGCATATGCTCTTCGACCGTAGGAATGAGGCCCTTGCTTTGCCAAGCCTCGCCTTTACGTCTGCATCTGATCCTCCTTGTTCATCGATGACGTTTCCCAGGTGTGTGAAAGATCCCACCTCACCCAAAGCTTCTCCATCAAGTGTGATTGGGTTGATGTTCTCTGTGCTGCATATGAGGATCTTACTTTTTCCTTTGTGTATACCGAGACCTAATTATACAGAGGCTACTGCCAAACTAGTTGTCTTCATCTACATTTGTACGTGTGTCTGGGATAGAAGAGCTAACTCATTTGTGAAGTCCAAATCGTCTAGCTGAATCCAACCAGTTCATTACATTTCGTGCTTCCCCTCAGATATTGAGGTTATCTTCCCCATCTTCCTAAATTAATTAGTGTATTCTAATAGTTCAAATTATTTTGGCATTACCGATGAATAAATATTTTATATGATGATTCATTTTCACACAGAAAAAAACGAACATAAAACGATACATTAAGCCATAAATTCTTGTTTACGAACGAATTACTTCAAGAATAGTAAGCAACAATTATATTAATAACAACAATAAGACATAAATTTAACCCTTTAAAAAAAACATCATAAACATACGTTTTACTGTGCAAGTAGCAGTAGTTGTCTTCTTGGCAACTTTACAAGTGTATTCTGCATCATCAGTCATCGTAATTTTCTTCACTTTTAAAATACGTTTCACTTTCTTTTCAGCTAGCATTTCATATTTATCATTAGCTGTAATAGGCTTGATTAAATAGTGGGTAATAAAAATAAGTAAATAATTTTAATATGATACAAAGTAGCAGATAAAAAATTATTAGTTCCGAAATAAAATAAAAAGTGAAAGATAAAGTGTACAAAGTAGATCGCTACAAAAACAATGGTGATGCTAATATGTTTTGAAAGAAAAAAATGTTTAATTCAATAACTAGGGAGTCGATAGACAGACGAAATATGAAAAAAAGACATCAGAAATCATCAAAAGGATCTTAAAGTTTTCTGGAACCAGTGCCTTTCATAAATTAACACAATTCATTCCATTTTATGCAGAAGAACAAAATACAACAGTGAAAGTAAGCAATGTAACTTAATCTACGAAATAATTTGTATTATCTACGATAAGTAATATGTTGAGTAAAGTGGATGCCTTCTTATCTTCCACATACATGAGCATAAACAGAACGTTGTGTCATACTGGCATCAGTACTTGTGGATAATTACTAACATAAGGTTGACTAGGAAAACACCAAAGTTCAATATTGAGGGAATTCAAAGGATGACACAGAATTTCTGGAGCCATAGTACGTACACTAGCTTGCAATGAATATACGTATCGAATTATATCCGATTTATCAATTCATTTGACAAAGGTCGATTAACAACCCTCTGAGAGATCAATGAAATAGGATACTGAATCTGAATACAAAGTCAAATGAAGAAAATGATGACTTTAAGGACAGCCAGTCACAAAGAAGTTTCCTAGACCATGATAATTTACAATCCATGGAATAACGAAGAAACTTATTTGTACATAAAGTAGACTCTGAAAATTGTGTACAAAATGACACTGAAAGCTTCTTGATTAAACCATATGACTCAGAAAACCCAAGGAATCAAAATATTCAACTTTTTTGAGTTAACGTATCAAGTAATATCAAATTTGTTCTTGAACAAATATATTCGACATTCATTTTCAACAATGACACTTATTTTTATCTACAGTATTTAGGTAAATAAGCACAAGGGAAACGTTTTCACATCATGAAAATTCATTTTTGCAAACGGCACTGTAAAAAAAGTAAGTTGTATACTAAACAAGTACGAAATTTCATTTACAGTTCTCGTTTAATATTACTGAGAATTTAAAAAATCTTAGACACTGGAGACTAAAATCCCTAGAATTAACAGATTCCTGAACTTCAATTTCTTTGTATTTTCATGTCAGTTGACATGAATTAGTATATTACCGAATGGTAATATGTTTAATTAGTACAAGAAATAATACTTGAAATTAAGAAACCAATAGAGTTTACATAAAGTATAACTTAAACATTTGAAGTAATACTGTGATTGTGTGCTACTGATTTCGACAGATATAAGTAGTATATATCGTCAATCAAAAGTGAAATGCTTGGAGGCAGAAGGTTAAGAAGATCAAAGCGAAGAGAATTAGAACACAGAATGATCATTGTAAAAATGAAGGGACAATGAAGTCTGAGACAACTAATTATCAATTTTTAAATGAAGTATTTACTTTACGATTCTCGGATTTTAGTAAGATTTTGTAATTTTGTATTCACCTACATTTAGTTGTTCCCACTGGTGTCCCCGTTCACCACAATTTCTTTCGTATTTCAAGTTAGAACCGTAAAAGTTCTTGTTATTATATCAGTGTTCGTTAATGTTTTAAGTTTTCTAATAAGATAATTATAAAACCTAGAAATCTTAAGATTACGTATCCAAAACAAAATTTTAAACAATTTACTAGGTATGCAGAATTACGATTATTTATCGTTTGAATATGTATTGAACACACTTTTGCATTCGTTACTAGTAGTTAACAAATTGTGATTGAATTTTATCTCTCCATTTTAGAGTATAGAAAATAACTTTGTATTAATTTTAAGGTCCGATTCAAAGTGTTAAGCTGCTTGTTAATGTTATCTTTACCAGTATCTAACTTATATCAAGATGTAGCATTGTACTAATGACGATTCGGAAAGGTTTCTAATTCATCTTGATTGAATAAATGTATGTAAAATGTAGAAATACTAACTTGCCTGACAATACAGGCAATTTTGAAAGGTTTTGTTTTAGTTGAATTCATAAGTCATTTGACGCTAGTTCGTCATGGAAAACCTGGAAGCATTAGACGGCCGTTTCGTCCTATTATAGGAATCCTTAGCAGTGAGCATCCACGATCCCGCCTCAGGAGATTCGAACCCAGAACCTATCAGTCTCATGCGCGAACGCTTAACCTCTAGACTACTGAACCGGCATTCAATGGAATGATTTTATTAGAATAGTGGAAATTCTTATCGAAGCAAGTCAACGGTAAATATATGTCTATACTATAGTTAACCAATTTACAATTATTTGTCTTCATAACAGATTGAATTCGTCATTGATGTCATTAGAAATCAAAGAGCAATATACAGCTGTTTCGTTATCACCAAATATCTGCCTTCAAAGCACCCAAGACTTTTAAATAAGTACACAAATCTCTGTACTGTTCACTATTTAAATGAAGAATACTCATATAATTTAAATACTCATTCAATCTATCTTAAAAATTCAACTTATTAGTAAAATTTTTATTCATCATTCGGTATTTCCAAGAAAATACACAAATGTTTACTTCACATAAACGATGGAATAAGGGTGTATGCGTCTACCGCAAGATATGTCAAAGTACTTCATTTTCACATCTTATATACACACAAAAATAAAATATTCTTACACATTTACAATAGAATTTATTATAATGATTTAATTATTAACAGAATGGGTTTTGTGTAGATTTTTAGAAATTTCACAAGTTGAAATCATGAGTCAATTGAAGACCTGGAAGCACTGGACTGCCGTTTCATTCTAGTATGGGACTCCTCAGAAGTGCGCATCCACGATCCCGCACCCCGCGGGATTCAAACCCAGAACCTACTGCCTTCACGCGTGAGCACTTAACCATTAGACCACTGAGTCGGCGTCCAGCGGTGTTAATGTCTAACTTCAACCAATCCACAAAGTTGCGCCACCGTACACCATTGTCTTCAGTGAGTTCCTATCTCACAACAGACCTGGTTGAACTCCACTAGTAACGACTTCTCACTAGAACTCCAGGAGTGTCTCCTGAAGTCAGTCACTAGTGAGCATGTGATTATTATTGTCAGAATGGGTTTTGTGGAGATTTTTAGAAATTTCACAAATTGAAATCATGAGTCAGTGGCCTAATGGTTAAGTGCTCGCGCGAGAAGCCAGTAGGTCCTATGTTTGAATCCCGCGGGATGCGCACTGCTGAGGAGTCCCATACTAGAACGAAACGGCCATCCAGTGCTTCCAGGTTTTCCATAATGGTCTAGCTTCAATCGACTCATGATTTCAACTTGTGAAATGATTTAATTCATTGTAAATCATGTTACTAATGTTTCTTACTACTAATGGTAATAATAAAAACATTGAAAAGGTCATCAACAACTTTCATATAATTCTTTACTCTCTTTCATCATTCATTTAAATTTCGATTTTTCACTTTTCGTTTACTTAATTACTTTTAATAACCTATTGGTATACCATTAATTAATCCACTAGTTCTTTTTTTTTCTCGTAAACTATTCTTTCATTGTTTATGCGTGGTATAATGGAAACAGTTGTTAGAAAACATTGAATAGATAGAGTAGGGTAGGGTAGGGTAGGTTAGGTTAGGTAGGTAAGTCAATGAAACGAATGTATAAATTAAAGCACAATGAGGCTTAGTTAATCTTTACACAGAATAAAATCATAATTTCATTTAAATCAAATGAGAAAAAATACAAGAATTCAGGACAAAAAAAAATACATTTCACTTTAAACATGTTTTATTATAGTAGAATAAGTAACTATAGATGAATACAAAAATATATAGATTAGTTATTATGACTGTAATTAATGTAATTAAGCTAATGTAATATTCTGATTCCACTTTTCAGCTGTTGTTAAGTATTACTATTACCATTAAAACAAGATATTCAAAACAATTGCATTGTATACATCAATGGTATAACATCTAGACATTTACAATGTTATTAAACTGATATATTCATAAGCATGTTTAACTTAATTCCACATTAAGGTGTTTGTCTATAAAAGTTTACAGTTTTATCAAATTTTGTTTTATTATGGTTAGTTACATTCAGAAAGGCCGATACAATCAATAACTTAATATGCTGATTTATGTAGGATACCCGTTGTATAAAATGTACGGTATCTGTAGGATATAGATCAATACACATTTGTACATTTGTACATTTAGTTTATTTCAGTTAAATTTCATCTAGCATACGTTTCCTACCAAACAATACAAAGAGTGAATTCTACACCAAAGTAACAACGAACTATTATGAAATTAAATAGTTTTTAGTATTTTTTTTCCCTACTCATTAATGTTTTCTTTTTAACAGGATCTAAAGTTAACCAATGGATCGTTGAGATAAGATATGAAAACAGCGAGTGATCAAAGAAAGACTAGACAGTTATGGAACTTTGTTTTGAATGTGTTTCAGTGTTTTGCTAGTTGATGTCAGTTATTAATAAATATTGTATTAAAAATTTATTATTGAAATATGTGAAAAGTTATTTGAAGTGTTGTCATGGTTTGTCTGTTTGCATTTTAGCTCTCATAAATTGATAGTTTTCAGTGTTTTCAGTTTTTTTTAGTACAAATCTTGACTTTCTAATCGCTCATCACTTTAATCGATTGAAAAAAATACCTGTTACACTTACCTCTCCATTTTTATACCAAGTAACTTCAGCGTCTCGATCGGACACTTCACATTCAAATGTTACCACTTCATCATTTTCTAAAGCTTGTTGAGGTTTAAGTTCTCGTGTAAAAGACCAGTCAGGATCTTCAACTGCAATATCCATATATGTTTCATCTCCTTCTACAATACAACAGTATTCACCTTCTTGTTCAGGTCTGGCTCGTACAATACGAAGAATGCAACGATTTTCACGACGTTTAATTTCAATTTTACCAGCAACATACTAAAATACATAAAATTAAATAGAATTTAATTAAACATTTGTATTCATTTTTATTAAAGATATTTCTTATAGTTCTTTATATGATTTTAATTAGAGATAATAAACTACTTTTAAACAAGATTTTTGGGCAATATTTTTAGTCCAGTCTATTGAAAGAAAGTAACTACTGAAGAGACTTGATCTACAATAAGCCGAAATAATTATCTTATATCATAAAAACAATATTAAAGTATTTCAAGACTTAATATCAAGGGTGAACCTTTAAAGGTTTGATATTTATTTTCTCGATTGACAATATATCATATATTTGTATTAGAATAGAAATATCCATTAAGTAAACAAATAAATTGTAGAATTTAATAATCAAACATCTGATTTATTTATTCACATTTCTGTCACAAAACAGTCAAAATATTGTAATAAAAGCTTACGGTGATACTACAATTTATGGACGACCTTTGAACGACTCTACACTGAACTTGAGAGTATCCACCTAATAACAGGGACCAAATGAGGGTTATAAACCTGTGTATGAAATTAGAATTATGATTTACATTTGATGATTAAGGTTAAAAATTAGATCTAGGGTTTTCATCACAAACTGACATCAGCTATAATGCCAAACCTCTATCCAAATGGATGAGTGAATTTCGCGCCAAAACCCGAGACCTATTATCCTATTTCTGATTGATTTGTCCATAAATTATAGTCTCGCGAGGCAGGTTCGTGGATGTGCACTGATGAGGAGTCCCACATTAGGACGTAACGACCGTCCAATGCTTCCAGGTTTTCCATGGTGATATAGCTTCAATTGACTCATGAATCCAACTATTGAATTATTTGATTATTCGAAAATGTATAGGAATGTCAGTAAACCAATATCTTGATCAGTACAGACAAATAGCATTTTGATAAGATCATTCCATAGTTATTGAAATAAATATAACACAAGAGTAAAGTAAAGTATTATAATATACTAACTAGTATAAAGAAAGATTACAGCGAAATCTGACTTTACTAAAGTGTTGATAATAATAATAATAATAATGCCAAAACAGAAAAAAAATTTTACACATCTGTTTGTCTGTAAAAAAATATATTAATTATAAACTCTTACTTCAACTTTTTCACCTTTATGATACCATGCAACAGTTGCTCTTGGATCGGATACAGAACATTCAACTGTTAAATCTTTACCTCGAACAACTTCAGCTGTTTTAGGCAATTTTTGATTAAAATGATATGTATGCTTTTTTTCTTCAACTTGTATTGTACAAGTTGTTGAAATATCATTACATTTACAAGTATATTTGCCTACATCTTCCATAGCAATCTTTTTAATTTCTAAAGCGAATTCATTACCTTCTCTAAAAAGTAGAAAATTATTATATATCTAATTAAATTGAAAATTAATGCATATAAACAATACGTTTTACATTTTATTGAATGAATAAAAAGTGTTAATTTCACACATATCAATAATTCAATTGAATCAAATAAGTTTTATAAAATTTCAAAATTTGTAAGTAACCATGTTCATTCTGATCATCATGAATGTTGAAATTGCAAGCTACTATACTATTGAATGAATAAATTTGAAAGGGACGCTTGAAATGTTTAATAAGACATATCGAATTTTATAACATATTCAGTTAAATATTATTCTTATCTAAATAGTCGAAGCGACAATAAGTAATAGATGTCTATATTAAAAAGTTTTAACGAAAATCCCCGTTCAAAGTTAAATGACTTACGTTTAACTTCTAGTAGCGTCATTGCAAACATATTGTAGTTTCAAACGGGTATTGCATAGAAATATGTTTTTTGCATATTTATTACTTTTCTCATTCTCATTTTATGAAGTGTCTTAAAAATTGTTTACAAATAATTAGACAAATTTTACATATCTTCAGTTCGGAGTTATCGAGATTATTGAATTTCATGAAAATGAACCGATCAATGTAAGACATTAACAGCATTAGATATCGGTTCAGCGGTCTAGAGATTAAGCGCTTTCGCGAGATTAAAGGTCCTGGGTTGGAATTTCGCATGAGGAATTCTAGGCGCTCATTGCTAAGGAGTCCCACACTAGGGCAAAACGGTCATCCAGTGCTCCCATGTTTTTAATGGTGGTCTAACATTGATCGATTCATTATTTTAATCAAACTTTAAATAGCCAACAGATAATATCCGTTTCTAATATATGGAGTAGTTGTTGGATTGTTTGAAATCCACAATAGTATTTTACAACATACCATCCTTTGAGACTAGACTTGTGATAGGTATAATTGCATGTAGAGTTAAGAGATATTTTAGTATGTTATTGATACAGAAGAAATGAAAGGATCTTAAAGATTTTTGCCTGTGTCGAGATACCTTGAGGACTAAGATTTCGTATTATGCATTCTGTATAACATAAACCTCAAATATAGTGAATGTCATGGTTCAGGTTGATTCTTTCTTTATTTCTAAGTCGCATGTCGGAAAAATTGTTGCATAAACTAATGTAAATAAAAATTATTAAAAATTATCAAGATTTGAATATTACTAAATTGTTTTACATACAATAAAAAGATATTTTAAACTCGACAAATAAAGTTGTTAGTCAAAATATCAGGAGTTATTGAGTAAGTTCAAAAGATATCCCATATGCAAACTTCAAGTTTACCCTAAAAGTATTGAAACCCCGAAATTTTAGTGTGCCTCATAAGCCTTAGAAAATATCTATATTAATAATGAAAAATCTGTCAGTTACAGGTAAATAATTTACACTGAACAGAATAGCCAACCTCTTTATTTAAGTGAATACATACTACTTATCAAACACGACATATGTTCACTTACATCAGTGGATTTAGATGACTTTTTATATAAACTAGGCTGAACAAGTATATATATCACAAATTAAGCTAACTTGAAGAAAAACCAAAAGCCTTTCAAAGCTTCAATTCGAGTCCTTTCCAGTCAGTAGTATATCAATCAATATTTAAAAAAAAAGATTTTAGGGTAACCACATGTTCAAGAAAATAAATAACCTAAACATATATAACAGTATTGATAAAATAAATCTTGGCATTAAGCCTTCATATTTTTATGTCATTAAAGCGAAATTCCTTATGCATTAGTTCTTTCTTTTTTTTCTTCTAATTCATACTGAATGGTATCGTTTTGAAAGAAAACGAATTCTTTTTTTTGCTAAATATATAACTGACATTTTATTGTTTCCCATGTAGGTATACTGTATTAATATTACATGATTTGTTATATGAATTTTATGTGAAAACGAGAGGGAAGGAATAAACTTGGTATGAAAAGAAAATGGGATTATTTGTGATTTATTTCTGTTAAATCAATGTTTATATAGATTGAAGAACTAGTATACTGATTAATTATTGAATAACGATTCACTTGGTTCTTATACTTAATTTGTATTAAATATTTGTTAGATACGAATAAGTGGAATGTCCAATTTTATCGCATAGGTGAATTAAAAGAAGTTTGCGATAGGATCTATACCAGTATATTATGATGAGACAAAGATGTTTAATGTGTACGATAGGAAAACACTGTGGATGTTTACTTATTGATATGCTATTACGTCTTCTGATAGAGATCACAGTGATGTGTTATTTACTTTAGAGTGTTATCTTTATAGAAATTATCATAATAATACACTGAGATGAATGCAGTAGATACTGCACCAACCTGTTGGTTTGAACGACGAACTAATGACTGTAAGAATATCTGATTCTTTAAGATACAACCAATAATGATTAAGAATAATTATCGAGATGGTTATGTTCAGTGAGCTTTATAGTAGATTCAAATTTTAAAACAAGACATATTAGAACAAGGTTGGTACTGTGATCTATGCACTGATGTTTATCGATATAAGTAGTAAGTAACACTAGTCAGATATGGAATATCTGCCTACAGAATGTTGAGAAGATTGAAATGAAGAGAAGAGAGAAGGAAACTGAAAGCAACCAAAATAACAACAAGAATGAAGGAACAATGAAGCTTGTAAGAGACAATTCAAGGATGTTCAAATGATGTATTTGATGTATGATTTTCACATTTTACTAAACCTCTGTGTGATTGTTCATTAAACAACTAATTGGTTTTCTCCACCTGAGTGTTTTTTCGCTACAGTCCTAGTACCATCAGATTTGTTGTATACTGAGTTTATTGGTATTATAAAATCCCAATACTATTTTATTCACACAATTGTAATAAAAATCAATGAATACACAAATACATGCATCTGACGAACTCGCAGTAACGGCCAAATCTTTTGTTTTGAACATCTGAAGTGTATCAGAACAAACTTATTGAAATTCTGCTTTAGGTAGATCCCAGTGAAAACAAAAAAACACGCGATAAAATGTAATCACTTTTGTTGTTAATATCACCAAACTAGTGGATAATTGTTTAATTTATGCCTCATAAAATAATATAAACTATAGTACAGACTTACTGCAAAAAATTATATTTTGGCCCTTGAAATATTTCCAACTTGTTTTTATACCATCGAAATTTAGATGTTGACTTGCAGAAGGTACATTTGAGCAACGCTTTTAAACTACCTTCTTTAATTTTTACATCTTGTAACTCTTCAACAAAATATTCTTTTTCCTGTTAACAAGAATTAAAATAGTAATTAAATCATAAAAGTCTATAAATATTGAGGGAAATGTTAACCATCTTTTAAAACTGCACAACGAACATTAGTTCGTTTTATGTAGATTACCATTCTTGTCAGTCAGAGATATACTGAAATGATTTTCTGTCGAATTGAATGAACAATGATATTACTGAATGAAAGTTATTTACTAGAGTTACAAATGAGATGAAGAAGTATTCAAATGCCATATTTAGATACTTTGGGTGGTTGCATGCAATTCCAGATACTATGTGCTTAGGTTTGTGCTATTTTGTAACAGATGACTAGATAGCACTCTGAAGATTGTGTATTTCATTTTTTTTTTTAATCATACGTTAGATGTTCTTGAAACAGAAATGTTAAAACCGAAATTATTTAACTTTTCTTAATACTTTAGTTCAACCAGTTGACCGCACGTTTATTATTTTAAAGGTTACCCGTTTAAGTTCATTCATCAATTATGTTTCTTTTAATTTTAATGAATGAATAGTGCAAACTAAATAATCATCTATAAGCAATTACCATCATCAATTCGACTGGTAATAAAAGATTTTTTAGTACATTAAGAAGCCAGTTAAACAGAAGTGCAATTGTGACCTGAATAGATTACTAGTAACTTATCTGATTACAGAATTAGGTTAAATGCATTTGAATCCTAGAGGAATCATACCCTCGACTAGATTCTAAACATGACTTGTTGTTCTGTGGCAAGGAGTTTCCTTTCGACTTTCTTCAACTAGCTTAATCCTAGATGACTACCAGTTTTAAATTGTCAGATAAAAATTAAATGGCTCAAAACACTTTTGTTAATTAAATAGATAAATCGATATTTTGATCAATTTATTTAGAATAAGACGCATATAAAATTATGACACTTATAAACGATGCTCCACTCACAACTTTCGGCGTCTCCCGATGCTTTAATCCAGCAAATCCAGGGATTGCATCAGCCAATGAGGTTCTCCGATTAGTCATTGAATCACGTCTAGCCTGAAGTGATTGTTCCAAAGCCTTAGGATCTAGAAGACCTGGCTTTTCCTGTGAAGAGCGACGATTAAGCTGTTGGACGGATAAAGAACACAATGGTCATTTTAAAACGTTTCTCGTTTTCCAAAGGTTTAACAGCAAAGTGCGAGAATTACTATTATCGAAATATCAAAAAATTTATCAAGTTAATCAGTCATGGTGGTGTGATGGTTCACTAAACATAACTTTAATAGTCTTACTTATACAAAGCATCCTTCCAAATGTTTTTACTCTCAAAGACGCCTAGTTTTTACTACAAAGTCTAATTGGTAAATAGTACAATGATGAGACAGTTGTCTTCTCAGATAATTCAAAGCTGCTTAGTTTTTGATTACACGTCAATTATTCAGGACAAAGTAAACATTTTCAGATGTCAGAATTATTTTATATAGACAGACACGTGTTGAAAATATAGGCTCCATAGCATATTTATGAACAGTGATCCACTGAGGAAGTAAACTGATGATCTTAGCAACACAAATGTGATCGTTCGAATTTAGATTCGTCACTAACAGCAATTAAGAAGATATGCATATTCAACTATTCACCACTGGTACCAGGATTATCTTATGCCTTATTATTTGTATTAGCTATACAGAAAAAACTAAAGTAAACGATAGCTGCACTTTTTCTACCTGCTTATATTCTATTTTCATACTCTGATGTGATATCTTGTCTATTAAACTGCATACAAAATTTCAGGGCTTTAACGTAAGTATTATAAGTGCTTAATTACCTCATTACATTTTTTAAATATTACATTCACCTATCTACCTGGTTGACTTCAGGGTATACTACGATTATTATGCATGGAGATTGACTGAAAACTAAAAAACGAATTGAACCTTCGAAATGTATATGGCAGATATGAGTGTGGTTAAAATTAAACTGCATCTGAAAATAACCTTATTTTATTCATCTAAGAGATTATTGTTTGGCTATATTTTAAAAAGAGAAAAGACTGTACACAATCATATTAATCGGTTTAGTTTTCTCTAAAACAAAAACCTGAAATTATTAAAATAAATAAATAGAACTACTGTTTGGGTTGCGTAAAATTTAACTTATTTAAAAGTGAATAGTGGCTATCAATGAAATCCAGGACCCGCGTTTCGTTCTGTTTGGGACTTGTCAACTGGATGTACTTGCATCTCACAATTGATGCCACTGTGGGACTCGAACCCAGTACCGTTCACTTCCAATGCCAACACGTTATCCATCTAACTGCTGAGTACTGATAGCCACTCTGAAATGCAGGTGCATCCAGCTAACGAGTCCCAAATAGGATGAAACGCGCGTCCTTGTTTCCACTGCTATTCACAATCCATCTTTGCTTAAAACACTTGTGAATTAAGACAATATCGAAGCAATACGCACAGTATGCATATGTGCCAATAACAGACTAACCAATTACAGTGCTAAACATCAATTGGAAGATTCAAGTAAACAATATTAAGTGAATTTAATCTATTTATTACAAAACGAAATAAAAGAGCATTACATTTATGGCAAATCTAATAATAAACTGAAAAAAACATAAATAATTTGATTAGTTTTAAAAGAAAAAGTCCAAAATGTAGTTTATTTCAATGTTCACAGGTCAATTTCTCTACTTTTTGGGGGAGCATATTCTTCCTGTTGTTCTACTTGTAGAATACTGACTTTTTTTCTTTACATATATAGGCTTTTATTAACAATTAAATGATAAATTCGATTCTTTTCTATATATTAATGTGTATTGGAACAAATGTTGGTTTAATTTACTTTATTGATTAGAAAAGTTTATCAGTTTATTACATAATCAGTAAAATTTATGATGTAGTATTTATTGGTTGCTATAAAAGTGTACACTTAATCAGATTTACGTTGACTAGTCTTTTCAAACATCTGTAAAACTGAATAGACTGAGAAATTTACTAATATTATGCTAAAATGATGGGTACAGGTAAAATCACAGTACTTACAAAAGTAAAACACCTCTGATGAGTCAAATAAGTTGGTAGACTCCTGAATTAATAAAACTTAATTGTTGTCTCAGCCATTAGATATGGTTGCTTGATATGAAATAAAAGACTTTATATGAAAATATAAACATTTATTCATAATGTTGTAATGTCTTAAAAGTTTAGATAGATTAATGGAGTGTATATGTAAAATGCCTTGTTTGTCTAAGCTTTGGATCGATAAAGTAACTACAGATTGCACCTACCGATTATCTCCATATCTTTAAGGTGCCCATAACTTATTGTTCAACTGACTTATTCAATTTGTTCATTTATTCGGTCTTAGACAACTGGATTTTACTTATAGGATGCCGGCTGAGTGGTCTAGAGATTAAGCGTTCGCATGTAAGACTGATAGGTCCTGGGTTCGAATCTCGCTAGGCGGGATCGTGGATGCGCACTGTCGAGGAGTCGCGAAATAAGACATTACTTTGAGATTACAGAAAGTCAAGACATACGAAACAACAATTTTGTTACAGCTTTTTACTTTTAATTGCACAAACCTACAACCCTATGCAAATTAGCTTAGCTCAGGACACGTGGACACTAAAAATGCCTAAGTTATTAGTGGATTGATTGTATAGGTATCTTTTGAACAAAGAGAACAACTGATGACCAGTTCATTTATAAATGGCCATTTTATTGTAATACTACAACTAATAAATGGTACAATATATGTAAGTGTTCAAATTCTGGAGTTTTTAACTCTAAAGTAGAAGCTGATAAATTTTTAACAGAAAAAACTGTTCACAACTGAAGGCTGAAATGTGAAGACGCCATATGACTAAACAGTATTATCAGATTTACTTTCAGTATTTGGTTGGAATAGTAACGAGTTCAATCACACAGGTAAAACTGTTTATTTTGGGTATAAGGGAGTTGAAAAATTTTCATCATGATTATACGGACTTTTAGAAGTAATAAACACTTACTTTAAACCTGAAAAACTGTAAGTTAGTGTTATATTCCGGCGAGAATTATGAATGGTAACTTTTGAGAACTATTTATGGAAAGGTATTATATGTATATTCTTAATGCATAACTATTAAGTAGCTAGATTGTATATATATCTATACTCCTCATATTGCAAGCTTTATTTTGACCTATGAACTATTAATATATGATTTACCGTTCTTGTGTTATGCCCGGGCTATTAATTACAGTCTCGCACATTCATAGCCACTTTTGGCTAAATCTTGTACGAATGTTGTTTTCTATTTTACAGTACACTGTGGTTTGTTTGCTTTGTATATAAACGCAGTATGTTTGAAATACATGATTCGTATAGCAGAGCCTAAGATTTGTATACTGGATTAAACAGATAAGGCTAGGCGGGAAGAAGGACCGATAAAGACTCTAGACTGTTTGCACGGAGCTTGTGAGTCATTGGTCCGATAGCTAAATCACTATTCTTTAATTGGCGGTATCATTAAGTCATATATTAATAGGGCACAAGACCATAAGTTATAACAGTTATCATTATGTATACAGAGCGAAGGGGGTTGAATCTGAACATCAAATCAATCATGGTTAATTAATAAAAAGTGCTTCTTTTTAAAACTTCCCATCTGTGCTTGATCAAATATTTCATGGAAATGTAATTGAAACACCTAACTAAACTTTTAATGAAATCTAGACATCAATCTGAAACCTTTCAAAGTTAATTTACTTACATATTCCTCCTCCTTTTTAACAGTTGATGAGCGTCGACTTCCTTTGTTTGAAGGTACGTGTAATTCACCAACTTCATCAACCTCTTCATTTGCTTCATCATTCCTTATAAGTAAAATGAATAGAAAATATTGTGAAATACGAGTTTATAACTGAATACGTCAAATAAGCTTATGAGTTCATGACTTTATTAAAATCAGTGTTAGTTAAACAGAATGAGTAGATGCGAACCACATGCCATTGGTTGTGTTAAAATAAGTACAACAAACAACATATGGTGATTTTCGCATACTTAAATGTTTCAGACAATAAATATTCTTAGTTTCTACTTATATGGCATGGTTAATAAACTTAAAATTTATAAGTTATCCTAAGGATATCTTCTAATGGACTGGAGCATACAGTTCGCATTCAACTAAGAAATTTGGTACTACAAGTGTTCTCACTCCTAACTAGCATCAAAATCGATAACTGATTGGAAGAGATGAATAGCTAGCTATCGATAATTTTAATTGAAGGTCACATATACTTTGTGCTGAGGATTATTTTGAATAGTATATCACTCTCTACAGTAGTTATAATCCACAGCTGAGATTTTTGGTATACTCACTAAAGTAGTCAATTTTAACAGATGTGATTATGCCTTTTAATATTACCAGATGAAGCCCCCAAATGCTCTGGTACGGCCGAGAGTGAGGCGAGTCCGTTCTCCCTCTCGAAATCCTCTCACATGGCCACGCGTATATTGCCTCTGTCAGGGAAGTCCTACTCACTACCTTCTCGTGGCAGGGGTGGTGTTTACGAAAATCACGACGAAAAGCAAATGTCCGGCGCTTTAACCGGATCACAAACCAATGGTGCACATGGGCTCCAGGATCCTGAGGGAACAAATGGCGTATGAACCAATTGTTGGTCACCGGCTTCCATGGGAATGCATCTCCTTACGATGCTCCACTGCCTTGTGGATCAGACCTTCAGGTCGAAGGCTCGGGGTGTGGCCCTCTAAGCAAATCACCTGTTTCAGTTTGGGCACCCGGGCAGTATCACAGCCCTCACACATATCGAATGAGATTTGTGTGGCGTATATGTATTTGGTGCCTCCTTGTACCAATATCTATGTGTTAAAATAAATAAATAAATAACCACATGAATACTAGTTAATAAACTTCTAGAGTATACAATTCAATTCAAACATTTTAGGTCATGCACGGCTGAAAAATATCTACTTAATGTGTACAGAGTATACAGTAAATGAACACTAATATCATTTACAAGATTTCTAAAGTACATAAAATCATCATACAGTTCTTGGAAATATGATATTTGTGTAATCTTTTCGGACAATTCAATACTTAGGTTACTTTAATAATAAAACTTTCTAAAATAAAATCTACTTAAGTGTTTAGTTATAACAATATTCATATCAATATCAAATTGATATGTTATAAAATAATTTATACTTACACTTGAATGACTGATAAATCAAAATTTCCTTTATCACAAACATTACCATTTGCTAACAATTGAAGAGTATATGTACTTTTATCATCTATTTGTACATTTTTTATTGTGATTATAACTGAATGTTTAGTAGAATCAACTCGAATAGTACATCGTTTGTCAAGTGATAGATCAATTCCATTTTTAAGTACTTTAGCTTGTGGAGTAACTGAACCAACTGCATAATCTACCGTCATTATAAATGTTCGTCCTGTAATTTACAAATAAAAAAAACACAAACTATTTGGGTAGTAGTTAAAATGATAAATTAAAGGTTATCGATTATTTCCTATCGGATTTTATGCCTAAATGTAAAAACATTGTGTGTACATATTGAGTTGGTCGGGTAGAGACAGTTATCTACCTCAGTACAATGGAAGTTGGTCGCGCAATTTCGTGGATTGGTTGATGTTAGAAACTATCACCATTGGATGCCGGCTCAGTAGTCCAGTTGGTTAAGCGTTCGTGCTCGAGACCGAGGGCCCTGGGTTCGAATCCCGTGGATGCGCACTGCTGAGGAGCCCCACAATAGGACGAAACGGCCCTCCAGTGCTTCCAGGTTTTCAATTGTGATGGTGTTACATCAATTGGTTCATGTTATCAATCAAAAATCTTAAGTCTCTCACACTTTTCTTCCCTTTCCTCTAACAAAAATACAACAAAAACTGCCGTAAGTTAGATACATATTCATTTAGCTTCACTCGAATTATTACTTGAGATTATAAGATATTAGATAATTATGTTATCCGACTTTAAAAACTATTTACAATACTTAAGACTCTGTGGATTTAAACTCAACATTTAAAAACTGGCTATTGTCTGATATCTGTCGACATTTGGAAGGACCAGAAATCTAGGCTGGTTGTTCGTGAGCTGATGGCTGATAAGCTGTGAAAGTTGAGTTGTAAATGGTTGACAACAAGCATATTTAATTTTACACAATACTCAAAAAGAAATTTCTTTTCTGGAAATCTACATTCTGAGTTGTAAAAATTTATATCTACGTTTCAATATTAAACTAGTTTCTTCGAATGTGCATTATCACAGCATGTTATCTGTGAGTTACCATAACTGATACATCAATACACGAAATATTATATACAATTTATTAGATACTAATAACGTTTAAACTGTAAAAAAAACATAAGGATGTGGTATGACCCACCTAATTCAGCAGTCTGGCTGTTCAAGTATCCTACGATTTGTGGAAGTTTGACTTTAGGATCTTTGGCTGAAAAGAAAGATTTATATTTCATTAAACACCTGTAAACGTAAAATATAATTTAAAAAGTATTACAAACCACCATGTGGTTTGTGTACGCATTCGTTGAAAATGAATAACAGATTAAAACTGCTGGAAGTGGTCAAAATGAAAGCTCCAAATATTAACTGTGATGATTGGTATACTTGTTCAGAAGATCTTCAAAATTAAATCATGATTGTTCCTGACAAAATCATTTACATGCATTTCTAACTTTGATAAGCAACATATTAAAAGATGGATAATCAAGAATCAGAATTTGAAACTTTAAAACAACAATTAATGAAAACTCTCAATACACGAAAGATTCGGCTAACATGGTACTAGTAGATTGTATATTATAAAGCACTTTATACAAAATAAAAATACAGCACATATATATTGTATGTTGAAAATTTCCTTAAGATTTGGTGTACAAGTTCCAATAGAACGCGTTACAACTGTTGATATTTCTTCATACAATTGATGGAATATTTTTTCCGAAAGCCCATCTACTCAAGATTTTCAGGTTGACCAAATAATAACTTCGAGGATAACGCGTATCATATTCTTTGTATGAATAAGAATTCAAGCTAAACGTATAATTTACTGTTTATTTTACACTTTAACCAGTATCAATGAGTTTCATGAATTTCAGAAATATTCACATGGTTCTGTTGATTTTGACTTATTATGTAATCCATCTAATCCTTCTTTGTAATATTTTTGCACATTTGGGAAACAAAATGGTTTGTAGGAAAAACAAACATTTCAGTCACTTATTAATGATAAGTTAATGTTTTACTTTGGTTAAATAAATTATAATAAATTGTAATATATCTAGATCTTCATTCATTCCACTTGGAGATTCTCTTTCTAGTTTACATTTAGATTACTATCCTTGAATTGTTAGATTTAGTTGAATGTTTCTATTTCCACTTTCCGAAATCTCCGTTTTTATTGAATAATTTTATTATTTTTCTATATATAATTTACAACCCTGAATATATAGACATCCACCTGGTAGTTTCGGGTAGTTCCTCCCAAGTGTATTTGTATTAAGTATTGAAGATTAGGGTAAGTATAATAATCAGTTTAGGGGTTGTGGAAATTGCTAAGTTTATGATTGAGATCATGAATACCATTGAATGCTGGCTCAGTGGTCCAGTAGGTTAAGCACTCGTACGCGAGACTGAAGGTTCTGGGTTTGAATCTCGCGAGCGGGATCGTGGATGCACACTGCTGAGGAGTTCTACAACAAGACGAAACGGCCGTCCAGTGCTTCCAGGTTTTCAATGGTGGTCTAACATCAATCGGTTCATGATCTCAGTTAAGTATAATAAATTCACATCCCTGAGAAATTTTGAACAGTATATGTTCTCGTAGCTCTCAAATTGATTTATTTCTTTCTTATACATAGTTTTACTATAAAACCGACTAGAATCAATTCTACAAATTAGTATTTTTAAAAATATTAATTTTGTGTTTAACATACGTGGTACTTTAACTGTAATTGACTGTTGTACTTTACCAACACCGTTGAAAATTTCACATTCATATAGTCCAGAGTCTTTTTCAGTTAGCTGGTATAAAAAGGTAGGAAACAATAATAATTTATGTTAAATTGTATGAGTTTTAACGTCGTTCAACATGTCATATTTTTTTCACGTATTTGTTAGTCTTTTCATCACTATTATTGAACATTTCATGTTTCATTACAAAAGTATAATTAAAAGTTTGAATTCTAACGTTGAATGAATTAGTGGCTGTGATTACATATTTGATCATTAAAGAATATATTACAATTTGAAGTGACATAAATTCTAGTCTCATTATAAACATCAACATTGGGACAAGTGTTAATTCAGCTGATATGTCCCAGATTGAACACAATGAATGTCCTTAACTTTACCACAAACCATAATACAAATTTACTTTCCTTTAAAATTTAACTTCTATTTCATAATTTTGTATTTTCATTCATGACCTACTTGGATTCTAATTGTTAAGATTTTACATAGACTTAGTTACAAATAAATGACTGAACAATACAAAGTAACAAACTAGTAATGTTTGTTACGTAAAAGCTAAATTGCTAGAATTCGATTTTTTTTTTCTAAAACTTTTACATATATTAAACTGAGCAATATAAACAGGTCTCAACTGGATTTCATCACTCACAAAATACTACTCTGAAAATTGTTACATAGTTATAATACATACGTCATTTGACTGAAAATATGACACCACAAATAAACAGTTCTGTATCCTTTATAATAATTTGAAGTCAATAATTCTTCTTTGCCATCTATTTGATAGATGATAAAGATTGAGTGTCACTGACCTCTACCAAACAAATAAATGTTCTATTAAACAGTTGACTTAGATATATTAGTAAAATGAACAACATTAGTGAGTCTAAAATCTTAGCTACATAATCTGCAATTTATAATGTTGACAAATTTAGACAGTTCTTTTTATAGAAAGCTTAAATTACTTAAAATAAGGTGTACACCATCAAAGATCTAACTTGTTGTAAACATAAAAGGAAGTTTGTTAAATATTTAACAAAAGATGGAAATAACAGCTACTTGAGTATATTTATCACCTAGTTGGTCCTCCTTATACGACACCTTTTAAACTGATGTCTAATGTTCCATTGAAATATTTCAGAGACGATCTGCTAAATGAACATAAATGACCGGTACTGTAATTTTATAATCAATCAAATGTCATTATTTAAGTTCTTGTGGTAATATGATAACAATCAGAGATAATCAAAGAACTTAAGTAGACCGGCTTTTTTAAAGATTATTTCCAGTAAGTATGCTATACAGAAACAGATTTAAAGCAGACTGAAGTTATATTAAAATTCAAATATACAGATTTTTAACACTATACAGAAACCTACATCATTAATTGTGAGATTCATCACGTAATTTCTACCTTCCATTGTACATTCTGAGCTGTAGCGTCCTTCCACTTTGATAGTTTTTCCTGAATGTGACCATTTTGCTTCTGGAGGATTCCCAGAGTCAACACGGACCTCAAGAAAAGCACGTTGATTGTTATCTTCAAAACGAATATTTGGCATTCCGACAATCTTAGGCCTTGGAGTAAATTCAACAAACGGAGATAAGGAACATTAGAAAGAAAAAGAAATTTCAATTGATAAATAAGGGCGTCAAAAAAAAGAATGGAATTATAGACCATTAGAAGTGAGCAATCCATTAATTTCAAGAGCATTTATTGAAGATATAGCATTTTCCTTAAACTATGCCCAAATATTAGCGAACATTAGTTCTACTAGTAACATTTATAAGAAATCAGTAGATGACTCCTTGATTCATCGCTTTAATGAGTATATTCAAATTTAGCAGTTTTAGTTTAAAGTTAATATAACTCCTCCTGTAGCCCTATTAGGGCTACTGCCCGTCTCAAACCTGGGTAAACGAGCAGGGTTAGACATGGGGTCAGTAACCCCGTCCCATAGAAGACTACCTTTCTGGAAAAGCATTAACCAGAATAAACAAATTAAACCATTTAAACTCTGCCCCAAGAGTTGAAGGAAGAATCATGACACCTCATAATGAAAGCAGAGATTCTTCGGAAGTCTCGAGGCCGATGCACCTTCTACCAACCAGAACAACAATTTTTATAGGTACATGGAATATTCAGGCAATGTGGGAGACCGGGAAGACAAATCAAATAGCGACGGAAATGAGGAGATACAACTTGGTGGTGCTGAGAATAAGTAGAACCCACTGGATTTAAGCTGGACAGGAAAGGTTTAGTTCGGGAGAGATGCTTCTGTACTCTGGACATGAAGAAGAAAATGCTCCACAAACTCAGGGAGTTGCTCTGATGCTTTTCAAAAAGGCACGTAAAGCACTTATCAGCTGAGAATCTCATGGACCCAGGATCTTGAAAACATTTTTCAAAACAAAGAAGGAGGAGGTCACAATGAATGTTATCCAATGATATTCAACCCCAGTGATAGCAAAGACGACAATAATGATATGTTCTAGGAAAAGCTGCAATCGATCATAGCGAAATGCCCAAGAAAGGAGTTCATCATCCTGACAGGAGACCTAAACGCCAAGGTCGGAATTGACAACACCGGATATGAAGATATCATGGGACGACATGAACTGGGAGAGAGAAACGAAACTGGGGAAGGATTTGCAAATCTATGTGAATTCAAGAAATTTGTCACAGGCGTCACAGAATTGCCCCACAAACGCATACACGAAGCTATCTCGTTCTCACCGTACCACACCGCGAAGAACCAAATAGATAATATTTGCTCCACTAAGAAATTCGGGAGGACGATGGAAGACTTGAGAACGAGTAGAGGGGCCCATATATTTCCAGATTATCACCTGATGGTTGCCAAAATGAAACTGAAGCTAAAGAAGCACTGGACAACTGAAGAAACAGAATTACAAACGTTCAATACAGCTTTCCTTCGACATATACTGACAAACTCAATCAATTCAAGATAACTTTCAACAACCGGATACAAGCCTTACAAGATATACTCAAAGAAGGAACTATTATAGAGGTTAACTGGAAAGGGATCAATGAGGCACTAATCGCGACACTACGGATCGTTGAACAATCCGTTGAATGGAAATCGTCACTAAATATAAATTTTCTTGATTATGAGAAAGCTTTTGACAATGTAGATAGGAGAACATTAAGGAACATTCTGGTGTCAATATCATACTGAATTCACATGACGGACTACACAGCAATGTCGTTCATGGAGGACAGCTGACAGACATATTCCAGTTAAGGACCGGAGTCAGACAAGTCTGCTTAATCTCCTCCTCTCTCTTACTTCTAGTGGTTGACTGGATTATGAACACCTTCACATCTGCGGAAAGCACGGAGTACAATAGATAGCTTGGATGCAACTGAACGATTTGGACTTCTCAGATGACCTGGCCCTTCTATCATATACACATCAACATATGCAGGTCAGGACAAACAGTGTAGCAGCAGCCTCTATATCAATAGGCTTCAACATACACAAGAGAAAAAGCAAGATCCTCAAATACAAAACTAAAAGCACCAACTCAATCACACTCTATGGATAAACTCTGGAGCAGATGGAAACTTTCACGTACCTGGACACTATCAACGATGAACAAGGAGAATCAAATGCAGACGTAAATGCAAGGTTTAGTAAAGCAAAGACAGAATTCCTACAGTTAAAAAACATATGCAACTCAAAACAACAGTCAACCAATATCAAAGCCAGAATCGTCAATAAAAATGTCGAGACGATTCTACTATATGGAGCTGAAACTTGGAGAACTGCCACAACCATCATCAAGAAGGTACAAGTATTTCTGAACAGTTTTCTACATAAGATACTGAATGTCCATCAAGCGGATACCATCAGCAACAGCCTACTTTAGGAAGGAACAAATCAGCTTTGAGCTGAAAAAGTAATTATGAAAAGACTCCGAAGGTGGATAGGACTTGCATCACGAAGCAAGCGCTAAATTGGAGTCCTGAAGCGAAACGGGAAAGTGGAAGACCAAAGAACACATTGCATCGAGAATTGGAAGCAGATATAAAGAGGAAGAATAGAAACTGGAAAGGACTTTCCAGGATAGAGTTGAATGGAGAATGCTTGTGGACGGTCTATGCTCTTTCACGAGGGGTAACAGGCGTAAGTAAGCAAGTAAGTTAATGGAATATCATCTAGCAATGTTTTCCTAAATCACATCTTATTCTGATATACGCACTCATGATTTTTAACTACTTACTAACATTTTGTTTACTCCCTTCCCCCATCACTATATTTAAAATCGTGGTGCTCTAAGTTTAACTGCCCGAAATTAATTACCATTTTAATATCTTCCATGACTTTAATCTTTCTAGACTCCCGGCATCCAGAAGGAATTTGATGTGTTTTCCAATTTGTTCTTTTACTAAATGAGCTTTTTTATCACTTCTATGAAAACCTGTCTTGAGGTTAAAATTATCATACAAAAACTTATGCATAGTATGATTCTTATCAAAGAGGAAAATATCATACTTGATTGTCAGCATCTAATTCTAAAAACACTATCTCAGAGTTGATGGACATCTACACTTAAAAGTATCCTTTTACGTTAGCATATTTAATACTAGTGGTTGCAGAATTTCAGAAATTCTAAATATTCAAGTTAAGTAAAAGCCGTGTATCTACTTACATTTTTACCTCCATAACTGCAGTCGCATCACCTGAATTATTTTTGGCCATTAATTTGTATGTGCCTGCATCTGCATTCATAAAATTCTAAATAAATAAGTAGATTTAATAAAATGTTAATCTCTATATTGGAACTATTATCATAGTTATTCAAATTCGGTATTATTTATAAACAAATGAAAAAATTGCTAAGTTTAATACATGTTCTTATATTTCATAATTTTATCAGAATGGGGTATGGAGAATATTGTAGTAATTTTTAATAGTTGAATTCATGAGTTGATTAAATCTAGATCACCATGGAAAACCTGAAAGCACTCGAAGGCCGTTTTGTCCTAGTATGAGACTCCTCAGTAGTGCGCACCCAGTACTACGAACGTGGAATTCGAACCCATGATCTTCGGTCTCGCGTAAAAATGCTTAACCTCTAAATTCCTTAGCCAGCATCCAACGGTATTGATATCTAAATTCAATCAATCCACGATATTGCGCGACCGTCCACTATTGTCTTCCTTGTGTAACTGCCTTTACAACAGACACGGTTGAATGCCACTCGCCACTGCTGAAGAGTCCTATACTAGGAAGAAATGGCCGTCCAAGGCTTCCAGATTTTTCTTGATGGTGTAACTTTAATGAACTCATGAATTCATTTATTTCATAATTTGTTAAGTTTTTTTAAATGATTTTAATGGAAAATTTCTGATCAATCAGTAGATATGTACTTATCTGAGAAATACAAATGCTTTTGAACAGATGAATTGATAGTTAATTAAAAATCCAATCTGTTAGCACCCTTGAATAAATCTTCTTGGCTTTTCTTTGATTAAAAAGCTCTTTAAGGAAGTGCGAATCAGTCGATTGATTCGTAATTCGTAATCAAAATGAAATGGCAATAAATTCAAATTCAATTTAGTCTTGAACACCAAAAATGGAACGATAGAAACATTTCAATTACTTAATATATTTGACACAATATCAACCACATGCTACATAACACTTTGGAGTTTAAGCTTCAGTACAATCACTAACAGACTCGTCCATTTGAATTAATTGGTACCTATCTGACCACTCACTAGATAGAATTTATTGTATCATGCAGTATTATTCATTAAAAATATGGTCCTACTGGTTAAATCATTCAGAATGATCGATTTATCAAGTGAAAATTCTGGATGGACGACATTTTATATTCCCTACATTTAATACAATTGAAATAATCTTAAACATTGTGGGTGAATAAATTTTCACCTCGGTGCATTTTGAGATCACTCTCTGAAGTATACTATGTGGTGGTTGATGTTTTGATATCGAATAAAATCGTAACTACGGTTTTAAGTCATTTATTGATTACGTTTCAGGCTTTATCGATAGATGAAGTATATTTATGATCTTATAATCCGACTTTGATTGATTTCATTTGCACTCATACATAGGTCCATGAAGCTAAAAATATATGGTTCAAAAGAAATTGGCTAAGTCTTAGTCATAGTAAAATGATTATTTATTATAAAAATTGTCTCAATATTTAAAATACTTACAATTATTTTTAATTTGTTTAAGAATACTGCACCGTCTTTACTCTCCTCCATTTCATATCTACCTGGTCTTGCTTTAAGTTCTTTTGTATTTTGATACCAAGTGAAAGTAGGTGCAGGATCTGCACTACAACGACATTCTAAAATTACATCACGTCCTAGATTATTTTGGTATATTTTCGGCTTTTCAAATACTGGACCTTTTCCTGCTTGTTTCTGATTTGCTATAAGATAAAATGAAATAAATGTTAATTAAAGTTGTATGATATATATACTTAGTATAACCAAGCTTCATTATCGTTTATTTTTACATTCAAAGTCTCTACAGTTTGATGTATCCTGATCATTTGTTAAGTAAATCGACTTGAGAGTAAGGATAAACAAATATTTTCGAAATAACTATTGAAATCACAGTAAAGTAAAGTGTCGATTTTAATTTCTAAATAGGTAGTGTAATTCAAACAATTCATTGATATGTAAGTTTTAAAGTATAATTTAAAAGGTACATTCTTTGTAAATTCGTTAGATATAAAGAATCATTTGAATAAACCTATAAAACAAGGGGAGAAATAAACTTTAATGGATAAAATAATGGCTAATCATTTTGAAATTCCGCCTGGAGCCCCTCTGGGGTTACTTCCGATCCCAAGCCCAGATAAAGGAGGAGGGTTGGGCATGGAGTTAACAACCTCATCCCATAGAAAACTAAGTCGATAAAAAAACGCTAATCAGAAAAAATAATTCAAACCATTTAAACTCTGCCCTGGGAGTTAAAAAGTTTTCATTTAGAAGAGTTATGATGAGAGATGAATTCATTCAGTATTCACGAAACTGATGCCTTTTCTGGGTACATGGAATGTTCGTACAATGTAGGAGAGCGGGAGAGTCATCCAAGTTGCTGCAGAAATGAAAAAAATACAACCTGGAGGGGCTTGGAATCAGTGAAACACATTGGACGCAGGTTAGACAACAAAAACTAGCCTCAGGAGAGCTAGTGTTGTACTCCGGCCACGAAGAAGAAAATACTTCACATACATAAGGAGTTTTGCTAATCATTCTGAAATGTGTTAATTTAAAATTGTGAGAAAAACGATTTTCATGGTTGAACATTTAAAAGAAGTGAATGCAACGTTTCTATAACATTGTTGTTTAGTTTTATACTGAATAAACTTAAGTTAGCCGTAATAAATGTTATGCTCATTTTGACCCATTACATCTTAGATCACAAATGTTTCTCATTTGTATATCATCAAAGTTCAAATTTTAAAAATTTTCTCACATTTATTCGCATTGATATGAACATTCAAACGAACTTTTACTTAATATAAACCATCCCCTTATTAAGAAATAAATTCGTGTCCTAGACACAGATTTATTGGAAACCAGAGAATATTGCACAGCTACTTTGTCCAAGTCTTGAAGTTCTTATCAATGTGTATACATGATTTTATAAGGGACTGGAATTAAGACACTTGATTATCGGGAGTAAGGAGTCACAAAGCAGGAGCAAATATTCATCTCGGTCTGCGGAATTTTCATAGAAAATTAGCTTGTTATTGTTGGGTCGGCTTCCGGAGAACTTCAGCGGAGCCTCCAGAGGCCCAAAAAGAAGCCAAAGAGTCCTAGCCAATCAGAGTATGATGGAACATTCGAGAATTCCAGCGTGGCGTGCTACCATTGGTTGGTAGCATAATATGTTGTTAACGGATTGGCTGAAATATGATGTTGATTTAACAGACGCCAACATCTATAAATACCCTTAATTTTCTGTACAAAAATGAACATTGGGATAAAGTGTTTTCACTCATACTTGTGTCTTCACTCTGGAGTTCAAGTCGCTGTGTAGTTCTAGTCTGCGGGTTTCGGGAATAGCTTAGGAATCGTATATGGCGTTCAACCTACACGACTTATCATTTATTATAATTTCTTTTTCTTCATTTTGTTTGTAAATTCAAATGGGTAACTATAAACTTGGCAAAAGCTATTGAAATAGAATATTCTTAAGTCATTTATCTGTGTACTTTAATAAAGCCTACATTTTTGAACATTTAAACTTTAGATATTCTTTTCTATGTTTATCTAGTTTCTTCAAGTAAACAATAATTATTCATAACCTAATCATTATAACTTTTCAATCATTTTAGTCAATGATTTTCGTTCATTTTATACTGACAATCTAAGGTCAATATGTCTTCATTTGTAGTATAAATATATTTGTTAATCTACTGTCATGTTACATTTCTGTTGATTTAATAAGCAAAAAAATAATGAACAAAAAGAACACAAATTCGACTGAATTGCAATGTAGTGTATTAACTATTTAATTCTTCCTTGTATTAAAGTGTCTAAGTTAATGAACGAGATTTTACTCCCATTTTCTTGGGTGCTATTGCCTGCTAAAATTTATTAAAGACAACATATTAAAAGTATATCTGTTACTATGCTGATTATTCCATATATTGATTTCTTTTTAATAGCCCTTGTTCATACAGACTGTTCAATTTAGCTAATTTTATTGAAAAACCATTCAAATTTCTTGAGATCACAGTTACAGATTCAATTTGATTCCTTGGGGATGTCTTTAGTAGATTTGAGTGTTAGAGTAGTCAACAATCACGTTTTAGTATAAAGCTGATAGAGTTTAATGAAGAAGTCTGTTGACTTTTATGTTTCTATAATGTCTTCTTTTTCAATATCGATGTAGTGATTCATTTAGTGTTAGTTGACTTTTAAGTAACGTAACCAATTAAACTCAATCGAATCACATAGATTATAGAATCAACACTTTGATATGTTTGATCTTTTGTGAAGTAATGATGATGATTACTTACTCATTATTTGAACTAACTACAAATGGTTAAATGCTAATACTTTATGTTCCACTGATTAACAGCCGAATTTCATAATTATGATTTAATATTCTCTACTTTCACACCTTATTAGAATCTTATTTTATAAGAAGTTATTCACAAATCCGATTATTATCACTTCAATATTATCAAACTTCCAGTTGATAACAAGGTTTCAAATCTATAAACAGTTAGAAACTGACTTTTTGTAAAGCTAACAGATGCAGACTTACAATGTAGAATTTAGAAATCATGGGTTTATAAATAATCCTGAGATGGAAAAAGTAAACAATTCATTGCAATAAATTTAACCATATTTGGTAAGCCATTTCAACGTTTGTTAGATTTAAAAGACCTATCTAAATGTAAATAATGTCAGGCAAATTAATGTTTCTGATCTCTATGCATGAGGTAAATTGATATTCAAACACCAATATAAGGTGGTCATATATATATCACTTCTATTCAGTTTACGAAAAGTTTCATTGAGAAATATTTACAGTTGAGTGATTACTGAATGGTGATCAATGCCATGTGTGTCAGGTACTTCTTAGTGCAAATCGAATGCTAGCGACCAAGTTGCAATGTGGCCACTAGTCTGGTGACTCGATGTTGCGTACACACCTTGCTAACGAGTGCTAAACAGCACGAAACCCGGGTCCAGGGTTTCCTGCTGACTACCTCCAACCACCATATTATTTCATTGAGAAGTAAGATTACTTGAAATTAAGCCTATAAACTTATTGCTTTGAGCTAATTATTTCTAAACTGGAAATCTTACAGAATCGAATGTAAGAACGAGGACTATAACGACGAATGTCATACTTTATTCCCATTAATTATCCTTTTTTAAGTCATAATTATCAATGATCAAATATTCAATTAACTTATTTGTCACTCTATGAATGCATTCAAATTTATTGATAATATCTATTCATCAAACATTGTACAACATTTCCTAATCACCAATTCAGAAACAAAGTCAGCTGAATAATTGACTATTACAAATGAAGTAGTTACTTAGTAATTCAAATTATAAAGACGAATAAATCATTCGCATTTATTCACTCATTAATCTAAAGAGTATTATAAAACTTTATATTGCTGAAGCATTCATTTTCTATGGAAACTTATAATTCATAAATTTTAATAATTGAGTTCATGGGTCAATTAAAACTAGACCGCAATGGGAAACCTGGAATCACTGGACGGTCGTTTCATTCTAGTATGGGACTCCTCAGCAGTGTGCATCCACGATCCTGTACCACGGGATTCGAATCCAGGACTTATCAGTCTCGCGCGTGAACACTTAACCTATAGACCACTGAACCGGTATCCAACGCTGTTAATCTCTAACTTCAACCAATTCATAAATTTTATGTATATCAACAAATAAATAGTTGAATACTTCCTTTATAATTCAACTCTGAAATTAAATTCTCATTTTTTTCTACACCATTTATATTCAGTATTAGATATGTCCTAGTTTGTGGTTTGTAAACATATAAATATAGAGAATTGTGCATTCAGTGAAATACACTCATACACATATTATTACACAAATCTCAAAGCAAACAAACGTCCGTAAATACCCAGATATTTTTGTCTGAACCCGTATTATTAAAGCCCATACATTATGAATAAACTTGGTATCAGAAGTAATTTTAACTTGAAGTTATATATATATTGATTCCGACCTCTGACCAAGATGTGGAAAATTGTTAAAACAATGAATGTGGGTTATGAATAACACACAGGTAATCAGTAAAAGCGCTGAACTTATTATTATTTTATTTTATCTAACCACAGAGAAATAAACATACGGTATATTTCCACCCACATACCTATTGATTATTATATTAATTCAGTACGATTATAACCAAATAAATATCTTTAGTAGGAAATATATTGGTACTACATTTTGAACGTATATGAAGAAGGTGAAGAATATGAGAAAAGTGGAAAAAAATGTATATAATTTAACCATTGAATTATTTTACTCATGTAACAATTAATAAATTACATATAGAAAGATTATATTCAAGCGTTTATTTGAATGTTAGCTAAGTTAAAACAAGAAATGGTAAAATTAGTAAAGATGAATGGTGGCTAGCAGTGGAATTCAGGACGTGCGTTTTTACCCTATTTGGAACTCGTCAACTAGATGTACCTGCATCCCAGAGTCCTAAATAAGACGAAACGTGTGACCTGGATTCCACTACTAGCAACCACCCATCTTTGCTTATAATGCTTGCAACATAAGGCAACATGGGGGAAATACGCACAGTATTCACATATGTTCATAAGAGACTGATCAATTGCAGGCCTAAACATTAATGGGAAGATTCAAGTAAACTATACCAAGTGAATGTAAA